GCTATTATGTATAAACATACATAATAGCTGACTAGTGGGGTCTCATAGACTCATGTACCTATAAACATATATAATAGCTGACTAGTGAGGTCTCTAGATTCATGTACCTATAAACATACATAATAGCTGACTAGTGGGGTCTCTAGACTCATGTACCTATAAACATACCTAATAGCTGACTAGTGTGGTCTCTAGACTCATGTATCTATAAACATACAAAATAGCTGACTAGTGGGGTCTCTAGACTCATATACCTATAAACATACATAATAGCTGACTAGTGGGGTCTCTAGACTCATGTACCTATAAACATACATAATAGCTGACTAGTGGGGTCTCTAGACTCATGTACCTATAAACATACATAATAGCTGACTAGTGGGGTCTCTAGACTCATATACCTATAAACATACATAATAGCTGACTATTCTAGGAAAAAGGGATTCTTAAAATATAGTTTAAACCCTTTAAAAACATGTCCGCTGAATTCCCGGTATTGCCCCTCTGGGTAAAGATGGCAACATGTTTAACACCCCCTCCCCCCCCCCACGCCACGCGAACCTAGCTTCTTACCCCGGCCCACCACGCGTTTGAATCCCCGTGTTGTGAACTTGACGTATTCTAGGTCTAGCCTGGAGTATAAAAGCAACAAATCTGTCCGAAACCTTCACTCGTCTTCAGTTTATTCTATCAGAATCATGAATAAGGTAAATCAACAACAAAAATGTATTTTTTATTCATTTTTGAATTCACGATCATTTTTAGATTTGCTCTAATCCTAAAGTTCAAAATTAACATTTTCTACTAATGAGCTGAAAACTTTAGAATTGGATACCCTTGATACCGATCATTGGATCTAAATATCCACTGGGGGCATTTTTGATTTCTATATTTGATATATTTTGATATATTTTTGTGGATATTCCTACTGGATTCTAACCAATGAAAGTTCTCTCAATAAATGTCAATCAAAATTTCAAATTTCCGGCTTTTGATTGGCTCTTTGTGATTTTGCATACACCACTCTGATCGTTGAATTTTAGATATTTTCTGTGATACAAACTAATATACATAGTACGAACTTGAATTAAATTAGCTCGATAATTCCTCTATTATTACCCTGAACCGTTCATTTAGTTGCGATTGATAAATATTAATCATAAAAAACTTCCCTTTTCAGTTTGTCCTTGTTCTGTTGGCTTCTCCTCTGTGTCTTGGTGCACCCCAAGAAGGATTTGGTGATGCTTCTGCTCAGGAGATCGCAGAAATCCGTGCCGGTACATACCTTGAAACATTTGATGAGAACCCACAGTACAGCTTCAACTATAAAGTGGCTGATGACACTGAACAGACCTACATGGCAATGAATGAGGACAGGGCCGGTGACCAAGTGACCGGCAGCTACCAATATGTTGACCCTCTTGGATCCCTGATTATTGTATCCTACACTGCAGGACCCATGGGATATACTGAGACAAGAGAAGTTAAGGAAGGATTTGTCCAGATCCAGCAAAGACCAGCCAAGCAGTCTTCATCAAGCTCTTCTTCCTTCAATGGAGCCAGCAGTGGTTCATCCTTCAGCGGATCAAGCGGATCATCATTTAACGGAGGATCTTCCTTCAACTCAGGATCATCCTTCAATGGAGGATCTTCCTTTTCTTCCAATACTGGATCCTCTTCTTCCATCTCTTCTAATGATATTGTTAATGCTGTTGTCTCCCAGGTTCAACCTCTTATCTCACAAACTGTATCCTCTGCTGTATCTGGATCCAGACGAACATCTGCTCCTGCTCCTCTTGTTGTTCCTGCAGCTCCCCTCTCCACCACTGTTTTCTCCAACAATGCCAACTCTGACAGCATTGTATCCCAAGTTGTTTCTAACATTGCACCCCTAGTTTCCCAGACTGTATCCTCAGCTGTATCTGGATCAAACCTTAACTCTGGATCCAGATTCCAGGCTAGCCGACCTGCTCCTATTCCCGCCCCACGTGCCCCCCGTCCCGTCCAAGCATCAGCTTCTACTTCCAGAAATGTTGGCTCTGTTTCTGAACTGTTTGGTTCCGGAGGAGACTTCAACGTCAGATTCAACACTCCTAGCTTTAACATTGAGTATTAAACCCATTGTTTAACTAGACCCTCTTTCATTCTGGTGGTAACTCATGTATTTATCTATGTACTGTAATTATGATTAAATAAATTATTGCAAGCTTTATACTTTATTACATTATTGCAAGGCTGTTCTCAGTTTTTTTTTCTGTAAAACTATTGTGAAAACCGAAGGTTTTTTTCTTATGAATGATACTTGACCTATATGAAGATTGCTTCACTGCAAATATCTGTTTAGATTTTTACCGTAAAATATCAATGTTTTATCACTATGGAAGAGTTTTTTCTTTATAATGATAGATCATTCTACATTGTAAACGTTAGTTCATTTAGCTCTGAGAATTTTGATTTTAGACTAAAAAGTAAATAATTATTTATTTATGAAATTTAACAAAAACATACAAAATAAAGTGTTTCAGGAGAAAATGAAGGCAAAGGCTACATGTTGAATCTGCAAATACTGACTAATACAGTGATAACCAGAAAACTCTGGAATAGGAAGTTGACTTTAAAGGGAGTGTTCGCGAAAAATGAAAGGGGGTATAGGTTTACTGCGAAAAATAAGCGCTTTTGATCGCTTCTAGTCTTATTTCTGATGTGTCTTTAAGGAGAAAATTGTTAAAAACGACTCACACCGAAGAACGCAGCGTCCATACAAATTCAGAAAGTTGCAACATTCAACTTGGATCGTAAAATAATCCATTTAATTCCAAACAAATCATTCAGATAATACGAATAATAGTCATCGATTATTTTATATTATATTTTATAGTATTTTAGATTTTCTTTTTAAATAATATTTCGCTGGCGCTGGATTTTCGAACATTCCGTGAAAATATGAAAATGTCGTCTTCATTATCAAAAATTCTCGAAACAAAACATGTTTTTAAAAGAAACTCTCAGATCATAAAAATACAAACTATTTACTAGGTTTACCCTTAAAGGATGAGATGAAAAGACGACTTGAAACTCTTTAAATATAACGATCCCAAGTTTGAATTAAGTCTTTTGCTTTAAATGTCGTCTAAAACTGTCTTATTTAATGATTTGGCAAAGAACAAAATAAGTTTTTAATTGTATACATGATAAGTATAAATCTTTAATCTTTATATTAAAGCTCTTTGCTCAGATTCTGAAATATATTAAAAATTCTTTAATTTGAAGCTGATTCTTTAAATATATATCTATATCCATATATAAATTTGGCTTGTCTGTTTGTCTGTTTGTGTCCAAAAAACGTCAAAACGGCTGAACCGATCGGGCCCAAATTTTTTGTGGCACATCACGTGACCACAGGGAAGGTTTAGGAATGATAAAATTTTTTTTAAAAATGTGTTTTAAAGGTTTTTAATTTTGTAAAAAAAATTAAATTCTTAAAAATCCGCGAATTATTTTTTTAAATCCAATCCAATCCAACTTGCACCAGTACTAAAGTTTTCATTTTTATATTAAAAAAGATTGTAGCCGTTCTTTCTTAACTAAAACAAAACTTGACAACTTTTCATATTTGGTAACGAAGTTAGTTTATTATCTTCAATTTTTAATGGTGTTAACGGTAGAAATATGAGATATTCGTTTAGGACCATATGTAGTAAATGCCGTACTATTAAAAGTTCGTCCTATAACAAGGTATGATCTCAATTTGTATGTTTCAACAAAACTCTACACTGTAATCAAAAAGGAGTTCTGGTTCTAACTAACTGTATTTGAGGTGAATATGTTACAAGTTAAAGTTAATAGACATAATTACAATTTCTATGTTGTTATCTATATCACATAATTAAGGTGATCATGTTACGTATTACAGCACAGTTGAAACAGGCGCATTTAGATGTGCGTATTTATAGGATTAGCGAGGATCGATATAACGTAATAAAGCTATCTCCACACATGTTTATAAGTTGAATATGCATATTAAAAGAGTTTAAGCTAATTATGCTACCTATTCATTTAAAATGCAGTTCAAATGAATAATGTTTTTTCTACGTAGAAGTTTACTAACATAGATAATTGATAATGTACAACGTACTGCAAATTTACAGAATATCGTATAACACAATACTTATTACAAATGGATATTTATTAAACATATATCTTTTAATTGATAACTCTTCAAATGTTGTCTTTTCAATCAAAATTCCAGGAAATCCACGGAAAATGTTTTTAAACAATCATTTTACATGTTACATCATTTACATGTTACATTTTACAAAGAATTTACGCTGTTACTATGAAAGTATATAAAGGTCTCAAAGTTAAAGTTATCAAAAGAATCTTAACATTTACCCCATAATACTGCACTCTCGGTTCAAACATGTTACCTAGCCGGTCTCTTCCTTTAAACCATAAAATTGTTACTTTATAAAGGCATTCATCTTCGTTTGTTCTTTGTTCGTTTTTGGTTCATGAACAGATCTTTTGGCAAGTTTAAGATTCAATTTTATACTCTAAAGATAAAAGTATAAATTGTAGAATGAAAATGTTATCCTTTATGTGTAACCTAGTAGGAAAATTTCCTTCTTTTGAGAAAAAAATTGAGAATTTGCAAGTAATTTTCAGAATCATTTTATTAAATAATTTGCTTGGTAACCCAGCTTTGCATGAAAACTTAACTCCTGATTTCATTCAACTTAGAATTGTTAAACCAAGCTAAGAACATTCATGTTGTACTACCGAGTCTCCCAATCAAAATTTGAGGCAAATCAGTCAAGAAGTTCCTGAGTTGTGATCGGAGATAAAAAAAACGACAATCAAAGATTACTACTTTAGTCTTTATATAAAGACTGGGTTGGGAACCCAACTTTGCTTGGGCATTAAACCTATGACCAAATTTAGAATTCTTAAACCATGCCAACAAGTTTTATTTTTTTATTAATATATACTAAAGAAAAGTGTAAAGCTTGCAATAATTTATTTAATCATAATTACAGTACATAGATAAATACATGAGTTACCACCAGAATGAAAAAGGGTCTAGTTAAACAATGGGTTTAATACTCAATGTTAAAGCTAGGAGTGTTGAATCTGACGTTGAAGTCTCCTCCGGAACCAAACAGTTCAGAAACAGAGCCAACATTTCTGGAAGTAGAAGCTGATGCTTGGACGGGACGGGGGGCACGTGGGGCGGGAATAGGAGCAGGTCGGCTAGCCTGGAATCTGGATCCAGAGTTAAGGTTTGATCCAGATACAGCTGAGGATACAGTCTGGGAAACTAGGGGTGCAATGTTAGAAACAACTTGGGATACAATGCTGTCAGAGTTGGCATTGTTGGAGAAAACAGTGGTGGAGAGGGGAGCTGCAGGAACAACAAGAGGAGCAGGAGCAGATGTTCGTCTGGATCCAGATACAGCAGAGGATACAGTTTGTGAGATAAGAGGTTGAACCTGGGAGACAACAGCATTAACAATATCATCAGAAGAGAAGGAAGAAGAGGATCCAGTATTGGAAGAAAAGGAAGATCCTCCATTGAAGGATGATCCTGAGTTGAAGGAAGATCCTCCGTTAAATGATGATCCACTTGATCCGCTGAAGGATGAACCACTGCTGGCTCCATTGAAGGAAGAAGAGCTTGATGAAGACTGCTTGGCTGGTCTTTGCTGGATCTGGACAAATCCTTCCTTAACTTCTCTTGTCTCAGTATATCCCATGGGTCCTGCAGTGTAGGATACAATAATCAGGGATCCAAGAGGGTCAACATATTGGTAGCTGCCGGTCACTTGGTCACCGGCCCTGTCCTCATTCATTGCCATGTAGGTCTGTTCAGTGTCATCAGCCACTTTATAGTTGAAGCTGTACTGCGGGTTCTCATCAAATGTTTCAAGGTATGTACCGGCACGGATTTCTGCGATCTCCTGAGCAGAAGCATCACCAAATCCCTCTTGGGGTGCACCAAGACACAGAGGAGAAGCCAACAGAACAAGGACAAACTGAAAAAGGAGAACATATATTTATAAATGATTTAATAAATTCTGCTGGATACTTTATAGATTCTTTTAATCAACAAATTTTAAACTTGTGTCTCTTGCTGAAATTAGAGTTGATATGAAAACATTGAGAATTTTTGCGAGTGAGTGAATATGAATTTTATAGATCTAAATCTGAGCAGTGTTAACAAATTATCTATATATACATAAAGTAGTAATGTCTGTTTGTTAGTTTGTTTGTTTGTTTGTCCGATCATTCCTCAGGAACCCATATACCGATTTACCTCAAATTTTGATTAGGGAACTCATTCAAAGCATGGGAATGTTGCTAGCCAGGTGTAAAAGATGTTAGTTTAATAGGTTGGCTTTTGGACGAGAGTTTAGTTTTCAGTCTAAGTTAGTTCCCAAGCAAGTCATATATATTGAGGCACACATCATGAACAAAACATTATGTTTGGATAGAATTGAACGTTTGTATTTATCTACCTTATACATGTTGTTGACTGAACTAACTGAAGAGGAGTGAGTCTAGAGAATAAATCTGTTGCTTATATACCCCTCAACCAGGGACTGTAACGCCGGATATTTCGGAGATTTCATCATGAGGAATGTGGTGTCTGAAAGATGGGTCACTGTTTATACTGTTCCTTGTTTGAGAAAGAAAATTATAGTCTTATTGTTTATATATGTAGTGCACAAATAGTTTTTTATTGAGAATTTTGTGCACTTTTTGATTGTCAGTTAAACAGAGTAGACATCTATTCCATGGTTTAATTTTTTATCAAATATGTTCTTTTAAAAACTCTCAGAATGCAACAGATATTTCAAACATACAGTGGGACCCATAAAATTGTAGAATCAAAAGACGACATTTGAACTCAAATTATGATTTAAAATATAGTCCAAAGAACGATAACATGCAGTGTACACAAACTCATTTTACTTCATAGCTTGATTTTCGAACTACTGTTAAAACTATTTAAATATTTATATATGTGAATAGAGAAGTATTGATTTTAGCACCCTTTCTTGCAAATAATTTGAGTTTGTAACTGTTGCTAAGACAGTCGCTAGTTTTAAATATTTTAAAATATTTTCAAATGTTGGCGGATTTTTCTTTTCGAATTGGCGCATTTTAAAAAATCCAACTTTGTTCCAGGAATTTGTTTTCAATTTTGACGGTTCATAAACCATTCCTGGGCTCATTAAAGGTCCCACAAAAAATGTGGGCCTGATCGGTTCAACCGTTTTGACATTTATCGGTTACAAACAAACAAGCAAACACCAAGACAAGCAAAGATTTATATAGATAAAAATCTAAATTTAATTTTTAAAGAATCTGATCGTCTATTTCGTCATATTTCAATTGTAAATATTTTATTTCATGGGAACCGAGCTTCGCCTGGAAACTAAACTTTCCTTTGCAAATTTAGAATTTAGAATTTAAACTAACTTAGAACATTCCCATAGTTTTACCGAGTTCTCCTGAGTTATGATCAGACAAAAAAACAAATAGACAAACAGTGATTGTGTAAAAAAATTTATAAATACCTTAAAAATTCACCTAAATATTTGTTGCTTTGGCGGAATATTATGTCCCTTAACTGTCCCTTGTGATGGAAAAATAGGATAACGTGTTCTGCTCTATAAAAGATCAGTAATTATACGTCGTGGAAAAGTTTTATATGTCTCAATTGAATTCTAAAGAATTTGTCCACAACACTGCATACTCAGTTTAACTAAATTACATAGCCAGTCTGTCCCTTTAAGTAATTTAAAATCTATTTGAGAAGCTTGCTAGTAATAGGCAAAAGAAAGAATAAAAAGAAGAATACGAATAAAATACTATAGCTACTGTTAACATGTAACCGAACAACAGTATTTACTAAAATGCATAATGCAGGACTTTTCCACGGAATCAATAAATATAACGCGAAAACACGATACAAGACACTTTATTGAATAATAAAATGAGAAATGTGGTTAATTGGTAAACTCTATATACAGCTAGCTGAACATCTTGGTCACAACGATCAGCTCCACCTCCTCTCAAGCTTGTTCGTACACGACTGCCTTTACTTTCTCCTCCCCCTAACCATCTAGGTCAGTTTCTTGACCCTAGTTATTATATGAATTATTATGAATTATAGAATTATATGAATTTGAATATATAAGTAAGATAAGAAGGACAAAACGACAAGAAAAATTAATAATAACCCCCCCCCCCAAAAAAAAGCACCCAAACTATTAAAGCTATTGGTTTATTTTTTTCAATGAGCTGGCCTTTAAAAATTTGACTATGAACAAGCCTTTGAACTCTTTACCTATACTCTAAGGTCTTTTTCTAAGGCCCCTCCCCCCTTTACACACAGGCTCTACATAGATTCAGACCCCACAGCTTTAATAGGGTTTACCTTTATCATACTTATCAAACTCCACCAATCAGCTACGTCTATATTAACCTAAATTAAGATTTAATACAATTTTAGGTCAGAAAACCCTTCGGTCATTTTCCTGTAGATCGGATAACGAGACACCCCTCTAAATATTTCCATGTTCCAGAAATTAAGAAGCTCTATAAAAGTTGTCAATCTGTAAATTATATTTGTTGTGTGCAAAATGCATCCCATTGTTTAGGCTTATAAATCTTTCTGTGTATATATATTTGTTGTATAAACTGTATATAAGCAGGAGACCAGAATCCAACCCTTACTCTTCATTCCTCCCTCCAGTCAACAACATGTTTAAGGTGCTCAATCTTCAGGATTTGGGTTTATTTCAACATTTAAAGAGACTGTTAGCGTAACTTTAAAAGACCTTACTTTCGGAGATTACAATGCCCGGTTTAAAACGGTGCACTTAAAACCTGTCTCAGCTCAAAAATGTGGAAGATAGTGTTCTTTTCATAGGCTCAAAAGTGTTTAATTCTGCTCAAGTCTATATGTTTTCCTAAAATAGAAAGGCGCAAGTTACTTTTGTAGAGAACCCACAATCTTGATCAGAAAATCAAAAAGTTGCTTAAAAAATAAATATTGGTTGATGGCCTCCTGAAACACTGATATCTATACATACTTTGCTTGTCGGTCTGTTTGCGCTTGTCTAAATAATAAAAAAAGACATTCAAATATATATATTTTGCGTATAGCCAGCCAAACGGCTGGACCGATTGGGCTGATATTTTTTGTGAACAATCATGGGTGACCGGGGTTGTTTTAAAAAAAAATGTTTTCCATGGGCAACGCCGGGCCCTTCAGCTAGTATCTTTTAAACGTCAAAATGGCTACACAGATCGGGCCCAATTATTTCATGGCAGCTCATCACCCGGAAAAACTCATTGCTCGGATAAAAACGTCTACAATCATAATTTTTGGAAATCCACCAAAAAAAGAAAAATCCGCTAAAAATTTGAGAATGATAAAAATGGGTGATGTATTTAGATGTTTCCACTTAGATATCAAAGATACGGTTATTTTTGCGATTAAACTGTCAATTTTGATCTTAGGCTAATTACAAAACTTTAATCAATCAATCAATCAGTACGACATAAGTACAATTTACTCTTTTCAGTCTGTCCTTGTTCTGTTGGCTTCTCCTCTGTGTCTTGGTGCACCCCAAGAAGGATTTGGTGATGCTTCTGCTCAGGAGATCGCAGAAATCCGTGCCGGTACATACCTTGAAACATTTGATGAGAACCCACAGTACAGCTTCAACTACAAAGTGGCTGATGACACTGAACAGACCTACATGGCAATGAATGAGGACAGGGCCGGTGACCAAGTGACCGGTAGCTACCAATATGTTGACCCTCTTGGATCCCTGATTATTGTATCCTACACTGCAGGACCCATGGGATATACTGAGACAAGAGAAGTTAAGGAAGGATTTGTCCAGATCCAGCAAAGACCAGCCAAGCAGTCTTCATCAACCTCTTCTTCCTTCAATGGAGCCAGCAGTGGCTCCTTCAATGGGGCTAGCAGTGGCTCCTTCAATGGGGCTAGCAGTGGTTCATCCTTCAGTGGAGCTAGCAGCGGCTCATCCTTCAATGGAGCCAACAGTGGCTCATCCTTCAATGGAGCCAGCAGTGGCTCCATCAATGGAGCTGGCAGTGGCTCATCCTTTAATGGAGCTGGCAGTGGCTCATCCTTCAATGGAGCCAGCAGTGGCTCATTCTTCAATGGAGCCAACAGTGGCTCATCCTTCAATGGAGCCAACAGTGACTCATCCTTCAATGGAGCTGGCAGTGGCTCCTCCTTCAACGGAGCTAATAGCGGCTCTTCCTTCAATTCCGCCTCTTCTTCAAATAAAGGATCTTCTACATTTTCCTCCGGCTCAGCTTTATCTTCAAATACTGGTTCCTCCAGTCAATCATCCTCCTTCTCTGATGATATTATCTCTTCTGTGGTGTCCCAAGTTCAACCCCTCATCTCCCAAACTGTATTTTCAACCATTTCTGGTTCAAGTCTCCCTGCTGTAACAACTGCTCGCCCCCTATCCGTTCTTCCAGCAGCTCCTGCAGTCACTGAAGGAGCAATTTCTGAAGATATTATTTCTCAAGTTGTTGCTCAGTTATCTCCGCTAGTTTCCCAGACTGTATCCTCAGCTGTATCTGGATCAAACCTTAACTCTGGATCCAGATTCCAGGCTAGCAGACCTGCTCCTGTTCCCGCCCCACGTGCCCCCCGTCCCGTCCAAGCATCAGCTTCTGCTTCCAGAAATGTTGGCTCTGTTGCTGAACTGTTTGGTTCCGGAGGAGACTTCAACGTCAGATTTAACACACCTAGCTTTAACATTGAGTATTAAACCTTATTATTTGTGAATTTGATGTGAACATTTATTTGTATCAAAAATCAAATATATATCTTTTAAATTCGAATAAATTTTGAGAATACTATGCAAAAAAAAACTTTAGAGAGTGGCTTGCTTTTCGATTTCGATTAGTCATTGTCAAAGGTTAAAAAGCCATTTTACAAATGGAGGGTCACTTGATTGAATTACGCCTACTGTCCGTTTAACTGTATCAACTTTGAGATACAAATGTGATATTTAGGCTTTGACAAGAAGTTAAATCGGGCTCCGGAAGAAAGTGCTGGCGTCCAATATATAATCTGATAAACCGACATTACCCGGTCAGAGTCAGAGATTATCTTTATTTTTTTCAGAATTTTTTCCTCAATTATTGTTTTAAAATCATGTCTTACAATACAATGTGACTTTTTTTACATGGTGTCCAATGAAAGGGAGTGTATCTAGGGGCATGCCTCATTCACATCAGTTTCAAATCTTAATCTGATCAATTGTGAAAGCAATTGTCGTTTTTCAAATAATCAGTTTTCAAAAACATTTTTAACATGGATGTCTAATTCATACTTTAGATAAAGCTTTCAACCTTTGTGCATCTGACACGGAACTATTGCGTGTATAGTCCCTTAGATTGTGAAATTAAACCTTGATTGAAATATTTCAAATTGTTATTTGTTTTCCACAATTAGTTTTATTCAATTATTCAGACTTGATAAGAAGGTTGGATTGCTCATTCCGCTCCGGTTATTGGAAGAAAAATATTATTTTGGTTTCAGTGAGTTTATTTATAATTTTTTCAAACTAAAGAATTCGAATAAGCGTGGGAATAAAGTGTCATGTTTTTATTCTTAAATAGTTACTTTTATTAAGTTCCAAATATTTTACTTCACCTTCATTTTCTGAAAGAAGCTTTAAATGTAAAGTCAAGGTGTGCAGATTTTTAATCAGCATGAGACAAAGAACGTTTATCAATCGGAGTTATTCAGAATTCAATATCTTTTAAGAAACGACGATTTCATTGTCACGGTTCCTCAGATAGATACAGTTGTAAATCAGGCATACTATATACTTTAACATTGAGGGTCATTTGAAAACACAGAGTCCCTTTAATGCACCACAGCTATTGATGAACACTGTTTTAATACATTCAAGGACATTGTTTAGAGGTTTAGAGGTTTAGAGGTTTAAAGGTTTATAGGGTTAGAGGTTCAGAGGTTTAGCAAAATCGGATTTTGCTAATGTTACCCATCTCAAATTCTTTAAGTGCACATTTTAATCCAAAAAATGTGTTGGCAGCGTTTTTATAAAGTCAAGGTTTTTGCTTGGGAGGGTTTCACGCTAATCTGAGATGTCTGACACAGTCAAAATAAACCTAAAAAACGGATAAATACAGTAGTTTCAAGGGTTGAAAACATGTAAATGAAACATATATGAGAGGTTTCGTGATTTTCTGATGGAAAAATTCAAGTGTAACGAAGACGACTGTTTAATTTAAGTTTGTATTGTTAACAAGCTTTTTCGAATTACAAGTTTTCAAGTAATTAAAGAAAAGGGTTTTAAATCGACAGATGTACTCTTTGTTGCCATGTTAATGTGAATTTGCTATTAAAATTTAAATCAAAAGTTGTCTTCATTGTATTGATATACTTTGCGAAGACGACCGTATATAAATCTTGATTCGGTCACTAATAATTAAAGTATGAAAAAATGTTTATATTTAGAAATTTTCAAAACTCTCATGACAAGAGAAAAATGGTGTTGATGCTTTATCTACATAAGAGCCCACTAAACTTTTAGCAAAAACCTGGAAATCGAAGGTAACAGTTTGAGTTGACATGCCTTGTAACAATTGAAAGAGACACCAACAAAGCCCAAAACTTAAGACAGGGTATCGTTATGAAAACCAGTTTTAAAACCCGGGTTTTACGAATGGGGTTAGGCAGTTTTGTGAATATCAGTAGATGTAATAGACTATCAATATTTTTGCTATGAAAAATTATTTTATTCAGTTTGTTTATATTCTCCATTTTTGTCGAATCTCTAAAATCAAAATCTACAAAATGTTAAGACCCCAAAAAGAAAACTCGAGAGTTTTGTTCAACGATACGCTTTTAAATTTCGGGCTCTGTAAATCCTCTTCTATTAAATTTAGTTAAATATCAATGAAAAAATATATATATTTATGAGAAAAAACAACATTTTTTTTAGACAATTACATTTCTCTGAGTTTCTCCGAATCTGTTTCCCAAAACTCAGTTTTGTTCAATGTACTGTCTTAAGTTTCTACCGTGGTATACATTTCGATAAACAACGAATAGAACCAGTTTTGAGTACACCCTTTGTTTACAAACAAATAATATCCTAGTTGTTCAGTGTTGGGTCAGCTGAGAGGGTGTCTAGAGGAACTGGGTTCAGAATGAAGACGAGATTTATCTGTTCTCTGCTGGTGATACAGTTTACTACAGCGGAAATTCCAGGTAATTTAGATTTAAAATATCTATAAAGATTGTAACTATTTTTATGAAATTTAAACTACAGGGTTACGTATACAAAATGGGACTTAAATGGCTACCTAAAAAGTAAAACTTATTGAATAATTTTGCCTTTAAAGGGAGAATGGATGATTTCATAATTTTGTCCAATTTACAATAGTACTCCTGATAAAACGTTGTCTTAAAAAGTAATAAATATAATTCCATGTTTTGTTTTTGAAAACTATTTATTTTCATTTGTGGTTTCTCCCTAAAAGTGACTTGCGCATTTATTGTTTATTAGAAAGAATGGAATAATTATCAGAATTAAACACTTTTTTCGAGTCAGAAAACCGACGTTCTCATTTTTAATCGGATTAAAGTTTGAAAGGTACTTGAAATCACTTTCACAGTTCCTTCCTTTAATATGTCATCTCCATATTCCACACTCCTAATTAGAGATTTACTATTAATCAGACGACTTTACAATCTAATTTTACAAATATGATTGACGACACGAAAATCCTAGTTCTGCCTTTTTTCGGCATTTGAATTTGCTTGAGATACATATGAAAAGTAGAGTGATGAACTGTCAATTTATTCTGGGTCTTTCTGAATATGTCGTCTACTATAAGTTAGCAAAGAACGAAATAAGTTTCTAGTTTCAGGAAATCAAAAACTGAATGAAAAAAAATCGTTTATGTAGTTTTATTAGACACAGATGTGTGGTTTGTAATACAGTGTGTCCAAGTATGGGATTTTTAAAACTTCTAAAAAAGTGGTTTATTGTCGAGTGTGAAATATAGTACAATTGTTTATCGAATTCTATATTTTTGCAATTACAAATTATCAAAATAGATATTGATATTACAAGCTGGGCAAAACTATACAAGACACAAGTTTAGAAAAAAATGGGGTTTTGTGTACTTATTCTTAAAAACAGGCTTTTTTTCCAGTGCTTCCTTTGGTTACTTTCTTATTTTTGGTTTATATTTTTCCTTTTGAAATCGAGGTTTCGTGATATAAGTTGGTTAAGTGTCTATAATTATATCTAGTCAGAGCTGGGAACTTTAGAATGGTGGATATCAGGATTTATGCTTAATCCTCTCTTTCTGCTAATCTCGAGATTATGTTAGTCTCGAGATTAAATAATTAGATCAACGAATTTGATTCTAGGAACGTCAGATTTGTTCGTTTTCTTGACTGGAAGGGCACTCACTTGATTTCTCACACATTTATTTATTAATACATTAGTTAAAATTAGTTAGAAAAAGAATTCTCAAACGTATTATTACATATTTTTCATTTAAAAAATGGCCGACAACAAATTCTTTATTTGTTAGAAATTGCAGATTTCTCTCATGGGATAGAATTTATTTTCAAGGCTGTCAATGGTCAATACAATTTACGAACTATATTCCTGCACTCTCATTGAGAAAATATTGTACAGACATCCAAAGAGAGAGAAAAATAGTGGATTAAGAACTAAAATTAAAAGTTTCCACAATGGATATTCGGATTAAGCAGTCGGGATTAAAAGTTATCCAGTCTAAAGTTCCCAGCTCTGGGGTTATATCGTCCCCAAAGTACGTAAACTCCCCGACCACTATTTATAGAGAGAGCAGACTCTATAAGTGTCTACAAATATCTGGTCTGGGGTCTAAATTGAAATCTGGAATATTTCTTGATAATTCATTTAACATCCCCATAACATAAAAGTTTTTGAAATTTACTATAGTTGGAGAAAGAGTAGATCAAAAACTATTAAGTGCTGGTAATTTTTTTATTTTTGGGGGGAAACCTTATATTTTTTAATAACAGATAATACCTTAACTACTTTTGTTTGTATCTTAACAAATTAAAGACTGCACATTTTTCCCCGCTTTTCTCTAGTTTTTAAGTAAAATTACTTTTTTCACAGTTTTGTATTTTTTTTCTCTTTTTTTCCAGATGTCGAGCTTACAACATTTAGGAATGATATTCTATTTTACAAAGCAATTTAATTTTAATAATTCAAATAATTAAGTTTTGCATATTTAGTTATATAAATAGAATAAACCTTCTCAGTTCGAACCAATCTCTAGTGGAATCCCCTGCATTGGTTGGAGATATATCTAGCTCTCTCAAACCAGAGCTGAACTCGAGTATTACTATCCTGAAACCAGAGCTAAACTTGAGCACTGATATCCTGAACCCAGACTTTGATTCTGTCCCTAGTATCTTAAACCTGGAGCCGGAGCAAAATACCCAGAACCTCAACCCAGATTTGATTTCTAATAACATTGCTCCGACCTTGGATCATTCTAGCTCCGACAACCTAAACCCAAACCCAGAGAATGATTTTAACCCTTTTACCCTGTATCCGGATAGTCTGAACCCAAACCAAGACCAAACCGTAAAGAATTTAACATCCAACCAAACCAGTATAGAAATACAATCTCCAGAGATTTTAGACTCTTCTGATGATTCAACCGACCTTATTTCAACCATCTCCAGTAGTAGCGAAGGCCCACAGACTGAGAGAAATTACAAGGAGGTTGAAAACCAGACGGTTTCGGATAGCTCTGAGAGCAGGTCGGAGAATCAAAACTCAACTCTTCTCCCGGATTACGATGATCTGAACACTACAGAGAAAACTACTGAGTCGGAGGAGCTATTTCCAACCACGTCCTTTTCTCAGGATACTACTTCAAAGAGACGGTAAGTTGAATCATTAAACTTATTTTCATTTATTTTTTATTCTTGTTACTTTTTTCCAAAACTTTTTTATTTCTACTCATTTCTTTTTTTTTCCTCGCCTAATCTCCGTTTCCTACTTTTTTTCTACTTTTTTTCTACTGTTTTTCTGCTTTCTTTCCATTTTCTTTTATTTTGCTTATTTTTCTTTTCTTTTCATCTCATTCTTATTTTCTGCTAATATTTTTTTCTCAATATATATATTCATTTTCTAATTTTATAAATCCAATTTTTTTATTAAAAGTTTGAATGTTAAGTACGACTACTGACGCCTGGACCCTTCCACCTGTAATTCCAATAGAACCTGAAGATCCAGCTCAAAGTAAAAATAAAAGGTAAGTCTGGGGGTTGTTTAGCTAATTAAACTTATTAAAGGGACTTTAAGCATAATTTAAAATGACCCTCCATGCACAGATGGCAATGCCCGATTTACAACGGTACCCTTGAAAGCTTTGTCTGATCAAGTATAAATTAGAAATCTGTTTTTTTTTTCATTAAACTATTTCTCTGCAAAAGTAATTTGCACGCATTTCTTGCTGTTAAGAAGCCAAGGAGATTCTAACTTTTTTCATGTCAGAAAAACAACAGTATCTTCCACATTTTTAATCAGATTAAGGTTTCAAGGATACCGTTGTAAATCGGGCTTTGGCCCTCTTTGCATGGAGGTCATTTGATATTACGCTCACAGTCCCTTTAAAGAAGTGCTTATCAAAAGTGTACTCCAAGGTTAAAAGATTTATGTCCAGCTATAAAAAGGATTATTAAGGATATTTTCCCACCGGTTTATTACGGATTTTTGCCCAGATTTAGTAAGGATTTATGCTCAGGTGAAGGCAGGGTTAAGGAAGGATTTATGCCCAGGTTAAGGAAAGAATTATGCCGAGGTTAAGGAAAGATTTATGCCCAGGTTAAGGAAGTATTAATGCCCAGGTTAGGGAAGTATTTATCCCCAGGTTAGGAAAGGATTTATGCCTAGGTAAGGGAAAGATTTATGCCCAGGTTAGGGAAGGATGTATGCCCAGGTTAGGGAAGGATGTATGCCCAGGTTAGGGAAAGATTTATGCCTAGGTTAGGGAAGGATTTATGCCCAGGTTAGGGAAGGATGTATGCCCAGGTTAGGGAAAGATTTATGCCTAGGTTAAAGCAGGGTTTATCTCTGGGTTAATAATGGATTTATCCCCAGGTTTTGAAAAGATTGATGCCTAAGCAAATCCCAGAATAAGCAAGGTTTTATACCAAGATTAAAGAAGGATTTATTCCCAGGTTAAGGAACGATTTATGTCAAGGAACGATTTATGTCAAGGAAGAATTTATGCTCAGGTTAAGGAAGGATGTATGCCCAGGTTAAGGGAGGTTTTATGACCAGTTTAAGGAAGGATGTAAGCCCATGTTAAGGAAGGGTTTATTGCCCAGGTTAAAGAATTCATGCCCAGGTTAAGAAAGGATTTATGCCCAGGTTAAGGGAGGTTTTATGACCAGTTTAAGGAAGGATGTATGCCCATGTTAAGGAAGGATTTATGCCCAGGTTAAGGAAGGATTTATGCCCAGGTTAAGGAAGGATATATGCCCAGGTTAAGGAAGGATGTATGCCCAGGTTAAGGAAGTATTTATGCCCAGGTTAAGGAAGGATGTATGCCCAGGTTAAGGAAGGATTTATGCCCAGGTTAAGGAAGGATTTATGCACAGGTTAAGGAAGGATGTATGCCCAGGTTAAGGAAGGATTTATGCCCAGGTTAAGAAATGTATGCCCAGGTTAAGGAAGGATTTATGCCCAGGTTAAGAAATGTATGCCCAGGTTAAGGAAGGATTTATGCCCAGGATAAGGAAGGATTTATGCCCAGGTTAAAAAAGGATTTATGCCCAGGTTAAGAAAGGATTTATGCCCAGGTTAAGAAAGGATTAATGCCCAGGTTAAGAAAGGATTAATGCCCAGGTTAAGGAAGGATTTATGCCCAGGTTAAGGAAGGATGTATGCCCAGGTTAAGGAAGGAGTTATTTACAGGTAAAGGATCATGCCAAGGTTTGTTTTATGCCCAATTTCCAGATCAAATCAATATTTTCTCTTCTCTAGGTTAACCTTTATTCTGCTCGGAATATCTGGAGTTCTTGGTGTAGTTCTCGTTCTAACCCTGTTCTACTGTATCAGGTACCTAGAGCACAGTTACCCACAACAGATGAGACTTCAGAGACGAATTTACGAAATTTATTCAGTCATTTTTATAAATTTTATTGTTCCCTGCATTTTATGCAATAACAACTTCTTTCTTACTTTTTAAAAAGAAATGATTAATTGCCACAAACTCAAATTGCTAATCCCTATATCTTTGCAACCCAATATCGCTGACATTAGAATTTTCAAACTAACAGTTCTATTAAATTAAGTAATCAAAGTTTGAAATATCAAAGGTTTACACAATCTGAAATAGGAATCAGAAAATTTTAATTTTTTATTAATGAAAGACTTTTAAGACAAAAACTTATTTTTGAGACAGAATATATCAAATTCTATTCTTAAATTGTCATTTTCTAGAGTTAGTTTAACACAGTCATACAAGTCTCATGTTTCGTGGGTCACCCTGTATCTAAGAATCAGAACGTCGAACCATATTTTAAAAACTTTGCTCTAGGATGAGACAAACAAGAAAATCCCCAGGACCTGTAGGAAAAGTTGAACCTGCTGGGAAGATCGTCTCTCTGGCCTAGCCTAACCTAACTCGAACCTTGATAATTTTATGTAAAGTTAAAAATATATATGATTTTATATATTTATACATATCCTTGAGCTAGTATTAACGTTATTTTGTTAAATATATGATAATCTTAAGATGGAAAGAATTAATTTGCCCATTTTCTCTAATCTTTAATTGAAAAGTTACAAACTAAACTTGATTGGTCTAGAGATCAGAGCTTTAGTTAATTCTGTGCGCTTGATCTAGATATCATTGGTGGACACTTTTAAATTTAAGGATCAATGCTTGATCCCTCATTACAAGTCGATTCCTAGATCTGTAAAATCAATTCGATCAATGTTTGGAAACTCAAATTTTATGTTTTTATAAATTGCTCAATGTAATATTTCAATTGATTTCATTGTAGTTTAGAATTATCTTTCTATATTCTCAATCTTTCCTATTTCAGTTTCTCTTTCTAAACTCTTAACCCATCCTAGTTCAGTTTCTCTTTCTAAACTCTTAACCCATTCTAGTTCAGTTTCTCTTTTTAAACTCTTAACCCATCCTAGTTCAGTTTCTCTTTCTAAACTCTTAACCCATCCTAGTTCAGTTTCTCTTTCTAAACTCTTAACCCATTCTAGTTCAGTTTCTCTTTCTAAACTCTTAACCCATTCTAGTTCAGTTTCTCTTTCTAAACTCTTAACCCATCCTAGTTCAGTTTCTCTTTCTAAACTCTTAACCCATTCTAGTTAAGTTTCTCTTTCTAAACTCTTAACCCATCCTAGTTCAGTTTCTCTTTCTAAACTCTTCACCCATCCTAGTTCAGTTTCTCTTTCTAAACTCTTAACCCATCCTAGTTCAGTTTCTCTTTCTAAACTCTTAATCTATCCTAGTTCAGTTTCTCTTTCTAAACTCTTAATCTATCCTAGTTCAGTTTCTCTTTCTAAACTCTTAATCTATCCTAGTTCAGTTTCTCTTTGTAAACTCTTAATCTATCCTAGTTCAGTTTCTCTTTGTAAACTCTTAATCTATCCTAGTTCAGTTTCTCCTTCTATCCTATTAATCTATCCTAGTTTAGTTTCTCCTTCTATCCCCTTAATCTATCCTAGTTTAGTTTCTCCTTCTATCCACTTAATCTATCCTAGTTTAGTTTCTCCTTCTATCCCCTTAATCTATCCTAGTTTAGTTTCTCCTTCTATCCTCTTAATCTATCCTAGTTTAGTTTCTCCGTCTATCCCCTTAATCTATCCTAGTTTAGTTTCTCCTTCTATCCCCTTAATCTATCCTAGTTCAGTTTCTCTTATCCTCTCAATCCATTTCAGTTCAGTTCACCATCGGTGTTAGGTCAGGTTCTTTGTCAATCCTCTCAATCCGTCCAACTTTAGTTTCACCTTTTTTTCCTTTCAATCCTTAATATTCAAAGGGACCGTTCACTTATTTGGGTAATTTTAGGGTAAACTAAGCAGCCTATTTGATCTTGATTGGTAATAGTCTTACTTTTCAAAGACAACTGTGGCCGGAGATAAAGCCGATTTTTCGTTCAGAATTTGAGCGGAAAGGGACGGTCCCTCTCTATATTTGAGCGGAAAGGGACGGTCCCTCTCTATATTTGAGCGGAAAGGGACGGTCCCTCTCTATATTTGAGCGGAAAGGGACGGTCCCTCTCTATAAACACTATTTTTATGATTAAAAGGACTGATTTCCATCGGTAGCCTTTAAAACTTTCTTAGGTGGTCTTTATTTAGCCTGAAAAAAGAGTTTATTTTTTAAATTTCCTACATTGTTTTCCTGCAGTAGAAATGCGCAGATCACATTTGTAAAGAAAATACAATTGAAAATAATCAGTTTTCAAAATTAAAAACACGTATATCTTATTCATACTTGATCAAAAAAAGCCTTTATTTTTATTTTATCTATATAAAAAAACTAAAAAAAACTTGAACTTTATTAGCCTATTTGTGTTTGTGTATAACCACCATCCTTTACACCCTGTATTTTAATTTATCTATACATTAATCCCTCTGATCTCACCCTGCCACAGATCACCTGACAATCTCCTTCCTTCCAATCAACTCCTTACCTATCCAAAAACATAACGTATTTGATGTGTCTAATTATATTCAGTATAGTTAACTAACTTCGGGCCAACCACTCAAAACAACCTACCCTGGTTAGGCGGGTCCAAACTGCATAGTAAATTGTGATTGCTTATTCGTAATATCTCATCATGCTTTGTAGTTAAATACAAATATGAGAAATATGAAATATATGAAGGTTAATATTTGCAATCTATACACTACAGTATATGTTTTATTTACAGGTTACTGTTGCCTGATTGTAAGCCAGTACCCAGGGGGACTTAAAATTATGATTAAACAAAAAACAATTGAGAATTAAATCGTAATTTCACTTTATTTTGTGCAGATAGTGATGGGAAAAAACTTGGTTCGGTTTTAAAAAATTTAAAGGTTTTCGGTTTGACGGGTTTACAAAAATCCACTTGACTACAGAGTGCAGAAACCAGTATAGTTGTGTGAAAATTATCTGATTTCAAATATATTTGGAAATCCCAATTTCGTCATTTTCGTCTATAAACACATTTAACAACAGGGTTTTAAAAAAAACTTATCCATGGAAAATTATATTTTAAAATGTAGAAACTTAACAAGATTATAGTTATGTTCAGTTTACCACTTTTAATGATATAAGTTTACCAGAGTGGAAACCCAGCTTTGTCTGGAAATTTTCCATATAAAAGTCAACCAAGTAAAAACCTTTCCATGGTTCTAGGAGGTTCCCAAATCAAAATTTGAGGCAGATCAGTCCAGGGGCTCCTGAGTTATGATCAGACATCCAACCGACAGAGATTACTACTTTTATAATTTGTACTGGAATAGGGTAAAGTAGTCATGCGAGTTGGAATCCTGTACCCTACCTACGTCACAAAGCCCGTATCCGCTCACTGCGCTCTCCTCTGCGTCGTCCATAGGTGCTGGAATATGACGTCAGAGGGTACCAATCTTCCCCGTACCTTATCAAACCTTTAATTCGTGCGCAAGCTTCGTTGCGATACCTTATTGACTATTTTGGCTTTTATAGAAAAGTTTAAGCCTTGATACTGTTTTACTTTTACAATATTTTAATGACCCACAATTCCACTTTTAAGACTATTAAGAAATATTTTCACATGGAAATTTTAAGAAATGTCTAAAGGAATATTTTTTTTTTAACTGTTAACTGTATGTTGGCGAAATTTTATGTAACCCTTTACGATTGTTATTTGCACTTTAAACCTTTAACTGAGTAAAAATGTTAAAAAATATTTTCTTAAATGAGGGAAAACGTCGATGATCACTTTAAAAGTGTGACTTTGCATAGAAAGAAACAAGTTTAAAGGTTTAGCAATTGTAACCCCTGAAAATTTCCATGACTTTGACAAAATGGTATTTTCTTAGGTACGTGTATGTCTCAAAGAAAATAAGGAATTTAGATTAGGATTAATTTTCTTTTTCTATATCCTTATTTGCAAAATTACTTTCAAGTATACAAATTTGTTTTTCGAATGAGCAAATTTTGAACGTTTTATTACGACACCCTGCAACCTGCAACCTGCAAATACTTAGTGTGTTATTAATCCTTGGATGAGTAGGAACCAGGCAAGAAAAATATCAAAAACAATAATTTTTACATTTCGCTAAATTTAAATATTTGAATCATCAATATTATATTTTAAATTGAAAGGAAAGTGTATATGTTATGCTTGTGATTAATTTTGCATAAAAATAATGTAATTATAATTGACTTTTACATGTAAATACACAATTTTAACAAGCAGTTAATACGTAATAACGACATATTGTTCTCCAGAAATGACATTCTGTTACGATTTTAATTTCCTTTTATTTATTGTATTAACTGAAAATATACAATTTAGCAGCTGATTCCTATTGTTATTCTTTAGTAGTATACACATTACACTGTTTTATACATTACACAGCTGATATACAGGGTGTCCCACATCATAATGGATCGATCGTTATAATGGTTCTAAAGTAAGATTTTCGGGACTAATCAGAAAATTCAAGAAGAATGGATTATTTTGAATCATTGCATGGACTAGAAATACACAGACTGCTCATAAGCTCTTACGTGCTAGGCTATGCAGGCCTATAGTCGTACCGGCACGGCATGTTACATTTCCACAAAAGGTTTTTGACTGCCATCTAACGGCATATTTTTGAATTTAGTCTATTTTTAAAGGTTTTGCATTTTGTATCCAACTGATCCTTAAGTATCCCTGAATACAGTTGTCTGCTTATTGGTCGTGAACTCCACTGGAACCTGCTGTGGAAAATATTACATAGTCTAGTCTTTAATAGATCTCAGTACTCTCTTATCTACGCAGTAAATTAAAGTACTGGAGTACATTTAACAGTACACAGCTGATAAAGTATTGGAGTACAGTTTTTAGTCGTTCAGTAAACCCAAGTATAGTGAAGTACATAAATGGTATACTCTTGAATTCTGCCGCTTTAAAGTTAAAATCATTTTCTTCGATCTTAAATTCAGTCTTTTGTATGTCACTGTTGAGTCCGGTTCATTTCAAGAACCGGTCCAACATGAAACTAGAGCGAGCTGTACAGTACACATATAGATTATACCAGGCAAAACGGGACTGTACATCAAACCCCTTCTAGGGAAATTATTTAGCATTTAAAGAAAAATGTTTTAAGCTTTAGGGAACCGTATATCAGTGTAAGCAAAGGCACTTTTCCTTTGTGTGTAACCCTGAGCTGAAAACTTTAGAATTAAATACTTTTAAGTTTTATTCTCGATCGCTCAATCCGAATATCCAATTTGGACACTTTAAATTTCCTTCTTAGTCCGCTCTTGTTCTTTCTTTTAATCACTAGCGATCAGTTTCCGACCAAATAGAGTTTTCTCATTAAATAGCGCGGAAAATTTCAAATTTCCCGGTTTCTCTGATTGGATGTTCTGGTTTCTCCAAACTTCACTCGATAGGTTGAGTTATATTTAAACTTCGCTGATACAAACTTAATATCCGATTAATCTTAAAATTAACAAAAAGAGAAAATGAAGCATTGGCCTCGATATCCACAATTCTAAAGTTTTCAGCTCTGGACGTCTAAGTATTTAATGACAGGATGTATATCTGGATTCTCCTGGTTCTAGTTGCAACTGCAAAATGTGGTTTCTGTCCAGGATTTCCATTCTGTGATGAAAAAGGTGAATGAAGTCAAAATCTGTCCTAGAGAACACTTGAAATTACAAATTTTTTTCCATTTTCTTTAACATTTAAAAATTGGATAATTTCTTTTTTTTTATGCTTAATTTTATCGATGAAATTTCCAATTAAAACAAATGATTGTTTGGGTTGAGATTTTTTCTTAAAAATAATTTTTTTTTAAATTTACCCCCTGAAGGATTGTTTTCGTAACTACCTTAGTCTTAAAAATGTCCAACACTCTACAGGTTGTATTTAAATGATTTTCCAAAGAAAGGGTTCAGTTTTCACTTGCAGCGAAAAAGATTATGATAAAAAAGATGCCTAAAATTCGAAGTTGACTCTGCAGTCTCTTCCTAACTGTCGGTAACCCTGGCTTCCTAACTGACGGTAACCCTGGCTTCCTAACTGACGGTAACCCTGGCTTCCTAACTGACGGTAACCCTGGCTTCCTAACTGTCGGTAACCATGGCTTCCTAACTGACGGTAACCCTGGCTTCCTAACTGTCGGTAACCCTGGCTTCCTAACTGTCGGTAACCCTGGCTTCCTAACTGACGGTAACCCTGGCTTCCTAACTGTCGGTAACCCTGGCTTCCTAACTGACGGTAACCCTGGCTGTAGTTGGCAAGATTACGGTTATTATAACACCTTTTTAACTATTTTATAAAGATTTATTTGCTGTTTTAAAATACATTTAGGGTATCAGGTAATTTCCTAATATACGGCCGGCCCCCTAGCCTGTCCTAGCCGCAGCGCTCGGCCCAGAAAGTGTGTTAACCTAACCCTAAATATATACTAATTTTGTTGAAAATTGTTGAACAAGTAGACATGCACAAATCATATACTAGGACGGACCATGGTATTATATCCATCTTCAGATAGATGAAACAATCCCTTTATCGTGGATTTTATGTCGTCTTTCTTTCCAACTTTATTTTGGCGACCATTTAAATATTATTGTTCCCTAGGCGTATTAAGTTAATACTTATATAATATATTAAAATATATTTCAATGGATAAAAGTTTTTTCATTTAAAGGGAGTGTTAACTTAATTTCAGAAAGTGGCATGTCCAATTTATCCCTTGTCCGTTTGAAACTTCATAAATACGACTACAGTCTCTTTGATTTTAATTTCTGAAATCAAAATGGGGGGAAAAAGTTGTTGATCCCCGAAAAATGTTTTTTATTTCAGCTAATCCTGTCTCAAGCAGTGCAGTGGAACATGTTATCACCAAGGATTACGCAAATGTAAATGGAGATAACTATATAGTGACTGGTGACAGTGCTATTATAACAGGTTATTCTTTATTCTTTGGGAACCCAGCTTTGTCTGGAATCTAATAGTTCTCTTTAAAAAGTCAACCCGTTCATTTTATTAGAGTTTTGAAACCAAAATAAGAACATTAACTTGGTTCCACCAAGTTCTCCCAATCAAAATTTTAGGGAAATCTGTAAATGAGTTCTGATCGGAGAAACCTTTAAAGGTTCATTAAGTACAGAGATCTCTCTTAGTAAATCTTTTGAAGGTTCATCAAGTACAGAGATCTCTGTTCTTAAATCTCTTGAAGGTTCTTCAAGTACAGAGATCTCTCTTCTTAAATCTCTTGAAGGGCGCTTGTTTTCCTGTAAAAATCAGCTAGATACATACAGATTACAAATTCCTTTGCGACATTATAAAATTTTAACAAACAAGGCTATCAGGGTGCTTCGTGCCCATCTTTTATTTCAATTTTTAATTGTTGCTCAATCTTTCAGAATTTTGCGGATTTAAAATTTTGTTCGCGAATTTTCAAAATTTTACGAAAATCGAACAAATCTTTGTAATTCTGGGTTCATGTGAGGACAGGTCCAACAGAAAATTTGGGCCACATCGGTTAAGCCTTTTTGGCGTTTATTGGATACAAACAATCAGACAAGCAAAGTATATGTATAAATAACCACAGCACTGTTTTCTGATTTAAAGAGTACAATCATTTGATTATGACATTTTTGTCTATAAATATTTTGTTATTCAGGAAACGTCAACGTAGTGCACGGAAAAAAATCCAAAGTAAGCGGCGACGAAAATATTGCCAACGGCGACAATGCTCATGTCGAGGGGAAAAATAACGTGGTCAACGGCGACAATTCAGCTGTCATCGGTAACGACAATGTGATAAACGGAAAAAGTCACCAAGTGACCGGAGACTATAACGTCGCAAACGGTGATAACGGGAAAATCCAAGGAGATTGGAATAAGGTGACCGGAAATGGAATAAAGGTGTACGGGAACTGGAACCGGATCTGCGGGAATGATGTTGAAGTGAAGGGGAATGACAACGCTGTTATCGGGAAAAGGTTTAAGCTGGCTGGGAGCAATGTTGGAAAAGAAGTGGAAATTGATCCAAAGAAAGTATTTTCAATTTGCAGTGATGCAAGTTTTGATGCTCTAAAGCCAAGATAATCTAAGAAATGGGAAAAAATCTTAAACCTATTTTTTGATATATTTGCAATCATTAAAGTTATAAATATCAATAACATTTAGATATCCTATTTAATTTCCTATTCTTGAATTCGTTCTAATTTTATAGAAAATATACAATTTCATCAAATATTATATTGTATAATTTTAAGCGACACCCCAATAAAAATGATAATTCAAAGATGACTTAAAAGTCGTTTATTGTACTCAATATAATAGTTTATTGGGATTTACCTCATGTAGAAATACCTTTAGAGGTAAAAAAGTGTAGTTTTTTCACCTGATGGTGTAAACCTTTGATATTTCAAACTTAAATTTTTTCATCTAACAGAATTCATAGTTTGAAATGTCTAAGGTCTACGGCATTGGATTACAAAGATATAGAGATTAGAACATCATAGTTTGTGACAAAGACTCAATTCTTTTCTGAGACATTAATTAACATTAATTATAATATTAAAGAAATAAAAAGATGTTGACTCAGAAGAAATACATGACTCAAGTTAAAGGTCAAAAAGTATTTTGTCGCTCTGACCCAGTCATAATTAAGATAAAACAAAGCGTACTTTTTACGTAGATTATTGAGAAACGCGCACAGAATGATAAGAAATTTACAGCTGTCAATTAAAACATACCTAGCATTTAATTTTGTTATTTTTTTTACTTTTTACTTTTAAGTCGAAAAAAACAAACAAATTCATGTTAAATTGGAAAGATAATTTTGTTTTAAAAAACTTATTTAAAGAGAATTTTTGATACATATATTTATCCTGCATTAGTTGGATAAAAGATAAGTAATTTGACGAAATATTATCATTATCTTCTCCACCATGAAGATAGCAATAATTCTACTTGCTGCAGGTAAACTTAAAGGGACAATTCACGACTTTTTAAATTCAAAATTTAGTTTTTTTTAATTCCATTAAACTGTAAGCACGATTTAAAAGCTTTTTCTGACCAAGAACAAATGATATATCCATGTTGTTTGACTTTGAAAATCGTCTTCAATTATTCTTTCCCCCAATGTCTAATTTGCGGATTCGTAGTAAGGAAACAATTGAGGAATTTGTTAGAAGAAAATATTTTTGAAGCTAGAAAACGCGATGTGAGAGTTATCATTGTTAATCCGATGTTCATGATAATTTTATTCATCAATGTTTATATAAACATTTTATTTATTGATGTAAACAATTTTTTCTCATTGAGAATCATGTTTCACTTTGGACAAATCAGAATAAAATCTTGTTTATTAAGTTGTTTTGGGATTTCAAAAGGCCCAACAAAAATTTTAGAAGTTTACGTTCTACAAATTTAATTTTTAAAAAGTTTACTTTAAACCAAATGATTATGGATTGTACTTTATCAATAATAGTAAAAGTAACAAAGGATTGATTTAAAATGAAGTTACAATATCATTTTACACTACCTTGGGAACACAGCGCTGCCAAGGTTACTAAAATAAAAGTTACTCCCGCCGTTTACCCGCATTTGAACGATTTTACTGGGAAACTAAATTTTCGCTATTAAATTCGATCCACTCAACTTAGATCTTAAATCAAAGCTAAAACATTCCCGTGGTTCTCCCAAGTTCCCCAATCAAAATTTGAGACAAATCGGTCCAGGGGTTCCCGAGTTATGATCGGAGAAACAAACAGAGATTAAAACTTTATATATATATATAGATGATTTGGCCGGGTTTGTTATAACCACAGTGGTAAATTACCGATAAAAATTTAAACGATTATCGTTTTTGCACTTCACTGCAAAATAGACAGAAGGCTCTATGCAACAATCAGTGTTTATTGTTTATTTTCTATTTTAACGATTTTTTGATATATTTGAATTCTTAGGTGCAATGCTCTTCCTATTTGAGCTTTAAAGAAAATCTCGATAAAAAAACTAAAAAAAATTCATTTTTAAATTCAATAATGAAATTGAATAGTTACACCAAGGACTACTAGACCTTTAAATTAAATACTCTAATATTGTAAATCGGACATATATAGAACTCTAATACTAGGTGTCCCACGAAGCATGACAGTTGGTGAATAATTTTTTAATGTCTTCTTCCATATACTGTATAAGATATAAAAGACTTTTTGCAGTTAAATTCATTAAAAAAAAATTTTACTCAAATATATTTTACTTAGAAATAAATTTTTCTATAATATGACTGCTATATGATATTGTTTATCAAATAACTTAACAAAATATGGAAGAAGACATATAGTATTCACCAAGTGTCTTGTATCGTGGGACACCCTGTTCATGACTTGAGTTCCATTTAATGATGTGTATAGTCCCTCTAACCCCCCTGACCTCTATTTTATAGTGTCTGTGTGTGTATGCAAGACTGCCCCTAGAGCAGTTCAGGAAGAGTTTCTCAGGTTCAAGGAGAAGTATGGCAAGGTTTACCAAACCAAGGCCATCGAGGAGGAGAGGTTCGAAATTTTTAAGGTAAACTTTGTTAAATTTCGAATATGACGTCTTTAAAAATCTTTCACAAAAGAAAAATTTTTTTATTGGAATGTCAACGTAGTTTCAAGTAAGGTTTGCAGCGAACGTAAACTTTCGCGAAATTTTTTTTGTATTTCGCAAATTTCTTTTAGCAAAAAAGAATTTTGCGAAAGGAATTTGTGAGAGAAAAAAAAATAACGATAATTTAGCAAAAAAGCGAAATGGCCGTTTTAAAATGAGGTCACTTAACTGTCCCTTAAAAGTCCCTGAAAAGTCCTCTTATTTGCACTTTTAAAACAAATTGATGTTCATAGATTTTGTATATTTGTTTAGGCAAACTTTTATAAGAGCTTGAGACAGAATAAGATGATTTCAAGTTATACTACAGGGATAACTCAGTTCTCAGACCTAACTGAACAGGAGTTTAAGGATACCTACCTAAGTATGTTTAGAATGTCGTCTTCAACAGAATTTTCCTGTTTTACAAGTACTGGCATACCTAGTATAACTACCTTTTGAAAAATCCCTGGCGATTAGATTAACTCAGTCCATTTATTCATAATTTCAAAAAAAAATTTAGAAGAACTTTTTCAATTTAAACTTGAAAAATCTTAGCTTCTGTGTGTCCTGGGATGGATGTACAAGAATTGAGTCTTGCCACAAACTCAAACTTTCTATTTTCTTTATCTTTGCAACCTGATGGTGTAAACCTTTCACATTTCAAGCTTAGATCATTTGATCTAATAGAAATCAAGAGTTTGAGGCAAATTCAAAAACGTCCGCTTGTAATAAACTAAACAAAATTTTAAAATCCATCTCAGGATACAAGAAGATGCCAGGAACCGTCGGGAACAGCTCCCCTAGGATCAGCAAGGACCTCCCTGACTACATCAACTGGGTGGAGAAGGGGGCTGTTACTGAAGTTAAGAACCAGGGACAATGTGGATCATGCTGGGCCTTTGCAACCACAGAGCAGGTTAATATTATATATTCCAGTGTAAACCAGTATAAATCAGTAGTAGAAACCGGGATGAAGGTCGTCTTTATTAGAGGTACTGTAGAGATGATTTCAATGGACTCAGAATAGAGTGTTGTGTTTGCATTTCCCTTTACTGCTTTTAATGTACAGTGGTAGGCGATTAGAACAAAACAATGAAGACGACTTTTGATTTCAATTTTGATTATATGAATCTTTTAAACAGCATGGATACACATAAACATAGAACTCAAGAGAAGCTGTCATTTAAAAAAGTTTCTTTTTGATTACTTGTAAACTTTTAATTCGAAAAAAGCTTGTTAACAATAAAAACTTAATTGAAAAGTCGTCTTCATTGTAGTAATAACTGTTTTTAACCCAATCTGATTTTCAGGTTGAATCATATGCTTTCATCAGTTCTGGTGAACTCCCCAACCTCTCTGCCCAGCAAGTGACCTCCTGCACCCCTAATGTCCTCCAGTGCGGAGGATCAGGAGGCTGTTTCGGCTCCGTGACCCAGCTTGGGTTCAACTACCTCCAGCTGTTCGGACAGATGGCCGAGGATGATTATCCGTATGTATCTGGAACCTCAGCTCAGACTGAGGAGTGCTCCTATGACTCCAGCAAAACAATCGTGAGCCTAACCGGATATGATACTCTTCCTGCCAATAATCATGAGGCAGTCATGACCCACTTGGCTGAGGTAACCAATTAACAAGTTTTATCGGGAAAAAAGAATTTAAAGAAACTGTAAATTTGATTTCAAGGGACCCTTCATTCATAGAATGATATTGACGATTCACAACAGTACCCTTAAAACCTTAACCAAAAAAGATTTTTAATTTCCTGCTTTTTTTCTCCATTGAGAGCATTCATTAACTGTTGATTAGAAACATAAAAGTCTGATATTAGCTAATAAAAAACTGGTCATTCTCTTCATATGTTAATTTTAATATCTTTATATCTAACCATCAGGTTGCAAAGATATAGGAAAGGTGAAAATCAGTTTATTTGTTCGGAAGTAAAAATGATGATTATTTTGTTTTTAAACCTAATTAATCAATCAGTGAAAAACATATAATTATCTAAATGTCGCAAAGCAAAAAATCTAAATCCAAAAATATGTTAAAACTAATTTTAATTGGTAAACAGCCCCTTTAGAAAATATTTGTAGGTTGGACCCCTTTCCATTGCTGTTGATGCTTCTCAATGGGCTAGTTACACTGGAGGAGTGTTCAGTGGTTGCTCTTTCCAGGAGAACATATCAATCAATCATGGAGTTCAACTCGTAGGATACGGTTCAGATTTCAGCGCAATGTAAGATATTATAATTTCATAATGATTGTATTTTATCTTGTTTTTCATTGTTTTTATTGTTGTATTGTATTGTATTGTACTGTATTGTATTGTATTGTATTGTATTGTATTGTATTGTATTGTATTGTATTGTATTGTATTGTATTGTATTGTATTTATTTGTATTGTNGTATGTATTGTATGTATTGCATTGTATGTATTGTATGTATTGTTTAGTATTTATTGTATGTATAGTATGTATTGTATGTAAGTATTGTATTGTATTTATTGTATTGTATTGTATGGTATTGTATTGTATTGTATTGTATTGCATTGTATTGTATTGAATTGTATTGTATTGTATTGTATTGTATTGCATCGCATTGCATTGTATTGTATTATATTGTTTTGTATTGTATTGTATTGTATTGTATTGTATTGTATTGTATTGTATTGTATTGTATTGTATTGTAGGGGAGTATATGATTACTGGCTGGTAAGAAATAGCTGGGGTTCAAGCTGGGGAGAGGACGGATACATTAAGCTCCTGAGAACCCCGGAGTGCGGAGTAAACTCCACCCCTATGGATGGAACTGCATGTGTCAATGGTCCAGGAAATGACGAGCAGACTGTTTGCGGCATGTGCGGAATGCTGCTAGACTGCTCCTACCCCCTTGGAGTTCAGAAATTGTAACTTAAAGACTTCTTCATTTTATTGACATAAGTATAATAAAAAATAAATATTTTTGAGAGCTGAATTATTTACAAATTATCTATACAATAAAACAAAACTTTCTTACAGTTAAACCCTAAATATTAAATACATCGAAAGAATTCATCAAATGTCGTATTTTTCCCTTTCTGATAATGAAATGTTGCAGATATTTAGTTTTTTAATTAAATGATTATATGAAGCTCTTTAAGACTGTTCCCGCATATTCATGGCTATTCATTTATTTTCGTAAATACAGAGATATACGTAAAATAGTAAAAACTCAATGAAAAATTGTCAAGATGACATTTGATAAATTCTTTCGATGTGTGGCGCATTTAGGGTTTAACTGTATATAAAATAATTAAACATTCTACCCATTGTCAGGCAGTCATAAAAATATATATATGGTATTTTATACGAAGAATAGAACTTTTCATTCTTTTCATAAAAATAAGAAAAAGACGTTATGTTTTAAAATACAGGGAGACACAGAAAATGGTGGAATAAGAAGACGACTTCAAATCAATCTTTAAGTGTATTTGATGTTGTCTTAAAGTAAATAGGTTTACTAGAAGTATAAAAATCACACGCTCTGTCTGGGTGTTCTGTATCATGTTCATTTAGCTATTTAAAATCCTAACTTGATCTAAAAGTCGTCTTTCCACAATATTCTGGTTCTCAATGTTTGAAAAAGATTTTTTGGCAAGAATATGATTTCAATATCATATCAATGAATATCTGCTCCGACTGTCCAGTATTTTATCATATCAATGAATATCTGCTCCAGCTGTCCAGTATTTTATCATATCAATGAATATCTGCTCCAGCTGTCCAGTTTTTTATCATATCAATGAATATCTGCTCCAGCTGTCCAGTATTTTATCATATCAATGAATATCTGCTCCAGCTGTCCAACATTTTATCATATCAATGAATATCTGCTCCAGGTGTCCAGCATTTTATCATATCAATGTCCAGTATTTTATCATATCAATGAATATCTGCTCCAGCTGTCCAGTATTTTATCATATCAATGAATATCTGCTCCAGCTGTCCAGCATTTTATCATATCAACATAGAAATCATTTTTCTCCTTCACAGTCTGCAGGCTTAGATCATTATCTAGCTCCCCAGTTCCTCTGAAATACAGAATGTTAAACATAATAAACTAATTAATTGCATCAAACTATAAATGATTTATCCCTATATCTGTCCAACCTGATGTCGGAGATGTACCCTTTAATATTTCAAACCATGAATTCTGCTGGATCAAATAGTCAAAGCTTGAAATATGGTTGCAAAGATATATGGATTAGAAATTATAGTTTAGGACGAGAGATCTGTCTAACGGAGATTATTTTAAAGCAGGGGCTTACTGGGTGAAGAGGGGGGGGTCCACATATCCACCCTGGCCAAATATATTAAATCTACATGTATGTAACAAATGCCTTACTCCAATAGTTCTTTTAAGTCAGTACCAATCCAAACCTTTTGTATTCTCAAGTATGTTTCAATCCAGATACAACTCGCTTAAACTGTATATTCTCTACAATAGAACTAATACTTTAGTCTGTATCAATCCAGATACAACTATCTTTGTATTCTTAAGTATGTAACTTTTAGATACAGCTTTCTCAGGAACTCTATATTCTCCATTAATTCTTAAGTCTATATCAATCCAGATACAACACTCTCTGTATTCTTAAGTAGGTATCGTTCAGATACAACTCGCTCTAGAACTCAATGTTCTCCAATAATACTTTAGTCTGTATCAACCCAGATACTACACTCTCTGTACTCTTTAGTATGTATCGTTCAGATATAACTCGCTCTCGAACTCAATGTTCTCCAATAATACTTTAGTCTGTATCAATCCAGATACTACACTCTCTGTATTCTTATAGTATGTATCGTTCAGATACAGCTTTCTCAGGAACTCTATTTTCTCCAATAATACTTTAGTCTGTATCAATCCAGATACAACAATCTCTGTATTCTTAAGTATGTATCGTTCAGATACAACTCGCTCTAGAACTCAATATGTTCTCCAATAATACTTTAGTCTGTATCAATCCAGATACTACACTCTCTGTATTCTTTAGTATGTATCGTTCAGATACAGCTTTCTCAGGAACTCTATTTTCTCCAATAATACTTTAGTCTGTATCAATCCAGATACAACACTCTCTGTATTCTTAAGTATGTATCTTTCAGAAACAACTCGCTCTCTGGTCTCTATGCGCTCTCTACGCGAGAAATAATTTCGTGTTCTAAACGTAATAAAGCAAAGGTGCATACCCTAGGCTCTCCGAGAGAAGGAAAGGTGGTATCTCTTTGTGCAGCATCGTGTAATCATAACTGCAAAAAAATGTTATAATAATTTTAAAAATAGAAATTTTGGAATGCAAACGTAATTTTAACGGTATCCTGAAAAGCTTTGTCTGATCAATTAAATATCCATATTTTGTTTTTAAAAACTAATTATTTTCAAAAGTGGTTTCTCTACAAAGAATTATTGAATTTTGTGTATTACCCATGGAAAATTATGTTTCCTTTGACCCTGTCGTCTAGTAATGGAGTCATCATACTGTAGAGAACACTGAATAGTCCAGGATTATTGCAAACATGAATCTTGTGAACCCAGATGGGGAAAGCACCAGACATGAAGGAGGTTAAACATCGAATCTGTTCCATTCCATGGGATCTAAACATATTTATTAGATTACTAGCTTGGGAACCCAGCGTTGAACAGTTTACTTACAGTTACTCCCACCGTTTACCCGCACTTGGTTTCTCATGACCAAGTTAAGAACATTTCAGTGGCGCTCCCGAGTGCCCCAATCAAAATTTGAGGAAAATCAGTTCAGGGGTTCCTGAATTATGATCGAACAAGCAAAACAAACAAAAAGACAGACAGACAAACAGAGACTACAACTTTGTATATATAGATTCAAAGACACTCCTTCAGTGGCTGCAAGACGTAATTTCCAGCCACCATTAGTCCTTCGAGTGCATGTCAAATTTACAACTTACAATTTTATTTTATACTGTCTGGTCCAGGACGACATAGATATTAAATATTCTTAATAAAATGCGGTGCCATGCCTGGAGCGGACTCTTCAATGGGCCGGACTCCCCCTAAAGTTTTAGCCATTTCAACACAATTGATTTTTGATTTGAAAAACACATTAAAAATTATCTATGTCTCCCGAGTAAATATTAATGGTTTGATGATATGAAAGGAAGACGACATTCAAGAGGAAAGAACCGTTTTTCGAATTTTCATCTTTTAAATACATTTCAGAACTAAATGCGTATTTAATATATTTAAACTAATAATATTTAATGTTTTAACATTGCTTTTTATGTATAACATTGTGTTAAAATGGATGAAAATTTAGGGGTCAAGTCCACCCCATGCAAGAGTCCGCTCTACGGTGTCACGTTAAAGAACGCCCGGACGTGAGATATTGTCCAGGGTCTTGTATTTCGGTCTGGAACATAAAACAAAATGGTTTGACAGATTGTTTTACATATTATGATATTACGACTTATTGTTACACAATTTTTAGATGTGCAAGGGATAGATGTAAAAAATCTACGTTTTATATGTTTTGAAAGAAAGACAACATTCGAGGCGGAATACTAAAACCTCGAGTCTCTCGGTACTCGATTTCCCTCATTTCCCAGATATAAGGAAATGATATTTATTTCGTCCTTACTCAAACAAATGTTTAAAAGGTTCCGTTTTTAATCGGACATGCCACTCTACAAACATGGAGAGAGGCACTAGAAATTACGTCTAATGTTTCGCAATCGAAATTTAGAATAGTTTTTTTATTTCAAAAGTTGCATTAGTGAACCTCATTCAATACATTTTGCTTACAAAATATCCAGAGCGCTGCGAGGGATGTTTTTACTTATTCATGCACTATTATGTTAAGCATTTGTAGCACATGATTAAGATTGCATGAATATATGATAGATATATCATCTGCATCTATGTATTTATATATTGTATTGTAATCTCTGTTTGTCTGTTTGTTTGTATATCCGACCATAACTCCGAACCACTTTGTTTCAAATCTAAACACCACGGGAACCTTATTAGAGTGGGTTGACTTGAATAGAGTAAGTGAGGTTCCAGGCAAAGCTGGGTTCCCCTAGTTATAATATTAATATGGACCATACCTCATTTGGTTGAATCCGAACCCGGCCAGATCACACACCATTGTTACTCCAGCAATCTGAGTTTTTTCCTAAGTAAATATCCTTTTTTAATGGCTCATTTTTTGGAAATTTATTTTTACCTCCTGGGCCAACATATCATAGATTAGATGTGAAGCAGCAAACAGTTCATTTACAGGGATGTCATCTGGATTCCAGGCACCTGAAACATTGACAGGGATATCATCTAGATTCCAGACACCTGAACATTAACAGGGATATCATCTGGATTCCAGACACCTGAAACATTTACAGAGATATCTTCTGGATTCCAGACACCTGAACATTTACAGGGATATCATCTGGATTCCAGACATCTGAACATTTACAGGGATATCATCTGGATTCCAGACATCTGAAACATTTACAGGGATATTATCTGGATTCCAGACACCTGAAACATTTACAGTGTCGCAACACCTTTGTCTTTGATCTTACCGTGATAACTTATGTTACTTTTGTGTAGCCCTGAATATGTACTTTCTTGAACTAAGTTTAAAGGAATTGAGTCTTTACCACAAACTCTGATTTTTAAATCCCTATATCTTTGCAACCCAATGTCATGAACCTTAGATATTTTAGTTTATGAATTCTTTTAGATCAAATAATCTAAGTTTGAAATATCAATGGTTTACACAACCTGCAGGTTGTGAAGATATAGGGATTAGAAAATTTGAGCTTGTGGCAAAGCCTCAATTTCTATGTAAGAAGTAATTGGGAAAATTCTCCTCGATTTTTGGCCGAGAGCTTGCAACCTTTGGATAAATGTGAATGTGAACTAAACCTGTAAAAAATAGCAAACGTGCATTTAATAAAATTTAATTAAAATTTGTTTTTCCTACCTGGGTTATAAAAGAAAATTCGTCTGCCATAGTAATCCCTGTAATCTGATACAGAAATCAGCTTCTGGGCCCAAACTTTCTCCAGCCTAAAAACCCAACACATTTTTTTCATCTTAAAACAAGACATGGAGGTCACTTCATGACCATTTCTTACAAGCTAGGTTTCCATGCCACTCTGAGTCCATCTTTTTGGTAAAAATCTCAGCATTATGTTTCTATTATTTTTGTTTTGTACATTTGAAATATATGATAACAAGAAAATATCAAATTTGTTCCTGCTTCCATTAACAGATTTGCAGCATTTGAAAAAAATATTTCCGACAAAGTCTTTTATTCTGACCGACCGGTGAGCCTTTTTGACGTTTATTTTATTCAAAGAATATAATTCATGTATTTTATTTGTAGATTTAAATTAATTAAAGAAAACATTTAATAGTGGTTAGAGGAATTTTCTTTTTATATGAACAATCATGCGAACTAATGAGCAACTAAGTGCACCTTTCTTAAGATAAGATAAAATAAAACTTTCTATTCATTAAATCTAAATAGTTAAATAATAATAATAATATAAAGTCTCCTTTACTACATGTAAAAGTTTTTAAGAAAGGCCGACTTTTATTGCTTTTTAAGCTATACATATAATTAGTAGTAATCTATGTCTGTTTGTTTTGATGTCCGATCATAACTCATGAACTCTCGTGACCTTTTTGCCTCAAAATTTGATTTGGAAACTCCACAAAACCACAAGAATGTTCTTAAAAATATGGTTTCCAGACAATGCCATGGGTTCCCAGTTAGTGTAGGTTTAAAGTACATATACTTACTTTAAAGGCACTGATGCTTTTACTATTCCAGGATATAGATTACCGGAAGCAATGTATTGTCTGAAATATTTATTTTATAACAAAAAATAAATGATAAAAACTAAAAATCAAATCACAAATAAAGTAATAATTAATAGAAATCTTTAAAATCAAAATTAATTTATATAAATTGTTCTTCCGACACATCAAAATCTTTAAAGTTAAAATCTAATTTATAATTTAAAAAAAACTTAACCTTAGAATATGCATTGCTGTTTTTACATTCCACAATCCAGCCCTCAGAAATTTTATCATACATTGTTTGTCCTCAAACCGACTGAAAATAGAAGTCATCCAGAAAAAACTTTCAATTATGATTTATGTTGTAAATTAAGGGACTGTAAGCCTAATTTTAAGTGACCCGTCATGTAAAGATAGCAATGCCCGATTTACAATGGTACCCTTGAAATCTTAATCTGATCAAAAATGTGGAAGATAACTTTGGTTTTCTGACTCGAAAAGTTCTGTGAGTTTCTCCATTGCTTCTTTTAAGCAAGGAATGCACAATTTACTTTTGCAGACACTCTTGTATTTCCGATTCCATTAGCGCCTGATCCAATCAGGGTTAAGTCATGTGTTTGTTGTCTATTCTGAACGAATATAAATAGTGTGGCGGTAACATCTATCTTTCTATCTATCTCATTATCCAATTAAAGATAAGAATCCTTTAATCGGCGATATAACAGTAAATGGAAATATTTACTTCTACTGAAACTATAATGCAAATGAAAATAAACAGTATAAAGAAACAAAAAACAAGAATATCTAATTGATACTTGATCAGACAAAGCTTTTAAAGGTAAAGTTGTAAATCGGGCATTGACATCTTTGCATAGAGGGTCACTTAAAACTACTCTTACAGTCCCTTTAGATATAAAGTTAAACGAACTGATTTGTAATTACACACCTTATACCCTTGCAACCTGATGTCGTAGACATTTTACATTTTAGAATATGAACTCCGCTAGATCGAAAAGCCAGAGTTTGAAATAACTGAGGTTATAATAGTGTATATTAGGTTGCAAAGATATATATGTTTCAGGTCTGAATTTAGTAAAAAAAAAAAATGTTAGATCTAAATATTTATTTCATGCTAATCCATTTAAAGATTTAAACAGACATTACATTACATTACAAGATATAGCATTACATTTGTAAAAAAATAATAGTAAAAAAAATTGAAAGAGAAATCTCAGCCATTTGTTAAAAAAAGGATAAATGGGATTTATTTAGCTTTTTGTGCTTTTTTACCTTGACTTTTCTTCTGGACCTTTCCACTTTGCCACCTGGGGATCTGCTTGAATCAGTTTAATGAACTCTGAGATCTTCGCCTCCCTTCAATAAAAATTGTTTATTAATAAACTATGTATTTAAAACCTCATGTATAAAACCCATATAATGAGGCTTCAGTGTCAAGTTGCGCAGAGAGAAAATTGAATTTGTGTTTTCAACCTTGTTTTTAACCTTTCTCCTTCATTTTCTTTAACAATATCTGTTTTCAACCTTGTTTTCTTACCTTTCTTCTTCATTTTCTTTAACAATATCTGTTTTCAACCTTGTTTTCTTACCTCTCTTCTTCGTTTTCTTTAACAATATCTGTTTTCAACCTTGTTTTCTTACCTTTCTTCTTCATTTTCTTTAACAATATCTGTTTTCAACCTTGTTTTCTTACCTTTCTTTTTCATTTTCTTTAACAATATCTGTTTTCAACCTTGTTTTCTTACCTTTCTTCTTCGTTTTCTTTAACAATTTCTGATGCAATGGTTTTCCAGGTTTCGTCCAAATCATTTCCCGGTTCAAAAACAAAAGAATCTAAAAAAAACTTAAAATAAAAAAAATCTGTTAACAAAATTTTTTTATGTTATATTATAATTTTGTTTGTTTGTGATGTTAATCTAAATCTTAGGAGTACTTCAAAAATGATTTATGAACAGTGGAATGATAATTGTTTTTTTTTTATTTTGATTTAGAATGTGAAATTTTGACTGATTTATATCATGAACCTTAGTGTTCAGTAATCATTGATGAAATTTACATCTTTAGCGACATCTCCTGATGACAAATTCGACATTTGAACCTCTTCAGTCAGCGCACTCCTGTATGCCGAGTTCATTAGCGCCTGATCCAATCAGGGTTCAGCAATGTACTTGATTTCTATTCTTAACCAATAGAAATAGTATGGCGGTAACATATATTTTTCTATCTCTCTTATTATCCAATTAGAGTTATGAATCCTTCTATCGGCACTATCAGTAAATGGAAATATTTACTTCTACTGAAACTATGGTGAGCGTAGTATTTCTTTTGTTGAAAGCTGTAATTTTATTTTATAAAAGTATTTAATTTTTACCTTTTATCACCTCATTAAAATATCGTTTTTCCATCTCTACTTAGTCTTATGTAAAACCGCTGCAGGTCAACCTGGAACCATTTTTGTTATCAAATTATCATTTTTGTTATCATTATCATTTTTGTTATCATTATCATTTTTGTTATCATTATCATTTTTGTTATCATTACCATTTTTGTTATCATTTTTAATTTTTTTATCATTATAATTTTTTTATCATTATAATTTTTGTTATCATTATTATTTTTGTTATCATTATTATTTTTTTTATTTGTTTGAAACGGATTCCTACACCATTAAGGTAACTCACTTAAAACTATAGACGAGATATACACAGACTGCTCCACAGACGAGATTTACACAGACTTCTTTATAGACGAGATATACACAGACTGCTCCACAGACGAGATATACACAGACTGCTCCAAAGACGAGATATACACAGACTGCTCCATAGACGAGATAAACACAGACTGCTCCATAGACGAGATAAACACAGACTCTTTTATTAAAATCTACACAAATGTTAAGACCCCAAAAAGGAGACTCGGGAGTTTCGTTCAACGATACTCATTTAAATTTCGGGCTCCTCTGGGAAAAATATTGCATATTCTACCCTTTAATAGATCTCAATACTCTCCTTAAAACTAACTACAACGAACCCATCCTGTCACTTGTAAGTATTGGAATATTTTTAGTCAAATTTTTATCATAATCTGTAAAATAACTTTAATCTACTTTAATCTATGAAATGCAAAGCTTAATAATAACGTTTAAAAAGCAGAAGCACAAAATCTACAATTAATTTCCGGCGGTTAATGGGTTTTCAATTAGTAAAGGCCGGTTTAGATGTACATATACATATGTACATTAGGCCTAATGTACATACATTTACATAATATACAGTTGCTTCTGATATGCGTGTTACTAACTGTACAAAATTGGATTTAATTTCTAATATAATCAGTTTAAAGAAAAGAACTTGTTAGTATTAATCAGCAATGCAAGTTTTTACTAAATCAAGGTTCTTGGAAAATTAATAATTTCAACAATTGAAAATTGAAATTAAAGCTAAAAAATTTAAAAGGTGTTTATTTCGCACAAATTTCATCTACTGTTTATGTTGCAAGAAATCTGCAAGTCAATTTTAAAGAGAAACTCCAATAAAAAACACTTTTCAAAGAGAAATCATGCACTCATGCAAGGGTATTGTTGTGAATCATACATGTATAAAATTGGAAGGTGTCTAGAAATTAAGCCCTTTAATCCCTTTAGAAAAGAAAGGTACGTTTGTCTTTAAAATCATTTCCAATTTTGGCAACCCTTTCACTAGCTATTGACAATTGACTATTAACTATTCTTAATGTATAAAATCCTCATAGGTTAGCAGGATATTTGTGATTGGCAGATTTTTGGTAACTAATAATTGGGTAACCTGACAATTTTGTAAGTACAAGCTTTATAACTAACCACTTGGTAACTAATATTTTGGTTATTAATAATTTGGTAACTAACAATTTTGTGTCTATAATTAGGTAACCTCACAATTTGGTAACTAACATTTCATTGTAACTTCACGATTGTGTAACCTAAACATTTGGTAACCTGATCGTCAGGTAACATGTAAATCGGTTAAAACCCGGCATCCGAATCCGGGTTTTATGAATGGGATAGAGTTGCATGAATCACTAAATGACCAATATCACTGGTTGTATTTTAAACCTTTACAATATCTGTATTTATTCTCTACTTGAACTCTACTTACGTTTATTGTAATATTACTGTGTTACTGCCAATGTTACAAGTGGAACTGAATAAAGAAACATTCTTCATTTAACCCGGGGCTATTATCATGATTCTTTCCTACGTAGTTTCAGCAACAGGAGAGCCCGTGAACCCATGGTCTAGCCTGTATATACTGTATAGGGATTCACACTATACACAGGCGTAGGGTGGAGAAGGGCTTTCATACCTGCATACCTTCTTACTTTACTGGAGGTAGGTTTATGGCATGGTTTGTATACTTAAGAATTGGGAGGATAGAATTCGTGTAAATTTTACTGTGAAGTAATTCGACTGCTCAGAACCTGATTTCCCTGATTAGATGTAAATAAACAATGGTTTAGTAAACAAGTATGGAAAATTACAACCAGGCGCGTACACAGGAATTAAGTCAGGGGGGCAAGCGCAAAAAACAAATGTTGCCCCCCCTGGCCTTAAAAATGCTGTTATTCAATACTAAGTCTACTACATGTCCCCTATGTAGCTCATTTAGTATTCAAGGACTTTATATTACAATGTATCCCTCTGTTTAGTTTTCTCTGAAGTCCTGAGTAGTCTCCTGAGACTACTCCCCTTTCTAGTCCACTGTAGTCCCAATTCAAGGAATACATATTATAATGTATCTATCTATGTATTACCCTCTGCATAATGCATATAGCTATAGTTGTTTATCAATTATGCGGGGGGGGGGGGGGAGATTTTAGATAAAAGGGAAATACTACGGTAAAATTTGAAAATAAATATCGCAAAGCACCAAGAAAATTTTCAACTATACTTTTTAAGGGGGAAAACACCCCTTTGATGATGAGGGCCAGCTCTTTTTTATTACCCAGAACACCTGACTTTTACCTTTGCTCATAAATCCCAGGGGGGGGGGCACGAGGACTACTGCCCCCTGTGTTCACGTCTGTAACAACCTTTATTTACAATCTTATTGTTTTACTAAAATATAGTTCCTTACAGTCCGAATATAGTTCCTTACAGTCCGAATAAGTCACAGTTCTGTGTATTATGTACATTGTATATGTACACTGTACAGTGTTGTTTGTAATATGTACATTGTATACAGTGTTGTGTGTAATATGTACATTGTATACAGTGTTGTGTGTAATATGTACATTGTATACAGTGTTGTGTGTAATATGTACATTGTATACAGTGTTGTTTGTAATATGTACATTGTATACAGTGTTGTGTGTAATATGTACATTGTATACAGTGTTGTGTCTAGTATGTACATTGTATACAGTGTCATGTTTAGTATGTACATTGTATACAGTGTTTTGTCTAGTATGTACATTGTATACAGTGTTGGGTTTAGTATGTACATTGTATACAGTGTTGTGTTTAGAATGTACAGTGTATGCAGTGTTGTGTTTAGAATGTAATGCAGTGTTGTGTTTAGAATGTACATTGTATACAGTTTTGTGTTTAGTATGTACATTGTATACAGTGTTGTGTTTAGTATGTACATTGTATACAGTGTTGTTTGTAATATGTACATTGTATACAGTGTTGTGTGTAATATGTACATTGTATACAGTGTTGTGTTTAGTATGTACATTGTATACAGTGTTGTGTTTAGTATGTACATTGTATACAGTGTTGTTTTTAGTATGTACATTGTATACAGTGTTGTGTGTAATATGTACATTGTATACAGTGTTGTGTGTAATATGTACATTGCATACAGTGTTGTGTTTAGAATGTACAGTGTATACAGTGTTGTGTGTAGTATATGTAAATTGTATACAGTGTTGTGTTTAGTATGTACATTGTATACAGTGGTGTGTGTAATATGTACATTGTATACAGTGTTGTGTGTAATCTGTACATTATATACAGTGTTGTGTTTAGTATATGTACATTGTATACAGTGTTGTGTGTAGAATGTACATTGTATACAGTGTTGTGTTTAGTATATGTACATTGTAAACAGTGTTGTGTGTAGAATGTACATTGTATACAGTGTTGTGTGTAGTATGTACATTGTATACAGTGTAGTGTTTTGTATATGTACATTGTATACAGTGTTGTGTGTAGAATGTATACATCGTATTCAGAATATGCATTGCATGCAATGTTGTGTGAAACTTGCACATTGTGTGTGGAATGTGCATTGTGAACATTGTTGTGTGTGTTATGCAAAAAGAGCATAATCAAAGTACAGTTATGTGTTATGTGTATGATACAAAATGTATGAACAAAAGTTTTTTTAATAAAATATAAATTAACTTAATTTATTTATTAGATTATTTTGGATTAACAATCTTATTGTTAAGTATGCTTCATAGTATAATCCTTTATTTCTTCATAATAAGCATTCTTCTCCTTCAATATCCTAACACTTGCTTCATCATCTAGTTCTCCACCACCCCTAAACATAATATTCATTTTGTATACTTGCAACTGAGTCAATTGCAATTGGTTTGACTCCAATTGAGTTAATTGCAACTGAGTTAATTGCAATTTTAAGTTAATGGCAATTTTAAGGTAATTGCAACTTAGTTAATTGCAACTAAGTTGGTTGCAAACGTATGTTGTAAAATCAAGTAAGAAAAATGTACAAGACAAAAAACTGTGTTATTAAATTAAATTTAATTACCCTAAACTCTTCGGGAGAAGGAAACTAGGAATCTGTTCTTGTAGCAATGTAAAATTAGACCTAAAATGAACCCGATCATAGAAAAAAATCTAAGAAATAAATAACTATTTACTCTTCATTACAAGGAGGCCATTGGTATGCAATAAATATGAGGTATTATTACCGAGGCTTCCCAAATCCCAAGATTTAGTTGGGTCCTCAAACATCTCAAGCATAGCAAGGGATGCAATGTAAATATCAGGGATCACAGAGTAGATATTAATAGAGGTTCAGTGTACTAAAGTACAGCAGGCAAGCAGAGCCCAAGACTTAAGACAGGGTATTTTTATGAAAACCAGTTTTAAACCCCGGGTTTTACGAATGGGGTTAGGCGGTTTTGTGGATATCAATATTTTAGTTATTAAATATTTTTCATTTGGTTTCTTCACATTCTTCATTTTTGTCGAATCTCTTAAATCAAAATCTACACAAATGTTAAGACCCCAAAAAGTAAACTCCAGAGTTTCGTTCAACGATACTCTTTATAAATCTCGGGCTCTGCAGGGCAAAACTGTACATTTTACAAAAATTGGGGTTGTTTGTGTGCGTATTTTTAAAAAGCAAGTTATTTTTCCAATGCTTCCTTTGTTTTCTGTTTAGTTTAGTTTACATTTTAGCGGGAAAATATTTTTCTATCTTTAAGATGATTCAGTACTGATGTGTACTCCGAAAAAATGCCGTACTAAATATATGTCAAATCGAAGTTTTAAAAAAACCCTGCAGACTCTGCAGTACGTGTACTGTATGAACCCCACTTCCTCTTGGAATTGAGGTTTCGTGACATGATTTGGCTGAGTGTCTATCTTTGTCAATGTCAGGGATTCAATACAATTAATAGAATTCTGTTTAAATATCTTACCCATGGAAAATTATATTTCCTTTAACCCTGTCGTCTAGTAATGGAGTCATCATACTGTAGAGAACTCCGAATAGTCGAGGATTGTTGCAAACATGAATCTTTCGTAACCAGACAGGGAAAGCACCAGACATGAAGGAGGTCATGCACCGAACCTGTTCCATTCCAAGATTTCTGAAATTAGGAAGGTATTAATTAAAATGTTGCTACTACAAATTCCAATGTAAAACTTAAATTTCAATTTAAGGAAATAAGTTTTTGTCAAAAAATCAAATTTTAAATTGCCTTTATCTATATCAGATATTTCAATCTTGTAATATTTTATCTAACGGAATTCACAGTTTGAAGTATACGGTCTACGATATTGGGTTTCAAAGATATAGGGATTAGAAAATCAGAATTTGTGACAAAGACTCAATTTCTTTATTTTCAAAAAAAGTATATTATGGTTGAAAGCATACATACAATTGAAGCATACTTTTATGATTAATGCTTTAAAGATGACCTAAGCTGTTTGAATCCGAACCCAGTTAGATCACACACCATTGTTATTCCGGCAATTTGGGTTTTCTCCTAGTTTAAATATATGCACCTATGATAAAGATTACTAAAAAGATCATTGATAAGATGTAAGTTATGATGATTAAGATCAATGCTTATAACAAGATCTATATTTTTTTTTCAAAGATTTAAAATGTCAAAAAGATTCTTTATCAAAAAATTAACAATTATAAAAAGATGAATATTATGTCAAAAAATAAGCTTATTTGTATTTAAAAATTTATAATCATGAAACAAACCAATGATTATGAAAAAAAATAGGTGATTGTAAAAGATAAATATTTAAAAATAGAAGAATTAATATAAAAAAGAACATGACTAAAAAATATTTGAACCTCTTGAGCCAGCATTTCAAACATAATATAGGACGCAGCAAACAGTTCATTTACAGGAATCTCGTCAGGGTTCCAAACTCCTGCAGAAAAATACAATTTTGTTCAATCTCAGTAAATATCGAGTAGTTTCATAGTAAATATCGTGTAGTCTCCTAGTTAATATCGAGTAGTTTCATAGGAATTATCTAGTAGTTTCATAGGAAATATCTAGTAGTTTTATAGATAATATCGAGTAGTTTCATAGGAAATATCTCTTAGTTTTATAGGAAATATCGAGTATTTTTATAGGAAATATCGAGTAGTTTCAAAGGAAATATCCAATCGGCTCCCTATTTTGCGACTAAGTCTAACTCCACCTAACAAGCTTAATCTAATGTTAAGATTTAAACAATTTTAGGTCAGTTTCTTTTAGGTCGCGGGTCCCGACTAGAGGAGCATGTAAAGAATATTTGCGCGCTAAAAATATTAAATAAACTAAATATACTAACTTAACCTATATATATTGGTTTAACAAAAAACTCAAAAATGTCTGAAACCGTATATTTCCCCAACGGGAAAATGTGTCTTTTTAAATAAGAAATACCGACACACAGCAAAATTGTTCATTTAATTTTATTCCTACAAAAATATTCAGATTTTTTTTTTATTAAACATGGATTAGCGGAGGTCGATTTTTATGTGTGGATGAAATGGGTATCCATAAAGTTGCGCCTAAAACTACTGAATAAAGCACATTTTTTACTTTTTGAAATAAAAAAATTGTATCCACTTAAAGTTAATGTTTTTTGCCTGAAAAATTATTCAATTTTAAACAGGTCTCATCATTTTTTAATTCCGTGCTTCAAGTCGTAATTTTAAAATTCCAATTCGATAAATTTTGAAGTACAAATCTCGCTTACACAAGTGAATTTTTCTTTACGAAAACGTGATGCTTTGAATGATTTTTATTACAGAAACCTTTGAGACCCGCACTGTTAGGGACAGAATTTAATGAATTTGAGCTACGTTGCTGAACTACCATCTACCATCGATTCAAAATTTGAACAATAGATTCAAAGTTAAAGACTAAGGAAGAATTTTAAACGGTGATTTAAATTTGAACCGGCGATATGCAGTTCAAATTCATTAAATTCTGTCCTAAAACATTTTTATCAAAAAAGAGTGAAATGGTCCCACCCTTGATATAATCTATTATATGTAGTATAAAACTACCTGGTCTAAAAAAATATATTCTTCTACCATAATAATCTCTATATTCTGTTGCAGCAATCAGCTTCCTACTCCATACTTTTTCCAACCTGATCAGGTGTAATGATATATTTTACACAAAGAGAATAGAATATATATTAGAGGGGAATTTAGACAATCCTTCGTTATGAATTTTGTCAGTCCCTTTCAGCCTGAAAGGGAGTTCAAAGTGAACAAATCATGTAAATTTTCACAAATTATATGCAGTAGAGTACATTAATACAGTATGTTCCCTAGACTCATTTCAATTTTGAATTGTTTAAAGCTGTTAAATAAACTTTATAAAATGAATTAGATGAATAAAAAACATCATTTGATTTATAGTTATAACGGAAAATCATCGTTAGTAAAGTGAAATAATAATTTGGTTTTCTTTTAATATTAATTTTAGATTTTCTATGAAATGATGTTCCAGGGCCCAAAAGGCACAAATATGTGAAGTACACCTGCAGTATGGAAACATTACAACATAATGGCCGTTTTATACTTCTTTCTAGTAAATTCCACTCTAATATATATTCTATTCTCTTTGATTTTACAGGGTCACACACGAAAAATGCGACTTTAGAGACGACCTACAAAAAAATGTTCAATTCTTGTTCATCCATTTATGTTTACTTCCAATTGGAATTATTTTGGGTTTCTTTCTTTCTTTCAAATTATATGAAGTGTTTTTACATGGAATTTGTAAGGAATTGAGTCTTTGCCACTATATTAACTCAAATTTACTAATTCCGATCTTTGCAACCTTGTTTCTAAAATTCCACGGGAAACGCCGTGCAATTTAACTACAGCAAATCTCACATATAAGAATAAATAGCAAGAGCGTATGAAATGTCATCTTGAAATTTATGACAGCTGTTATGCTTCATCATTTGTCTGCATATGAAGAAAGCTGCTGAGATGTTCTCAGCTTTAAAGGGTTGATTACGGCTTATGAAAATATATCCAAATATCGTATGTAGAGATTCAGTTTTTTGATAGTTTCTTAATAATTGATCTTTATTCGATAGGGTTACCATGATGATACATTGGTTGATTAATTTAAGATATTAAATTATTGTTTCGTTAACAATTAATTTACGATTGATTATTTGCATGATGTACCATAAACAACTGATTGATCGGTTGATTTTTGATTTATTAACAAAAGATGATTGATTGATTATTTTAACAAAAAGAATTGATAAATTAAAAAATAAAACTTACAGTGTTGGAACAGATACTTTAGCTATATTTGGGTAGAGTTGGCAAGAGGCAAGATACTGTCTGAAATAAACAAAACACTTTATTTGCATTGTCATAAAATGTCGTCTTCCTAGGAAAAATGTTCTTATAATTAAAAAATATCGTCTTTGTTAGAATGCTGGATAACATTGAAATTAGGTAGATTCTCACTGTTCAGCTAGAAAAGGAAATACTGAGAGGAATTAAACTTTAAAAATATTGTTGCTTTCGTGTTGACAAAGGCGACATTAAAAAGAAAAGATACAATATTTATATTTATTTGTTCACTCTTTTTTTGGATATAGTCCCTCACGTTTCTGTATATATTAATCTTAAATGGCGCGATAAATTTTAAATTTTCCGGCTTCTGATACGCAACTCTGATTTTATACACTTTTCAGGGTACAAGATTAGGTTAGTCTCGATATTAAGAAAATGAGAGGATCAAGCATTGATCTCAATATCCACCATTCTAAAGTTCCCAGCTCAGGTCACATCACGCTGGACTAACAAGGCCAGATGCGTTTGGTTTCTTCAATTTCAATTCAAACACGTTTTGGTCTATAATTCAACAATATTCACACTTACGGAGTTGTTTTTTATACTTTTTCATTTAAAACCTTTCCGCGGTCTAAAAGGTAAAGCCAAAAAAAGGTGAAAGATTTATGTTTATTGTTTAATAGGTCAAATTGTGATCAAAAGTCACAAGGATCGAATTTTTAAATCTGCGTGGTGCATGTGTATTGTGTAGAGAGTATTACAGGGTGCCCCACGAAACATGACAGTTGGTAAATAGTTTTGAATGTCGTCTTCCATACACTGTAGTAGATATTAAAGGCTGTTTGCAGTTTATTTCGTTTTAAAAAATCTTTTGCTCAAGTATAATTTTCACTTTGAAATTAATTTTACTATAATAAGACTCCTATATAATAATTTTATTATTGTCTTTGGTATTAAACAAATTATGGAAGAAGACATTCTAAACTATTTACCCACTGTCATGTTTCGTGGGACACCCTGTACCTGAGTACATGTAATGCTGCTTGTATATCCCAAAGACCAGCTCTAAGGTACTGAACTAAGTATCTTCTCTCTTCAAATCTAGAAATCTTATTATTAACTACCGTTGTCTGTGAAATAAAAAGTAAGAATTTTGAAGAAATGAAAAAAATTTAAATTTAAAAAATAAGATTTTTTTGGCCATGGTAATTGTTAACCCCCCGCGGGGTAACGTGTTTCATATTCATTATATAGAAGAAATATTACAAAATAAAATGTTACTTTCACAAAGAAAAAAACTAAAAATCTTAAGAAGTGTACAACTATTGTTTTATGGTGTGGAAGAGAAATGGTTGGAGGTAAAGCACTTTTAAGACTATAGAGCTACTATTGCAAAGAATGACACCAAGTAGTTTATCAATATAAACACAGCTGGTAGAAGTATAGAAGATGAAAAAAATTATAAAATGCATAATTTATCATCATTTTCTTAAAGGGACTGTATACGCAATTTCAAGGTACCCTCCATGCAAAGATAGCAATGCCTGATTTACACCGGTGCACTAAAAAAGCTTTACTAGAAAAGTGTTTATTTCTGTGAATTTCTTCATTGTTTCTTATAAGCAAGAAATGCGGCAAGTCACTTTTGCAGAGAAATCACAAATGAAAACAAACAAAAACATGCATATCTAATTCATATTATAGAAAACAAACCTTTTAAGGGTACCGTTGTAAATTGGGCATTGCTTTCTTTGCATGGAGGGTCACTTGAAATTATGCTTACAAATACAGTCCCTTTAATTTAGAGATTTTATAGAAATGCTGAATAACTTACCTAAACTGTTCATCTTGTGCTCTCCACTTGGCAACCTCCAGATCTTCTTGGACAGCTTTAAAATACTCAGCAATTCTTTTCTCTCTGAATTGAAATAAGTTTATTTTAATATAACTTCATAATTTTTAATGAAGCTGGCGTTGCCCAGGTCACTCATAGTTTACCCGCGCTTGGACTTAAATTACGATTTTAGCTATTTTTCCGTATTAAAGTCTACCCACTCAATTTAAAATCTCAAAACCAAGATATAAGAACATTTCCGTGGTTCTCTCGATTTTCCCCAATCAACATTTGAGGCAAATCGGTCAAGGGGTACCTGAGTTATGATGATAAGTTAAAACAACCAAAATTCTGCTATTTATTGTGACGTTACCTTTCTACAGGATTTTCATCAAGTATTTCAGCAGCCATTGTTTTCCATATTTCATCCAACTCTGCTGTTAGATCAAAGTTAAATGGATCTAAAAAAATTATTTATTAATTAAAGTCTACAATCAGTTTAAAGTGTTTTGAAAGGTGTTTTTATTTATTATTTACAACTACAGTGAGAACCAGAAAACTGAGAAATCGAAGACGACATTCAAGCAATTTTTAAAGTGTATTCAATGTTGTTACAAAGCAAATAGTTATGGTTTGTGCACAACTGCTGTGTGTCAGGTTCGTCAGGTACAAATTGGACAATTTTCATGTTTTCCTTTTGCACAGTGGTTCTCCTTGTACTTTACAGGGAAACTAATGGAATTTTACAATACCAGGGGTTCCCTAGACCAATTTTGCCTACAAAACATCCAGAACGTAGCGAGGAAAGTTTTAAATTGGATGGTTGTTTTGTTAGTGAAAAAGGCAGTAAAGTACGAAATTGGATGGTTGTTTTGTTAGTGAAAAGCCGGTAAAGTACGAAATTGGATGGTTGTTTTGTTAGTGAAAAGGTGGTAAAGTACGAAATTGGATGGTTGTTTTGTTAATAAAAAGGTGGTAAAGTACGAAATTAGATGGTTGTTTTGTTAGTGAAAAGGCGGTAAAGTACGAAATGGTTCTCCGGATTATGTAGTTTGTAACTAGTATAACTTTGAAAATGAGCCATAAATATGTTTACAGATATTTTGTAGCTTCACGAATCATTTCTAATGAAAACTTAAACAAATATGACTTTCATTTCCCTTTACATGAATTTAAAGAAAAAAAATTGACGATAAAATATTTTGTAATTATGAAATCAATCAATATATCAATTAGTTTTAGAAAAATCCACCATTGTCCCTTGTTTCTCCATTTTGAATTCCTGTTTCCAACAATTTTGAAGACATGGTCCCCCCCCCCCCCCCTAAGGCACCCGCGCCCTGAATATAAAATAGATTTACCTTTAAAAACTTCTGTGAAATAACGCTTCTCCATTTTATCAATCTAACGCTGAACTGTGGAGTACAATTATTTGATATTTAACAACTTATTTGTTAATTAATTTCTTATCATTCAAACTTGGACTTTATTTTTAGAAGATAAAAAGATTTAAGTACATAACTTTTTTAAAATGCATTTTCATAAAGCTATAAAATGCATATGATACTTCAATAATAATAAACAAGAAATTCAAATATCCTTCAATAGACAATCTGGGGTACCTTTCAAAGATGATACAGTGAGTGATCGTAATTTAAAACTGCCACTTTTATCTGTGTATCGGTGATGGAGATATCTTTGATTTTTTTATTCGATGATGGATCTTTTTTCTTTATTGCTACATAATTTAAATTTTACTCAAAAGATTATATTTTTAACAAAAAGGCAAAATTAACGTTCAGAATTGTATGAAGTTAAATGTCTCATCGTTAGCTGGTACCCTTGAGCCCGAAACTTAAGACAAATCCTATCGTTATGAAACCCAGTATCGGAAACCTTGTTTAAATATTTAAAAAAAAATATATATATAAAAATATATATAACTATATCACTTGCCTCTGTGTACATTTCTGAAAAATAAACATTTTCGCAGATTTTCAACTTCTTGTTTGGTGAACTTTTTGAATTCCAAAAACATGGATACATTTCAAGAAAAGGTTGTTAGCAGAACCCACAGAACCACAGTTGTCCTCAAGTTTGTGACCCGCCTTTCTGACGTGAAAAACCGCCCCCCCCCCACTCCCCACACAATTTTTGAAATTATTGACATTTTTTACGTCTATGGAATAGTTCTGATCAATTGATGTGAATTACAAAAATTGAATTAGAGATTGTACAGTTTGAAATTTGACATTTTGGCTTGGTTGAACCTTGCAATAGGACGATTTTTATTAGTAAAATAAAAATTATCATTACATTAAGATTCATAAGTTTCTTCATTAGATTATAATAAGGAGTTACAATTAAGCGAAAATGATTAAGAATATTGATATAATGATAATTATGATGATAACTGACTTAAAGTGGAGGATGTCTTGCATGGTGAAATTTGCGCCCTAACTCACTTTAAAATCGGGCATAAAGTTTTTGTGGCCTTGCATGGTACCCTTGCATTGTAGACTAAGATCTTACCATTTTTCAAGAATAACTGCGCATTTTTTAGATTTGTTGCGGAAATTTTTCTGGGGGGCGATGTCTTAATTTTAGCTTTGTATCAGTAACTCGTTTTAAATTAAGAACCTTTGATAAAATTAAAATCGTCTTATAATTAACATTTTTTTTATTTTTTTTCGATAACACCTCAAATTTTATAGGTAAACCCGTTTTCTAAGCTTTTCAATAATATCTTACACATTACGTGAGTAGAGAACACAAAATGTTTTCACATCTCCGGTAGCTTTGTAGGTTTATTTGGCAGACCACATTTAAGAAATTCCAAGACTCGGGATGTTATTTGATTATTGTTTCAAGAATGTCACTTCTAAAGTTAGGTTGACACAAGGTATGGGTTGAAGAACTTGTAAAGTTAGGTTGACGCAAGGTGTGGGTTGAAGAACTTGTAAAGTTAGGTTGACACAAGGTATAGGTTGACGAACAATTGTAAAGTAAGGTTGGCACAAAGTATTGGTTGACAAACTTGTAAAGTTAGGTTGACACAAGGTATGGATTGACGCAAGGTATGGGTTGATGAACTTGTAAAGGTAGGTTGACGCAAGGTATGGGTTGACGCAAGGTATGGGTTGACGCAAGGTATGGGTTGACACAAGGTATGGGTTGACGCAAGGTATAGGTTGACGCAAGGTATGGGTTGACGCAAGGTATGGGTTGAAGCAAGGAATGGGTTGACACAAGGTATGGGTTGACACAAGGTATAGGTTGACGCAAGGTATGGGTTGAAGCAAGGTATGGGTTGAAGCAAGGAATGGGTTGACGAATCAATGAGGCAAATTATTTCAAAAATCAAAGTCGTATTTCTACTATCATGTTCTGTGAGACTATCTACATATATTATATATAAAGTAGTAATCTCTGCTGGTTTGTTTGGATGTCCGAAAATAACTCAAAAACCAGTGAACCGATTTGCCTTAAATTTTGTTGGGGATCTTGGGAGAACAACGGGAATGTTCTTAGCTTAGTTTTGAGATTCTAAGTTGAGTGGATCTCGACTTGTTTAGGGAAAAATTGATAAAATTATGATTTAATACCAAGTGCGGGTAAACGGCGGGATCGTAACCAAGAGTAACCTGGACAGCACCAGGTTCCCAAGCTATAGTATATAACCATAAATTCAAAAAAGTGTTTGGCACGCCACTTGAATTATTCATGCGTGGTAAATCATTGATGATAAATCAAGATTTTGTTTGTTTACAATAAATCTAGTTCCTGATAATGCTACAGTAGAATGTTAACAACCCTATCCTCCTCTCCTTGTTCTATTACTCCTTCTTATCCTTATCTCTACAACTAGGGAGGGGGTGCATTCAGGAGTGGATGCAGGAATTTATTAGGGTTGAGCAAAACTGTGAATGCGAGTAGCGCGAAAAAAAGTTCTTGCTACTTTTTAAGGGGGAAAAAAATCTCTTTTTCAGATGTGGGCAAGATCATTTATTATCTATCACATCTGATTTTAACCTTTGCCCAAAACGCCGTGGGGGGGGGGGGGCCCGGGGGGGCGGGGCCCCCTCCCTGGGATGCTCAGGGGTGCAAGATGACTATAATTGCCCCCCCCCCTGTGTACACTATAATGGCACTTCAAGGGAAAGGTTGCCGCTCCATGTATCCGCCTCTAGGTGCATTAGGGGGTATCATTCAAAGCTTGTTTACCATGTTGAGGAACGTAATTTGGTGGATGTAAAAGTCTTGAAAAGGTTTCATTGGACCTCAGAATGCGCCTCAAAATTTCAGAGGCTCGGAGACGTAGTGAGAGGCACGGAGATGGTTTAAGGGGGAGTAGAGGCAAATTAGGAGGCTCGGAGGCCATTTCGCAGGGCTCATGGCAGCTCTGCACCCCCTCCTGACTACAACATTACCGTACCAAATAAGGTTCATCGTGAACCTTGTATGTACAGTTGTACAAGCTCGTTCAATGTTTGTATTTATTTCTATACTTTTAATTCTTCAAGAAGTTGCAGGTGATGAAAAATTTCGAGCAAAATGAAAGTTAATTTATTTTTATTTTTTAATTTATTTAAAAGTGACGTAAATTGTATAAAAATAGTGTTCTAGGACAACATTAAAATGTTAAAATGGCAGGTTGATTATGTGATTACTGTTTTATCAATCATATTTGTAAAATTAGATTGTAAAGTTGTTTAATTAATTCTGGGTATTTCTGATTAGCGCTGTTATTACAGTTAACAATTTGTAAGCAATTTTAAATGTGAAAGTCATAAGTAATTAATTAATCTTGAAACAAGACGAATTTCTAAGTGGATTAAATTTAAAATGCTATTTTTGAGTAGCCCAGGTGAGGGTTTCTGGTGTTAAGTCTGGTTTAGTCCCGGATCCTGGTTCCAGTAGGCCTGGTGGTGCTCCTAAACCTGGATTGCTATCTCCTGGAGATATTGTTGGTAGTCTAGATGCAGGATACTCTGTGGCATATTCAGATCTATCAGGTTTAAATAATTTCACTGACATTTATGATACTTTGCTTTCAGGCCCATTTTCTAGTTTAATTGTGAGCATTTTCCCTTTGTATACATTGTTAAACAAAAACAAAAAAAAGTTCGCGGATTTTGTCAAAAAAAAATTCATGGATTTTCAAAATTTGTAATTTAAAGTTTTTTTTGAATGATTTTTGAATTTCTTTTTTAAAATTTTTTTTTCCTAGAAAAGGAGGAATCAGGAGAATCAGGAGAAACAGGAGGATCAGGAGGATCAACACTTGAGCTCTCTTTCAACCTTGGAGGATCCGTAGGATTTGGTAAATATGCTTTAAAGGATCCGTAGGATTAGTTAAACCAACCTTAAAGGATCAGTAGAATTAGACAAACCAACCTTGAAGGATCCGTAGGATTAAGTAAACCAACCTTGAATGATCCGTAGGATTAGGTAAACCAACCTTGAAGGGTCCGTAAGATTAGGTAAACCAACCTTGAAGGATCCATAGGATTAGGTAAACCAACCTTGAAGGATCCGTAGGATTAGGTTAACCAACCCCACTGAATTATAATCTTGTGTATAAATCAGATGGATCAGTGAAGGGATTGGCATCAACGCGTGAGGGATCAGAGCCGGAAAAAGATGGATCGGAACTGGATCATGAAACTCCAGGATCCTTGGATGGATTGGAAGGATTGGAGAGAGGGAAGGGAGGACAGGAAGATAATGGACGAGATGAGAACGGAGAGAAGAGAGATGAGGGGAACCTGAGGAAAAAGAAAATACATCTTGGAAGATCTAAGGAAAATTATTCTGCACTTTTCAATTTTTAAAAAATCAAATTTTATTCATTATTTTAGTCTCCTTAATCTACATGTAGATTAACCATAGTTTCATTAGAATATATATTTCCAATTACTGATAGCGTCGATTAAAGGATTCATAACTCTAATTGGATAATGAGATAGCTAGAAAGATAGATGTTACCGCCAAACTATTTCTATTGGTTCAGAATAGACAACAAACACATGATTGAACCCTGATTGGATCAGGCACTAATGGACTCGGCATACAAGAGTGTCCAGGGTTTAAAATGAGAAATTAAGTTAATTAAAGCTACTTAAAAAGATTGTGACAAAATTTCAAGTGAACCTTCTTTTAAAGAGTAAAATGTCTGTCCTTTAAACTTCAATCTGAGTAGAAAATAAGGAAGATATCGTCGTCATTCTTGATCACACAAAGATGTGAAGAGTGCCGTTGTGAATCGGACATGGCCAGTTTTTTTAATGGAGGTTCATTTGAAATTAAAACAGCAGTTCCTTTCAGGGTTACATAAAACTAACAAAACAGAAGTAGTCTTGTGTTTTGGCTTGAACCCTTTATTATACTTTTCACCCTTTATTATACTTTTCACCCTTTATTATTCTTTTCACCCTTTATTATACTTTCCACTCTTAATTATAATTTTCACCCTTTATTATTCTTTTCACCCTTTATTATACTTTTCACCCTTTATTATACTTTTCAACCTTTATTATTCTTTTCACCCTTTATTATTCTTTTCACCCTTTATTATACGTTTCACCCTTTATTATTCTTTTCACCCTTTATTATACTTTTAACCTTTATTACACTTTTCACCCTTTATTATACTTTTCACCCTTTATTACACTTTTCACCCTTTATTATACTTTTCACCCTTTATTATTCTTTTCACCCTTTATTATTCTTTTCACCCTTTATTACACTTTCCACCCTTTATTATACTTTCCACCCTTTATTATACTTTTCACCCTTTATTATCCTTTCACCCTTTTATTATTCTTTTCACCCTTTATTATACTTTTCACCCTTTATTATACTTTCCACCCTTTATTATACTTCCCACCCTTTATTATTCACCCTTCATATTCTTTTCACCCTTTATTACACTTTTCACCTTTTATTATACTTTCCATCCTTTATTATACTTTTCACCCTTTATTACACTTTCCACCCTTTATTATACTTTCCACCCTTTATTATACTTTTCACCCTTATATTATTCTTTTCACCCTTTATTACACTTTTCACCCTTTATTATACGTTTCACCCTTTATTATACTTTTCAACCTTTATTATTCTTTTCACCCTTTATTATTCTTTTCACCCTTTATTATTCTTTTCACCCTTTATTACACTTTTCACCCTTTATTATACTTTCACCCTTTATTACACTTACCACCCTTTATTATACTTTCCTCCCTTTATTATTCTTTTCACCTTTTTTTTATACTTTCACCCTTTATTATTCTTTTCACCCTTTTATTATACTTTTCACCCTTTATTATACGTTTCACCCTTTATTATACGTTTCACCCTTTATAATACTTTTAACCCTTTATTATACTTGTAACCCTTTATTATACTTTTCAAAAAAATTAAACAAATTAAAACACTCGCATATAATTTCTCATCAGTGTAATCCTTGGAAATGACTTTGCAAAAATAAAAAATAATTGTGCATGTAATTTTTAAGAACATGTTTTCTGGACTGCTGGTGATTGGAATGCACATAATTATAACTGCGCTGTTCTCCATGGTGCTGGGGTGGTCTCCACCTTTATAGAAGTGTACACTGTACACTGTACAGTACTGCAAACCTAAACCTATATTGTACTTACTTCGTAGTAGGCATCGGCAATGCAATTTGTCATCAACTTTTTATCTAAGACCCAAATAAAGAACATATACATGTATGGATTTAAAACAATTGAAATACAATTCTAGTTATCCTATTATAAAAAGTTGCAGTGTATGTATATGTCTGTATGCGCGCGTCTTAATAAGTATATTGTTCTCATGCGAATAAAGCGTACTTTCAAATATCCTATATAACCGTTGTTACCAGAGGCGTATTTAGGGGGGGCCTATGGGGGCTCATCCCCCCTCCCTGGATCAATGAAATCGATGGTATCCAGTGGGGTTTTGGGCCCAAATGGGTGCGAAAATATGAATGATATTATAGACTAGAATCATGAATAATATTAGAGACTAGAATCATGAATAATATTAGAGACTAGAATCATGAATAATAGGGACTAGAATCATGAATGATATTAAAGACCAGAATTATGAATGATATTACTTTAAGAGACCCAAAAATATGAATGATATTAGAGACCAGAAAATATGAATGATATAAGAGACCAGAAAATATTTATTGCTTACTACTGTGCCCCCCCCCCTTAAAACCCCCTTAAAGCCCCTGGACAAATTATTGACTTCGCCCCTGGTTGTTACATTTTTTCATTTTATCTTTACATTTAATCATCCTGGAATCGGAATCAGATATAATAAATAGCTAGAAGTAGTTGAACTACTGACACGTAGTTGAACTACTGAAACGTAGTTGAACTACTGACACGTAGTTGAACTACTGACACGTAGTTGAACTACTTTCACATAGTTGAACTACTTACACGTAGTTTGAACTTCTTACACGTAGTTGAACTACTGACACGTAGTTGAAACATTGACCCGTTTGAAATACTGACACGTAGTTGAACTACTTACACGTAGTTGAAATAATTACACGTAGTTGAACTACTTACACGTAGTTGAACTACTTATACGTAGTTGAACTACTGACACGTAGTTTAACTACTTTCACGTAGTTGAACTACTGACACGTAGTTGAACTACTGACACGTAGTTTAACTACTTTCACATAGTTGAACTACTTTCACGTAGTTGAACTACTTTCACGTAGTTGAACTACTTTCACGTAGTTAGACTACTTAGACGTAGTTGAACTTCTTACACGTAGTTGAACTACTTACACGTAGTTGAACTACTTACACGTAGTTGAACTACTGACACGTAGTTGAAACACTGACACGTTTGAACTACTGACACGTAGTTGAACTACTTACACGTAGTTGAACTACTTACACGTAGTTGAACTACTTACACGTAGTTAAACTAATTACTCGTAGTTGAACCACTTCTCTTGTGTGTCAGTTTAAGTTCAGGAGAAATGGTTCAACTTAATCTATGAAATTAATCAGTTTCTCGTTATTCATTAAAGGAATTGAGTCTTTGGAACAAAATCAAATATTTAAACCACAATATCTTTAGAACTCTATGTTGTAAACCTTTGATATTTCAAACTCAGATTATTTGATCTAATAGAATTCATAGTTTGAAATATCTGAGGTCTGCAATATTTGCTTCCAAAGATATAGTGATTAGAAAATCAGAGTTTGTGGCAAAGACTCAATTCCTTTGGTCCCTGCTTTTATTAATCTGTTTTCGGTTTCCATTTTGCATATTTTCTTCTTTCTTAGTTGATTGTTTACTTTCTTAGTTGATTGTTTACTTTCTTAGTTGATTGTTTACTTTCCATTTAAAAAAAATCTAAATTGGAAAATTAAGAAAAGTTGGTGAAAGAAATCTAGTTGTTCAGCATCTTCTTGCTAATATTATCATCACTCTGCCTATAAAGTAATATAACTAAACCAGGGAGTAAGGAATAGAAGGGAGATTTAACTGACGCGGTTCGCTCTTCCATATGATTAAACATGCATTGCAGACGCTACTTCATTTGAATAAGAAATATTTGTCTGATGTACAATTACCACGTCTACAATAATCTATTCTGAATATTTCTTGTACAAATGAAGTACCGTCTGCAAAACATGTATAATCATATGGTAGGGCGGGTCGCGTCAGTTATATCTCCCTTCTATTCCTTACTCCCTGAACGACCTGAACTAAACTTATCTGTTAAGAGTATATGAAGATAAGAAATTTATTTTTCAATAATAAAACAAACAGATTGACCAGTAATTGTGCAGTGATTAAGGAAAATGGACAAACAATACTTCCCAGAAATATTCAAGGGTAAAACGTTTTTACTGTCTTCTTCTTGGACTTTAATAAAGCTACAGATTATGCAATAAGGCCCTAAATGTTTCAAATTAATGTTATACTAAAATATTCCTGAGTCGTAACAAACTAGGCTTAAAAGGCGCTTAGCGTCCATCTTCTATTTCAATTGTGAACATTTTCTCTTTCTATACATTGTAAAACAAAAAAACAAACAAAAGAAGCGAATTTCATAAATAAAGATTCGTGGATTTTCAACATTCATGAAAATCGAATTTTGTTAGAGGCAAATTTTTGAAATTTTGATAATCTATAAACCTTCCTTGCATGTGAAGTCCGACACAAAATTTGGGCCCGATCGGTTCAGCCGTTTTGACGTTTATTGGATACAAACAAACAGACATACACACAGACAAGCAAATTACATATATAAAGAGTGTCACAATAAACATGGGAATTGAGAGGCGACTTGAAAGTCGTCTTTGATGGCAAAGAAATTTTAAAAAACGAGGCTTTACGTCTGAAGAGCTTTTCAAAAAGTGGTCTATCTTTTTTGTATCTTAAAAGTTTACGAAGATGTTAGATATTAAAACAATTTTAATTTGTTAAATAAATTGAAATTTGTTCAAATTTTGCAATATCTCCGTCAATTTTGAAGATACAAAAATGGTAGACCACATTTTGAAAATCTCAAGACTTGGTGTTTAAGCTGGATTACTGCATTAAATGTGTTCATGAAAAAAATCCGTATGGATCGAAGACGATATAAAAATCGTAGCTGAATTCCCAAGTTTATTGGGACACCCTGTAGAAGGCTTCTTTTTAAATTGTTGATCATTGTGAGCCAAATGGTCCATTTCAAGTCATAAATTAGCCCCTTTCGGAATTGATATCGGAATTGTAATTGTACTTTTTGCATTGAGGCTGACATCATTATTTTATCTTGAATTTCAAATATTTTAAAACTATTATTCTATCCTTAAAATTTTAACAATTTCCTCCATCGTCACGTCGCATAACTCCGCAAGTCACATTAACACAGAATCACAAGTAAAATATCAGACAAAAGATTTTAAGGGACCATTTGATTATATTAGATCCATTCGATTTTGAGACAACCAATGACTTGGAAGGAACCTGGAAAACCATTGCAGAAGAAATACTGAACGAACACCCAGAGGAAAGGTGAAGATGATTCAGGGGCGCAACTCGGGTATTTTAAGGGAGGGGGGGGGGGAAGAATATTTTATGGTGTGAAATTACATGTTGCATACAGTTTTACCCATTAAGGATGCAACTTCAGAGACGACTCTACGCCCACCTACGGGTTTAAAAAATCTTTTTCTTCATTTACAGATTTTTAGGTCGTCACTATATATAGTCTCTTCTTTTGAAGGTAACCGTAAGTCGAAAAAAATGGCAAAAAAGAAGTAAAAACAATTTATTTAAAATTTTTCTGGTCTGTAAATTTCTGATTTAACCATCTCTAGCAAATGCGATAATCGCAAACGATAATGGCAAATTCTAATTATACCGGAACCTGAGGGGTACATTGGGCATGCACCCCACCTGATTCGAGAAATCAAAAAAAAAATTATTTAAAAAATTGTGAAGCCTTGTAGTTTGTTAAATAATGTGCGTGATAAACATTCGTAAGAATATGACACCCAGTGGGCATGGTGGCGTATATAAGGGGGGTTATTTGGGATTATTTACCCCCCTAGAATCCTGTGGAATTACCCCCCCCCCCCCCTCATTAAGTGGAAAAACGTAAAAAGATTTTGCCGCTTCGCGCAGATAATTTTACTTAATCAACTTTAACAATGTAACATTGATAAATTTTACTAAAAAATCGATTTTTTAATTTATATAGAGTACTTGCACTATATGTCAAATTAGAAGGGGGGGGGGGGGAGGAATAAAAAGATCAAGATTATGTATAATTAAATTTTAAAAAGTAAGAAAGTAAGTTTAAATTTACGCTGGGTGATTGGATTTTGACTTAGGACAAAGCACAAGCTCCAAAGGCAGTTTCTGTGCATGAATAAAAATATTTTTCAAGTATAAGGCCTTTTAATTTTGTGGGGAAATATTGATTATAATTGGCATGGTAGTTTTTTATGTAGAACCTACCAGAAAGCATTTGCATCCACTCATCTTTCATGTCCTTAATCTTCTTTATGATGAATATTCTTCAAAACAATGCATGACTAGGTTCCCAGGGCCCAGGTGGCTGATCATCGCGGATTTTTCATTTTGGTGGATTACTATTTCATATACTGTTTAAAAAGTATCAATTTATAATGAACAACTTTTAGGGTATAAATTAAGTCAGATGAAAGGTGAAAGGTGGTAAAGGAAGCCTTTTTTGATAGAGTTTGTTAAATCCAGAAATGATTGGGAAATTGAAATGAAACCCATTTAACCCCATAATTTGATATACATCATGAATTGGGTTGTACATGGTCTAGGGAGGGTAAAAAATGTCTATAGTGGGTAAAAAGAAATCTTTATATTTACCCCACCTAGAAAATCCTTATTTACGCTTTTACATTTTTCTTAAGGGAGCAGAAGATTGCAGAGTTTCAGAAAGCTTTTCAAAATGATCCGGAGGTCTCAAAATGGAGGACACCAGGGGAAACCTCCAGGTAGTTATAGGACACCTGGGGAAACCTCCAGGTAGTATAGGACACCAGGGGAAACCTCCAGGTAGTATAGGACACCAAGAGAAACCCCCAGGTAGTTATAGGACACCTGAGGAAACCTCCAGGTAGTATGGGACACCAAGTGAAACCCTCAGGTAGTTATAGGACACCTGGGGAAACCTCCAGGTAGTAAAGGACACCAAGAGAAACCCCCAGGTAGTTATAGGACACCAGGTAAAACCTCCAGGTAGTATAGGACACCAGGGGAAATCTCCAGGTAATATAGGACACCAGGGGAAACCTCCAGATAGTATAGGACACCAAGAGAAACCCCCAGATATTTATAGGACACCTAGGGAAACCTCCAGGTAGTATAGGACACCAAGAGAAACCCCCAGGTAGTATAGGACACCTGGGGAAACCTCCAGGTAGTATATGACACCAAGAGAAACCCCCAGGTAGTTATAGGACACCTGGGGAAACCTCCAGGTAGAATATAGGACACCAAGAGAAACCCCAGGTAGTATAGGACACCTGGGTAAGCCTCCTGGTAGAATAGGACACCAGGGGAAACCTCCTGGTAGTATAGGACACCTGGGGAAACATCCAGGTAGAATATAGGACACCAAGAGAAACCCCCAGGTAGTATAGGACACCTGGGGAAGCCTCCAGGTAGAATAGGACACCAGGGGAAACATCCTGGTAGTATAGGACACCTGGGGAAACATCCAGGTAGAATATAGGACACCAGGGGATACCTCCAGGTAGTATAGGACACTAGAGGAAACCTCTAGATAGTATAGGACACCTTGGGAAACCTCCAAAGTCGAGGTTTTATTAGAAACGTTAAGGGGAAAATTGCAGAAATCTTTTTAATTCTCATTTTTATGACGAAAGTGTTCGATCTTAAAAAAAATCATCATTTAGTAGATTCAATGTTAACAACAGTAAAGAAAGCTTTTAAAAAAACAATCGTGAAGATAAATTTACCGATTCAAAGAGATCATATAAAGCCTAGATTTCTAAATTATCTTCATGAAGATTTTATAATTATGTTGATAATGTTTAAGGTTTGAGGATAGAAAACACATGATCCAGTATCTGAGAGCTGGATTGTGGGATGTTAACACAGCTCTTCACATTCTTAGGTTGGTTTCTATTCTTGCTTTTACCCTGAACAAAACTTTATAAAGTTTCGGCGAAAAATCAAGCTTATTTATTTTTTTTGTCCCTGACGTACATTCACATATCAAGTGAATATAGATGCAGGGTTGACAGAGTTGACACGTCCGCGTCTGACAAGTTTATACCGTTCATGTAAAATAGCACAATAGGCCTAAAGAACTAAAATATTTATATTTCCATAATTACTGTTACTCAAAGAGCTTTGTCCTATAAAGAGTATGCATTGGAATTTGTACGCAAAACCAGACGTCTGAATAGAAAGCCATAGAATGTCGTCTTTTCTATAATTTAGAAAGATTTTAGGAATTTATAAGAATTTCCATCATCAAAACTTGCGTTTTTTACGTAATTTACCGTTAGAAAAGCTAAACTCAATTATCTTTTTAGATAAACTTTATCTTTAAACAGATTGCAATTGATTCTAATTGCAACAAACTCTGATGAAATAAACATAGACCTTAGATATTCCAAGCTATCAAATAATCTAAGTCATACATATATATGCGTAAGATCGATATTAGAGAAGAATAAGATGCGATGTCAGAAAACTGCAACGGAAATTTCCTATAAATAGGTCTTCTTCTTCTTATGTCTAGAAAAAGCGTGTTTTTAGATTTCTAGATCCAACTAAACAAGTTATTTTAAATTCCCTTGGATGTAAACGGACAAAAATATATTTTTTCTTGAATTTTTGTGCTATTGATAGTTTTATATTTTAGCTCTTTTCTAAACTCCATTTTTATTCAAAATTCAGGGGGTCGAGATGAAATCTATCTATAAACTTTGCTTGTCTGTTTGTTTATGTGTATCCAGTAAACATCAAAACGACTGAACCGATCGGGCCCACATTTTATAGATGATCAAAATTTCAAAAATTTATTTATAGATGATCAAAATTTCAAAAATTTATTTCTTCAACAAAATACGATTTTTACGTTAAATTTTGAAAATCAGCGATTTTTTTTTTGTTTTTGTTTAGCAAAGAGAAAATGTTCACAATTGAAATAGTAGTTGGGCCCGGAGCGCCGTAAAAACCTAGTATATATATTTTTATACTTTGCTTGTCTGTCTTTTTGTTTGTAATTGTTTGTATCCAATAAACGTCAAAACAGCTGAATCAATCGGATGCATGCTCAGAATTGCACAAATTTGTCTCCAAAATTTTAGATTTTTGAAAATCTTAAAAAATACACGAAAATTTTTTGTTATTGTTTTTATTTAGAGAAAATATAAATTAAAAGTAGAAATAGAAGAAAGCATAATTTAATATTTATTTCTATATATAACTGATCTAAATATTTTTAAAATAATTTTAGACAATATCTGGCCTCAGGACACCTTTACCCGGGGATTGTAAAGGCATCAGTACCAATGTTGTAAGTAAATATTTTTAAGTTTAATGACGACCTGAATTCCTCTAACTCTGGATATTTAAAGGTTAATATTGCCCGTGCTTTGTCTTGAATAGAGTCTATAAGTAGTGTATACCAAATATAATGACGTTAAGGTTAAAATCCATAGGATACGGACAATTTAAGAAATAAGCCTTAAACAGTTCTGTTTAATCGACACTGAAGTCTCATGGGTTATTTCAAAACAGTATTGGGCATTTTGAGCTTTTCCTGCTCTGTGATTTCAGGGGTAGAGTCAAAATTATATTTTTAATAGATAATAGAATTATGCATGACTTTAAAATAAGATTTTCAGTATACTTAACACTATCCAATTAACAAGAGTTAAAAACAATGCTTTTAAGGAACCCCTACCTATTAGTAAATAAACCAAAAAAGGAAGGACTGGTTTTCTGAAATCAAATTATCTTGGTTTACATCTAGACTAGAGAAGGTCTGGTCCAAGAAGCTGCTTGCTGCTACTGAATATAGAGATGTCTACGGCAGAAGAATATATATTTACAGACCAGGTAAAATGATGCTACGGTGGTAGGCGATTATATCAATAAAATGAAGACAACTTTTTTATTTAAGTTTTTAAGTTAAGTAATTGTTAACAAGTTTTTTTCGAATTATAAGTTTACAAGTAATCAAAGAGAAGTTTTTTAATTGACAGCTTTTCTTTGTTTCCATGTTTTTATGTATCCAATCCATTCTGTTTATAAGCTCGATATAAATCAAAATTCACATGGAAAGTCGTCTTTATTATATTCATATAATCACCGTATGAAACTGACCTATAGAGGAAACCGACTATATTTATCAAGTGGTTAAACTCCCTCCATCCAACTCCGCCTACTCAGCTTAATTTGATCCAACCTTTTTTAAGATCTACTACAATTTTTAGTCAGAAACACCCTAGGTCAGTTTCCTCTAGGTCGGATGAGCGGGTACCGGTAAAGTACAGGGCCAGGCAGATATTCTCAATACAATAAAAGACGACTTTCTATTGCTTCTTTGTTTTGAAACATGCTGGCATATACAGTTCTGTTTTTTAGCGTTAACACTATTTTCATGCTTATAGTGCTCTCGCAGAAAAAAACGTCTCATTCGTTAATCCTTAAAAGTTGTAAAAAAAAAACAATTTCTTCAGTCATTTTGCAATAAATTCACTTTTTTGACCAAAATCCTTTACTCACAATCTGATCACTATTCTAAGTCTACGGAAAGCGAAACTAACTGTTTTATTAAGGTGCTTGGAATCCAGATGATATCCCTGTAAATGAACTGTTTTTATAAGGTGCTTGGAATCCAGATGATATCCCTGTAAATGAACTGTTTTTATAAGGTGCTTGGAATCCAGATGATATCCCTGTAAATGAACTGTTTTATAAGGTGCTTGGAATCCAGATGATATCCCTGTAAATGAACTGTTTTTATAAGGCGCTTGGAATCCAGATGATATCCCTGTTAATGAACTGTTTTTATAAGGTGCTTGGAATCCAGATGATATCCCTGTTAATGAACTGTTTTTATAAGGTGCTTGGAATCCAGATGATATCCCTGTAAATGAACTGTTTGCTGGGGCTTACCTAATGTTTGAAATGATGGCCTGGGAGGTATAAATGTATAATTTTTTGCTATTCCTTTAATAATAATTTGTTGATTGAAAAAGAATAATTTAATTATAAAAAAGTTTTAGAAACTTCTGTATAAAAAAGTTATATAAATAATAATGACATGTAATTTAATGTTTAGATGAAAACTCAGATAGCAGGAATAACAATGGTTTGTGATCTAGCTGGGTTTGGGTTTAAACATCTAAGGTATAGATATAGTCAGAGAACAGTGTATATTTGTGACGCTGAGGAGGAGAGGAAGGCCAACCACAACAATATCTTGTCCGAGCCACATTCTCCTCATTTTCATGTCAGAGTTGCTCGAATCCTCATCCTTCCAAATTATTTTTTAAATGTCCAACCCTAAAAAAGCTTGACATCATTCTCCTGGATTTGAAGATTCCAAAATAATAAAATCCTTCCAGTACTTAAGTCAAACCGAGTTCAATGTTCATTACTCTAATGTCGCCAGATTTTCAAAAAATACTTTTAATTGCAAGGATTAGACAATGGACAGATAAAAAATTATATTGGAAGGACGAGGATTTCGAGGTGGCTTGGACAAGAAACTGTGGTGGCTCGGACGAGAAATTATTGTGGCTCGGACGAGAAACTGTTGTGGTTGGATTTCCTTACCTCCACTGAGCAATTGATTACTCGCGTCAAACTTTAAATTTCTAATCCTTATATATTTGCAATTTGATTTTCCAAATTATGAAATCTACTAGACTAAACAGTCAAAGTTTAAAAATATATCAAGGATTTGCACCATTCGGTTATGTTAGATTGTTCACAAACATTTTGCGAAATTTGAAAAAATTAAATATAATGATTACAAAGAATTGATTGATACTACCATTGATTTCTTCACAAGTTTCTACTGAACAATATGTTTCTAAACAACTACATTTATTGTAGAATTGTTGTTACATTTTTCGTTCAGATTATTAACAAAAAAACATTTCTTTCGTAGACCATACCTTCAAGTGAAATTTTACAAACGAATTACGTTCTTACTTAGAAATTATACACCGTAAAAACATTTCATTAGTATCAAATGAATCCTAAAACATTTCTCTATAATACCGAACTCTTGGTTCAAATATGTTTCCTAGTTGGCATCTCCTTTTAGTTCAAAATGTTATATCTCGATATCACAGACAGCTCATAATCTTTACTTGGATAGACTAAGCAAGCCTATAGTGTCCCGGCACGCCATGCTACATTTCCGCTAAAGGTTTTTTATTTGTCATCTAACGGCCACTTGCAGCATACAATACCCATTCAAGGTTTAAGTTTTATAATTTTTAAATAAAACTCTAACTTTTAACTTAAAACATAAAATGTGTGAATTTAGTTCATTTTTAAAGGTTTTTTATTTCGTATCCAAAGGTATGCTTAAATATCCTTAAAAACAGGCGTGTTTTTATTGGTTGTGTACTCCAATTGCTGTGGAAAATATCGCATTTTCTAGCCTTTAATAGATCTCTGTACTCTCTTATCTCTGATCTATATGCAGGAATATTGGAATGGAACAGGTTCGATGCATGACCTCCTTCATGTCTGGTGCTTTCCCCATCTGGGTTCGAAGGATTCATGTTTGCAACAATCCTCGATTATTCGGAGTCCTGTTCAACATGATGAGCCCCTTGATGGATGAGCGGTCCAAGAAGAACATGGTGTTCCATGGGTAAGGCCAGAAGTCAATATAAATCTAATTTGAGGAGAGGGATGGGGGGAGGGGGGGGGGGTCAAAGAGTTTCAAGTTATAATTTTTTGACACTTAAAATAGAATAAAGCCACTAAAAACACTCTTAGTCAAATATTTTTGACTAAGGGGAAAAAATGTTTGAAGAGGGGGATCTAGGATGTACACTGTACACTGTATACACTGTACACTTTACACTGTACACTGTACAGTTTACATAGATTTAGATCCTCTGCAGTCTTTCAGTGTTATATTATATGCATTGAAATTTTCTTATCATATTTTTTAGGAATGATTTCACCCTGCTACACAAAGAGGTTCCAGTTTTTCTCCTTCCAAAAAGCTTAGGGTAAAAAATTAATGATGATGATATGTCATCGTCATCATCATTATAATGATAATGATAATGATAATGATAGTAATAATAATGATGATGATAATAATAATAATAATAATGATAATGATAGTGACAACAATAATAATAATAATAATTAATGATAATGATAATGATAGTGATAGTTATAGTGACTGTGACTGTGACAGTGACAGTGACAGTGACTGTGACTGTGACAGTGACTGTGACTGTGACTGTGACTGTGACTTTGACTGTGGCAGTGGCAGTGGCAGTGGCAGTGACAGTGACAGTGACAGTGACAATGACAATGACAATGACAATGACAATGACAATGACAATGACAATGACAAAGACAATGACAATGACAATGACAATGACAATGACAATGACAATGATAATGATAATAATAATTATTATAATCATAACGACAATGATAATAATAATACCAAGGGGTTCTGGTGAGCTGAATAATGATGTTAGTGTCAAGATATTAATGGAAAGAAATGAATATTATGAAGAAATGCGGGAGCATACTTTGAAACATACCAGTACAAAGAAATAACTGAAATAACTAGTAAACGCCAAATCCAAAAAAATTAGAATTAGACATTTGCCATGGATTTCGAAATATAAAGGGTGTGCACACTCAAGGTAGAGGGGATATGTTCAGATTAAACTAATTTCTGACAGTCCTAATGTTTCAGTCAAATGTGAACACAAACCTTATACTTCCTACCTTTAGTGTACATGCAGAGCGTCCCATATTATATCTATATCCAAGCTTTAACGCCAATATACGCTGATAGTACTCGAAATAGCTTTGTATTTTCTACATTCTGCAAGAATATATTTATATTAGCAATAAAATTTTTTTTAATGATTTTTAATCTTTTTAAATTTTCTGACAAGTCCCTTAAATCTTAATTTAAAAGCTATAAACCTTCAAAATATTTAATGTGTATTACTCTTCCTCTTAGAAATGTGTCCCAAGCATTATTAAAGTAATGGGACACATAGATTCAGACTGCTTATAAAAAGTCTAATCAATTTTTAAGACAGGGTCGACTCTGAAGTGTCGCAACACCTTGGTCTTTGATTTACCGTTCTAACTCACTTATGCTTTTATGTAGCCCTTTACATGTACATTTTAGCACTATAAAACACTTGTTAGCTTTGGTTTTTAAGAAGTTATTAGCAAAATTTACTCTACAATACTATGTTCTAAGTTCAACTACCATACATTACCGGTCACTCCCTTTAAATATCAGCTTTTTCTTACTCTTGAGAATAGCTTCAGAAAAAGTTGTGTAAAAGCAGGCAATATTTTGGAATAAATTAAATTTAACTTTGATTTAAAAGCTGACTAATCAAACTTTTGGAACCATTGTTTTATTTATATTGTAACATTTAAATTGTTTTGTCTATATTTAACATTAAAACCTTTTGTATGTAAGTAATAATTTAACATTTTTTTGTAAATAAAGGAACTAATTACCTTTACAATTTAGTTATATCATCATTCGTATTTCAAACTTATATGGGTAATGTTACATCGTCTATACGCAACATCCCCCCTACTGAACTTCTGACCTAATAACTTTCCGACTTACTGCAATATCGGACCTACGCCAACTGTTTATTTTTGTATTATTTGAGGGTTAGGTTAGGTTAATGTTAGGCTAGAACAGGCTACGGGGTCGAGCGCCACGGATAGGACAGGCGAGGGGCCGGGCGCTCAAAAGTCCATAAAGCAGCTGTAAAAACCACGTGCTAGTATGTCGGATGTGTTGTATAGAGGATTTGGCGTAGGTCAGAAGTGGAGTATAGCGGATTTGCGTAGGGTGAAAAATACACCACACTTATATGAGATCAAGTTTCCACGATGCAGGAATTATAAAGAATGAGAAAATCAATTTCTTTAATCAGACAAGGTGTATACATTAGCTGGTATTGTTTATTTAAAAAATATACAGTTTAACTTAAAAAATATATATTTATCTTAATGAATTATAGTGTAAAAAAAACAGAAAAATGCCAAAAATGGACTTTACAAAAGGATCAATAATAATCACAAATGGCGATAATAATTAACCAACTCAATAAATTATACAATATTTCTCAATCTTGATTTTTTCAAGATCTGATCCAAAAGAAATCAAGGTTTGACTAGGAATAATGTTTAAAGGATTGGTGGGTCAGCAACTGCCTAGTTGGAAGATTGGATTGTATAGGACAGGACTTAAAGCATTTAATGGATCATTATTGATTGGAGTAATAAATCTGTGGAGCATGGAGCGGGTATATCTTTAAAAAAAGAACTTGGAAATTTAAATTCACAGAGAATAAGATTTCCCAGAAAGAACAAACCCCATCATTTCATGTTTTACAGTATATCAATATATGTAAAAATAAACCCCATCATTTTATGTTTTACCGTATATCAATATATGTAAAAATAAACCCCATCATTTCATGTTTTAAGGTATATCAATATATGTAAAAATAAACCCAATCATTTCATGTTTTACCGTATATCAATATATGTAAAAATAACTAACAATGTTTGTGAAATGAGTGAAATGAGATCAAAATATAAGAATGCAACATTTTTTCACGATTCAACAGAATATTTTTTTTTGATATGACAATGAGTAAATAGTACAAAATATCAAAATGCATTGTTTTATAAGAACCAACAGAACCTTTTTTTGAAATGACAATGAGTAATTAGTACAAAATATCAAAAAATCTAAAAAGTTAGAAATATAACATCACCAAGGACCAAATTTAATGAATAGCATAAAGTAGTTGAACTACGTCGACTCAGTTAAACCACTTTAGAGATGGTTGAACTACGTCTATGTCTCGCTTTTTAGTTTATCAGGTCCCAGGCCGTCTATAACTGACAATGGGTAAATAATACAACGAACAAAAAAATAACATTAAGTATAAAGATTCAATGATGCATTGCAATCAATGTGACATATAGGTTTAATGTTTTCAGGTGATCAGCACAAATCTTATTGAAATAGGATTGTTAAATGCAAGCTGAAATGCGATCAGATTTGACAATAAATTACTGCTTTCATCTTTTAGATTATGCAAATGCAAATGAAGTGCAGTTTAACAAAAAAAGAACATTAAAGATATTAATCATGATTGTAGATGCCGAATAAAAATCAGAGGAACAAAATAATGGATGAAATGACTGAAGTAGGAGTTCATCTCAACCAAGATACCCATGATGGAAGATTACGATTTTAACCGTTAGAAAAGACAATTGAATTCATTTATGTCTTTATCTCGATGAAGAATGTTCAAATGATGATGTCGTTCATGTGAATAATAAGATCTATGAACTGCTTGAAGACAATCTTTATCTCAACCATGATGAGGATGACGATTTGAATCGTTATGATAAAGACGATTGAATTCCTGTCACTATATCGTTATCACTACCATGATGTAGAATGTAAAAATTATACCGTCATCCATTTTGAAAAAGTAACAGCTGAAGTACTTAAAGACGATATTTATCTCTATCATGATGTTCATGACGATTTAAATAGTTCTGATTCACTATGCCGTTATCTCAACCATGATATTGAATGTAAATAATGATGTCATCCTTTTGGAAAAAGAAACAGCTGAACTACAAGACGATCTTTGTTTCTTCCATGATGTTGATGATTGCGTTAAAAGGAGAACTGGATTTTTCTTTTTGCATAAAATCCTGAAATCAAAAACTAGATTTTATAACTTTAACACTATCAAAAATCAAAAATCATAAAATAGATTATTAAAAATTCTAATCTATAGTCAAGTAAATCTTGAATTTTAACTTTATTCTGGCTTAAAAACGAACTGAAGGTTCTTAACTACACAAATCATTTGAGAATGAACCATTTTAGAATGTTCACAAAAATAAATTTTCGTGGATTTGTAATGTTTCATCATGATTCAAAAAGCATAGGAAAAACAAATTATCAAGATAAAATAGAATATTATTATAAAGTCTATTGACATAATTTCGAGTGAGTCTCATTTTCTCCAATTTACAAACGTTCCCTAAAAACCTTTATCTGATCGTGTTAAAATTCCGTTACAGATATGAACTCAAACTGAAAATAATTAAATTTAAGCTTTTTCACTTATCCACGACTAGACAAAGTTTTAGAGGTTAATGTTGTGAAGGTGACATTCCACTCTGATTGGTCTCTTGAAATTACGTATACAGTCCCTTTAAACAGGAATAAATTACCTTATAAAGTTTATTTCCTTCAGTTTTCCCCTCTTCTGTAATCCAGAAAACTATTTTAGGTTTTATTCCTGATCTTTTTATTAACCCTTTCTTCAGCAGGCTGGCCGTAGGACTAAAAAAGAAAGATTGAAAGATTTCTTGATTATTTAAAAATTAAAAAATAATGTTAAAAGTATATAGTAACTAGGACTAAGTCCTAAATTGGACTGGGTTGGGTTTAAGTGTTGCACTTTATTTTACTCAGTCCTACTGGTGGACAGAACCGGTTAGAACAATACATCCCGATCTGCACTGCTATGATCGGCAGCTCTTCTCTTCATGGCACACAGCTGGCTCATCAACCCAATATCATTACTTTTAATTTCCAGACTCTTTTCTGTTACATTTCAAACATGATCATCCTAGGTTTGACGAGTCTCAAATCAAATCAAATCAAATCAGACTTTTAGGGATGTTCTACTACCACATGACAACTTTCGAAATGAAACTTCAATTGGAGTGAAAAATGAATAATTGAAATTCAAGAATCAAAGAAACTTTTCTAATCCCAATTAAAAGATGGATCGTTTTTTACACATCTGCATTCTTTAATCATATTTAATCCTAATAAATCAAATCCAATGTTCTTAATAATTATTTGATACAGGAGGGATTATATTTTCTTAAAAAGTTATTCCCCCCTGTTTAAAAATTCCCCACCCCCCTCCCTCCATTGAAAGGTATGTGTGCGCGGAGCGCAAACATTTGTTGAAAGGTTTTATTCGCTTAATTGAGAAAATATGGGATTTTTAGAAGAATATAGATAAATTTTTGGGTGCAAAGTATTCAAAAGGATGAAAAATTTGCGTTTCGATGTTCAATTTTTCATTCTTTTCCCCAGAACATTAAAAATAATTTCTCCCCCCCCCCCCGGGTGGATAATTGTTAAAAATATATACCCTTTTGTTATATATTATGATCAATAGGTATGAAGATTAAATTTTGAAAAATGCAACGTCGCAGAATTTTAATTAACCGGACAATATTTTGATGCTGATATATATAATTTCTTGAATATTTTCTCAACCTTCACAAACACGATTTACCCTACAGTATATACAGTTTGTATAATGCTTAAATTTTACTTTTGATCAGTAAGTTTCAATAGAAATAAAAAGCTTCCATTTCTTCCCTTAAAGCTACAAAGCCAATAAACCCTATAATTTGCAAAGTAGCTCAAACAAACACGAGATTCGTGAAGCACCCTAAATTTCTAGCTAGAAATTTTATTACCCTAAAGCTCTCTCCACGGCACGGTCTGTAGGAGAGGAATTCAGTCCAAGGGTTGATTTCACACAAGCTTTTATATCTTTAGAACTGTAGCAGAACACTTGAGCATCAGCCTGCACAAGGATATAATGATAATCAATTCTCTGAGATCATGTCCAAAATTTACTCATTGTGAAGATAAAAAGAAAACTCAGAGATGAATATTAAATATTTTATAAAGAAGAGATTTCGAAAAATTCTGGAATTTTGGCGGCTTAAGTCTTCCTCCCCTGGTGCACCCTTAAAATCATCTCTGGATTGTTCAGCATTGACCCATCCAACATATCAGAACAAAACCCTTCAGCTTTTAACTTAAAATCTTCCTATCATATTTAACATCTTTATTTTTCTCGAATATTATATTTGAATTTTAACTTTTAACAGTAACTCTGACATTAATACCTAGAATGGCCATCCTAGTTTCTGGAGAAAAATTTAAGAAAAAAATTAACAATTTAATCCTGGAACATTACTTTTATAGCGTGTGCATGTTGTTTACTTCACCAAAAAATTGAATGAGTAAAAATTATTAATAATTTTAAAATACTATTTTTTTTTTAAAATATTAAAATCTTTCTAAAAAGTTTAATATTACGAAAAACTATGATTTTTTGTGAAACTTTCGAGAGGGTGAACTGGCCGCCTTACAGAGTATGATAGTTATGATATTTTAATATTTTGAAGAAAACTATTCTTATGCCGATCTCACAGTTTTCAGAGCTTAAACTTTTTCTAAATTTTTTTTCTCTGGATATCTTGGGATATCAAATTAAGGATAAGTTTGTTTGATTCTTCAAACATTCTAAAATTTAGCTTACAGTGTTTGTAATTTTTAAAAAATACCAAGTAATTGAAAATAAAAACAACTGTTAATTGGAACATCCGATTCCTATAAATAATCATCACAACGAACGTTGCAAAGCCTACTCTGCCCGAGAAAACTCAATGGTACTTGGACATTTTATGACACACTTCAGAAAAATTAGAGTCCCCTTTTTAAATTTTAATGGACACTCCCTTTAATACCTGAAATTGATGATATAAGGATAAGAGTACAGAACTTGGACCAGATAAAGAACTTTTCTTCTTTTTTAGCGGAGTTTTAAATAATCCAGAGTTAGGATTTATCGGAGGAATTTCACTCTCAGTTCCAGCTTCCTCCTCCAGAGAGACAGCATTCAAATTCTTGATATTTTCAACAATCTTCTCAAATATATCTGGAGACTCTTCTTTTTTGATGGCAATGCTAGGCTTAGCGTCATGTTCATCTTCGACGTATTCATGATCATTCTCTTGTTTCACCTCCTGCTTTAGTTGCGTAAAAGGGTCGGAATATTCAGAATATTCACTGGATAAACTGGAAACAACATTTTTATCTGGATTGTTAGGGCTTCCATTTCCTCCCAGTTCTAAACCAGAACCGATAACTTTCACCTCATCCGATCTTTTGTTTTTCATGTTTAGCGTTATTGAAGCTTTTTTAGACGTAGTTGCAACCGTTTCGTTTTCCCGGGCTTCAAACCCTACGACAGGAGCTTGGTTCTCTGAAGAGAGTCCGAGAAGATCATATTCATTAGAAAATATTTCATCAGAACAAAATCCTTCCAGATTCTCTGATCTTGCAACCTCAACTGAAGAAGACTCTTCAGTTTTGCTCAAACATTTTACAATTTCTACAGTGGAAATTTTCCTCCCTATTTCTCCAACTGTACCAGAACTGTCTTTAGTAAACTTGTTCTTTCTGGAGATATTTGGTTTCATAAATTCATTATCAGTGTAATCCATTCTTAACGGAGAACCATTAATCCTCATTCTCTTAAAGCTCGGTTCCTCCTTTTTTGTCTTTAGTCTTGGATCCCTTCTTTTAACTCTTTCCCTTAGTTTGTCTTGATCTTTAGTCTGATTTTTACACGGAGTGTCATTTATTCTTGGGCATTTTCCTGTCGTTTCCAGGACTTTCTTGGACCTGGTTCTATCCAGTTCTTCATCTTTGGTTTCCTCTCTGCTAATCCTTTTAGAATGGTTGCTAAGTTTCAAATTTTTTAGTTTAGGAATAGTGTAGTTGGATAGGTTAGAGTTTAATGTTTCTATTTTACTGGTGGTTTTATCTTTTACTATGAACAAAGATTTCATGGTATGAGAAGGATTGTTACTGGGAACCATTACATATTCATAATCTTTCTGGGTAACTGTGGTCAGGGAACTTTTATTTTGAGACTCATCAGACTCATCGGAGTCATCTGAGTCATCAGAGTCACTTTGTGCCATGATTTGTTTGATTAAATTAGATGTTCCCTTATATTCATCAATATGAAAATCTTTCCTCCCCTCTGCTTGTTCTCTTGTGATTGCGTCTTCAGACTCTTCTTTATTTTCATCCCTGTCCTGACTGATATTGTTAACATCAAGCTCTTCTGTGTCAATGTTGTTGGATTCAAAAACGGTCAAAATTCTTCTTGGTTTGCAATCGTTATGTAGTTGGCTGCTATCTCTTCGCTTTCTAATGTTTTCTGATTGGCTTGGTTCTCTTTGACGTTTGTTTTGGTTTTGTGCATTTGTTTCTTCATCCTGTGGGCTCATTTGGTCCCATGGTGATCTGCTTTTATAGTTAAGGTTTCTTGGGATGCTTTTGTCTCGATTAATTTTATCTCTATGAGAGCTAGTTCTGGATCTTTTCCTGTCTGACCTATTTTCTTTATGATTGATATCATGGCAACTAGTTCTGTGCTTATATTTACCATGATTTGAATCCCTTCTCCTACATTTTTTGTCGTTCATAAAATCCTTGCTATAACTTTCATCAAAGGTTCGGCTCTCCCTGTAAGCTCTCTTTTCATAAGATCTACTTTCATAATTTAAATCTCTGTTGGGGATTCTATCATGATCCCTGCACTCTGGGTGTTTAGGATCATTAAAGCTGAGTCTTCTGTCAGAGCATTCGATTTCGTGGGGGCTAACATGATCATCTCGAGGCCTTTCGTTTACAGTTAAACTGTTGAGATTTGTTTCAGAATGAAATCTCTTTTGTAAACTTCTGTCTCTATCATCAGGAGAACTTCTGTCTCTATCATCAAGAGAACTTCTGTCTCTATCATCAGGAGAACTTCTGTGGGTTCTTTCATCTCTGGTTGGAGAACTTCTGTGGGTTCTTTCATCTCTGCTTGGAGACCTTCTGTGGGTTCTTACATCTCTGGTCGGTGAACTTCTGTGGCTTCTTTCGTCTCTTGTCGGAGAACTTCTGAGGCTTCTTTCATCTCTGGTTGGAGAACTTCTGTGGGTTCTTTCATCTCTGGCCGGTGAACTTCTGTGGCTTCTTTCATCTCTGGTCGGAGAACTTCTGAGGCTTCTTTCATCTCTGGTCGGAGAACTTCTGTGGGTTCTTACATCTCTGGTAGGTGAAATTCTGTGGCTTCTTTCATCTCTGATAGAAGCACTTCTTGGGATTCCTTCCTCCCTAGTAGAAGTACTTATGTGGTTTATTTCATCCCTATTAGAGGCACTTCTGTGGTCTCTTTCATCTCTGGTATTAGTAATTCTGATATTTCTTAGAGTTTCACAAGATTTACGTATCCGAGTTCTTTCTTTTCGAGTAGATGGACTTTTGTGCTTTCTTTCATTGTTGCTCGAGGATCTTTTCAAATAGTTTTTATTCCTGCCTGAGAAACTTTCCCGATCTTTTTCATTCCTGCTCGTAGATCTTTTCAGGTCATTCTCATTCTTGCTCGTAGATCTTTTCAGGTCATTCTCATTCTTTCTCGTAGATCTTTTCAGGTCATTCTCATTCTTTCTCGTAGATCTTTTCAGGTCATTCTCATTCTTGCTCGTAGATCTTTTCAGGTCATTCTCATTCTTGCTCGTAGATCTTTTCAGGTCATTCTCATTCCTGCTCGTAGATCTTTTTAGGTCTTTTTCATTCCTGCTCGTGGATCTTTTCAGACCATTTTCATTCTTGCTCATGGATCTTTTACGGTCAATCTCATTCTTTTTCGAGGATCTTTTACGGTCAATCTCATTCTTTCTCGGGGGTCTTTTCAGGTCTCTTTCATTTTTATTTGAGTATCTTATTTGGTTTCTTTTACATCTTTCATGACCTCTCTTTGCTCTAGGATTGCTTCTATCCCAGCTCTGGGTTCTGTTGTATGTACTGGTCTCCCTACTCCGTCCCCTGTAGGAACCCACATTATCATGAGGTTTTACAGGATAATTTCTATTGTCATCTGAACTAGCAGTCCTGAACAAAAATTTAAAAATCATCATTAACAATCAACCAACGGTCAACGTATCATAAACTGTTATAGATCATGTTACGTTGAGCTCTAGATCAAGCTTTATTTAAATTGTTTTACCATTGCATTTTCAGGTTCACCGACATAGGGTCAACGACCAAGGGTCAAACGACAAACGGTCAAAAACGCGAGAAAGGGTAAAACAACAAAGGCTCAAAATTAAAAAAAAAATATTTCATGTAATATTTCAGGGTCAGGTTAGATTAAGACACTGGGCCGAGCGCTGCGGCTACAATGTCGTTTGAACCCATATGACATTTGACCCTAGGTCGTTTGACCCTATGTCGGTGAATCCTATTCCAGAGGTATATATTTTCAAGGGGGGGGGGGGGTAAGGATTAACGGTGCTCTGGCGATCATTTTTCTTTTAAAAACTGGACATTCAAGTTTTTTTTATCGTTTTTGATAATTTTTACTTAAAAATTCATTTATTTTCCCCTAAAAATTATTCATCGTCCCTGATTAAACGATTAAGATACTGAAAAACATGTATACCCGACATCTAGAAAAACATGTATTCCCGACATCTAGAAAAACATGTATACCCGACATCTAGAAAAACATGTATACCCGACATCTAGAAAAACATGTATACCCGACATCTAGAAAAACATGTATACCCGACATCTAGAAAAACATGTATACCCGACATCTAGAAAAACATGTATACCCGACATCTAGAAAAACATGTATACCCGACATCTAGAAAACATGTAAACCCGACATCTAGAAAACATGTATACCCGACATCTAGAAAACATGTATACCCGACATCTAGAAAAAAATATGATTTTTCAAGAAAAGATAATCTTGTCAATTTGTACTTTTCCTATGAGAAACTTACCTTCTTTTAAACGAGTAGTCCCAGGTTACGTGAATAATATTGTCCATGAAAACTGATCCGTTCAACTTTTGACACGCCAGGGCAGCATCTTCCTCACAGTAGTACCTTAGTAAAAATAACTTTGAGGGGCTGTGTACATAATTCAATTTGACCCTCCATTTTAAGTGTGGCAATTGTCCGATTCACAATTTTATCTTCCTGATTATTAATCCGATAAAAGGGTCAAGGGTACCATTGTGAATAAGGAATGACTACCCCCCCCCCCCCCCTAGTTTGTTAAAGTATAAAGACGAAGGGTGAAAAATTGCCCGTTCATATCTAATTTAATAATTCACTCCACAAATCTTCGAGATTCAGTTTTGTAACCTTACCTAACATATGCATGCTTTCCCGTACTCCCAAGTGGAATAAAAATATTTCCTATTTTACCACAGACAGCAAAATGTTTTTCCAGCATTTGTTTAGAAGTCCTGAAAAAAAATATCAAGCATTAGATCAATTTTTACGATATAGGTTCATTTCTTATAAATTCGGATCCCAAGACTGAATTTATACGGAAAAATGGATCAAGTACAAGTCTTATTAAAAAAAATTAATATCTTGTTTAATTCAAATTTAAAAATATTAATATTTCTCATTTATTAAAAGAAAGGTAAACCTGAAACAGTTAAGTTTTCAAGTTTGTATCACATTAGTTTTATTTTGGTAGTTTTTTTTGCGCTATCTTTACTTAATGTTATGTTAGGACTTTAGTACAACTTCAGAGTTTCTTATCAGGGAAAAAACATTAAATGGACATTGAACATCATATATTTATTTTCGCCTAAAAATTATTAATTTTTCCAAATTCAGCAAATAAACCCCTATTAATATTATGCATATAAATAGGGGAAAAAAAATTATTTTTAAATATAGAGGGGGATACTTTTACAAGAAAATATAAACCCCTGAACGGAAAACAAACTATATTTTGGAAAAATGTATGATTTCTTAGTGAAATGGTGACTTGAAGTTAAATTTTTCTTAAAAATTCTTTAAGTTGTCGGGGTGCATTGAGATAAAGCTGACTTACCCTTTGGGGATATTCTCCACCTTGAGACAAAACATAAACTCCAGTCCATTAGGTGGATAATAAACCTTCCCTCCCTCCTCCATTCTTCAACTACATTTCTCTGAAAATATAGTGATAAGGATTCTTTCATCTTTCATAAAAATACATAGACTCTCTTACAAAACTTATTTTTTGTTTTGTTATGACATATTGCTATTTTGTTAAACAAAAAGGCATTTTGATACATTTATACATTTTGTTTAAAAATCTACTTAAATATACAAATTTTGTTGACAATTAATGTAAGAATAAATTTTAATTGACAAAAATAAAGTGTAACAAGTGAAAACAAATAACTAACATAAAACATGGAATCAGTTCTCAAGAAATAATAATGTTAAAACTAAGAATCATGCAACCTACAATAAACTAATAATTACATCGACTAATACTTGTATTTACGAACTTGATTTTATAAAGATTCTTTATGGTTACTAGGTACTTGGTTCATTACAGTCTTGTACTTAACACTTAATAGTTAGGTACTTTAATTAGGGTAACATACAATTCAATTTTTAGGGTTAATGATTATCAAGCAGTGCTTAGAATCCATTCTATTTTGTCGAATATCCGGATCCTGGATCCAGCCTTTATATATCCGTTTCCTGGATCCAGACAGTATATATCCGGATCCTGGATCCAGACAGTATATTTCCGGATCCTGGATCCAGAGAGTATATATCCGGATCCTGGATCCAGAGAGCATATATCCGGATCCTGGATCCAGACAGTATATATCCGGATCCTGGATCCAGACAGTATATATCCGGATCCTGGATCCAGACAGTATATATCCGGATCCTGGATCCAGCCTGTATATATCCGGATCCTGGATCCAGCCTGTATATATCCGGATCCTGGATCCAGCCTGTATATATCCGGATCTTAGATAATACTAACAAGTGAGAATTCGGATCCGAATTGAGCTCAAACATATTTCTTCAGGAACCGAATTTAATGGATTTGAGCTACGTAAATGCCACCGATTCAAAGTTAAACCAGTAGTAGGCGGTTCAGATTATTATATTCGGTACCAAGTTTAACAAATAAACGTAACTATAAAGACAAATATCCCCTTAACCAAAAGAGATGGTGATCTTTTTTTATCATAACTTAATATAATCTTAACATAATATTTGTGGCTTGAAGACAGAAAGGTTTTCGTTATATATTTTTGTTGATATTTCCCCCCCTTGGAATCCCATACAGTTCCGGATCCGGATTCACAGAAGCCGGATCCTAAGCACTGTACTTAAGTACATAATACTAGAAACCAAGTATATAGGATCTAGGATACGAGGCCGAATTTTAAGACTTTAAATCTCGTCACTGAACCGGTTTCAGTTGAGCACCGGCTCAAATCTCGAGACACTGAATACAATTTCAAGTGGAACCAACCATGTTTGAGCCGCGTCTTAAATTTGAGACGCGGCTCAAATTCTTTAAATTCGGCCAAACTGGCGGCGATAATTCAACTTGATTTTATGCAAGCAAAATTGTTTAAGTGTTCTATTTCATAAATCGCATTTACTTTAGACCAAAATCAGTATAAAATACTTTTCATACGGTTTTACATGTTTAAAATCACTGGTAAACCTTGGCATCACTTGTCCACTGGTGTCATCAATGCACCGGGTGAAAAAATATAAGCAATTATAGTGAAAACATATATGTGAAAAATTATGCAATTATAGTGAAAAATAAACGAGATATTTATTTGAGATTGACAAGGTGTATTGTGAACTGTTTTAATATCTACTAGCTGAAGGGACCAGCGTTGCCCGTGGGAAAAAAATTAAATAATTTTTTTAGCCTTTAACACCACCTATGAGTGTCCACAAATGAAAATTCAGCCGTTTGGCAACATATATACATACACAAATGTTTTTTTATATAGACTAGTTAAATAATGAGAATAAAACATGACCAGAGGTCGGAATCAATTATCTTAAATACTTGATCCCTTAATTGCAGTTATCCCTGCAAGGTTTAGGAATTAAATTAATCTGTAGATCAAAAATGAATTTAAAAGTTCTGACTACAGAAGCTTGTCCTATTGTATCTAGTCCGAGTCAGGCATAATTATTTCAGTATTTTCATCATCATACATCTTCTTGTAATCAGCAGCATCCTGAAACATAAACAATTATGCAATAAAATCTTCAGAAATGTCGAAATCCAACAATCATTTATTTCATTTTCAACTTTCCGCCATCAATATTCGAAAGATCAATTTCCTGCAAAATTGGGTTTACTGAGGGGGGGATTTATTATAAAAATACACCCCTGCCTAAAATGGGTTACGGAGCCGAGCATCGCGGCAACCTGAATGTGTATAAACGTCTTTATTCTAAATCTTATTGCGTGAATTTCAAAATCAGAAGAGGCTAAACCATGATAATTCAGAGATAATGAAATTTTTGATTTTTTTTAAATAGTTCTGATTTTTTTCTTCATCAAAAAGGTTTATTATGTTTCACCTTATTCAATATTCTTGCCATCTGTAATCCTGCCTCTGTGATCTGATACATATTCTGTATTCACGAATAAAATTCAGAAAAATACAGGGAAGAAGACACCATTTAAAGGCATTAATTCAAGCTAGATCATATTTGGTATTATAACAAATTCACAGTTTGGATGAAAAATAAACGGAATCACTTTTTTAAATTAACTAAATAAAAATATTTAAAACTTGAAAGATTAACATTTTAAAGTTGTTGAAAACATATCCGTAATTTTGTCAATAAAATCAAACATTTAATAAAAATCGAATTTTATTCCCTCGGCGTCTAACATAATCCATTTCTTTTTTCGTAGACTCGTACTATGCAATTCAAACTAAAACTCCAATCAAAAGTTTCCAAACAAAGTTTTAAATTATGCATTTAAATCTGCACCCCCCCCCCCCATCTTAGAACTTAGAATTTATCTTTCTATCTAGTATCGCTGATTTTGACTTAAAACAGCACACGATAAGTAGTTCAACCAGCAGTAACCAGTTGAACTATTTCTTGCCAATCATTAATTTCAATCTCTGTTTGTCTAATCAAGACTGAAAATATGAAAGACTGAATAACATCCTAAGCCAAATTTTCTAGAAACTAAAGATATAAACCATTAAAACTGTAGTGTGACAGTGGTAGGCGATTTTATCAATACAATGAAGACGTATTTCGATTAAAATTCTGATTTATGTCTAGCTATTAAACACCATTGATACACATAAACATAAAAGTCAAGAGAAGCTGCCAATTATACTTTTTGATTACTTTTAAACTTGCAATTTACACAGGGTGTTAAAAATCAAAACTTATACCGCCTACCAGTCCTTAGGATCTATTTAATTTTGATGCACATCCGGATCCTGGATCCGTACTGAAAAAAATGGATCCCGACCCGGATCCAGGTCATTTCTTTAAAATTTACTGAATTTTTTTAACAAAAAATAATTTTCAAATTTTGTTTTATTTTTTTCGCTTGTTTTTATCCCGAAACTTAATGAACGATTCAGAAATGAGGAAATTTTTATAATCTCTCTTTTTTCAAAAGTTCAGATTTGGGGGTTAGGATTAAAAAGTTTTTTTTTTTGCCGTTTTTGGTTGATATTTTACCCCTTAGATCCGGATCTTTACGGATCCGAATCCAGGAAGCCAAAATCTTGCGGATCCAACGGATCCGGATCCTAAGCACTGCCGCCTACAATTGCATAAATATTTGTTTCCAGTTGGTCTTTAAATAAACAATTTCTGAATGTTGCTTTAGTTTGAACCATTCCTTAAAGCAGTGCTAACTGCTGCTTGTGTCGGAGGATTTTGCTTATCTACTTGCTTACAAAATGTTTGAACAGCAGACTGAATCCCGCAGATATTGTAGGAATCCACTCTTCCCTGAAATAAAAAAAATTTCTAGTCTTGAGAGTGGGGGGGGNCCCCCCCCCCCCATCCAAGGGTATTTAATAGTGGCAAAACATTCCCATATGTATGTGAATGTGGGGGTGTAATTCAGTAAAATAAGGAAGATTTGAACAATTAACATACATTAGTGTGATGTGCGGCCAGATGGGGACTGGTTCTTAAAAAATAGCAGTTTAAAAAAAATCAAGATGTGGAGATCGTACCCAGCTAGAGTTCCGAAGCATTTAGCAAAACCTTAGTTTTTGAATACTGATATCAAAAAGGAAAAAACAATTTTTGTTTAACTGACTAAAATGACTGTATTTTAGAACACAGGAACAGAAACCTTACCAGAGTCAGCTCATATTTGCGGGTAAGAGCTCTCAGCACCAATCCAGTTCCACTTTTAAAATGAGGATTACGTGACTTTCTAGGTAGCCGTTCGGGCATTTCAGGTAGCATGTTGTCTGGCACTCCGAGATTCGGCGCATTTTCTTCAATAAATTCCCTTTTAAATACGCATAAATCTAGCATGGACATATTGCTGTCATCATCATCTGTGTCACTGCCCAAGACAAGCTTTTTGATTGCTTTACATTTTTCTTCTATTTCCATATTGTCGTCGTCTACATGCATCTCAGGATCTGTAACTTGGATCTGGGTAGAACCATCGACTTTATCCTTACCTTCTTCATAATTGACTGTAACAAAATCCTCCATTCTCTGTGTTGAGCTCTGACAACAGGTTGGTATTTTTACTGAAATATTGACAACATGGTTCCCTTTGCCGTCGGAGCCTGAAATTTGCATTCTTCTCGCAGGTTTAGGTCTACCGGTTTCTGAATCTATTTTGTTCACATTAAGATCTTTTTCTTCCCGGGGAGTTTGTGCCGGAATCCTCTTTATTTTTTCAGATTCGAAAGGTTCAAATGTTTTATTTGGAACCGAATCTGTTATCGATGAGTTTATTTCCTCATCGTCAATATTACGTATTTCAACTATATTCCCAGTGTCATCTTGACTCAGGAGAGTGGCAAACTTGGCTAACCTAATATCAGATTGGTTTAGTTTCTTTCCCTCACTTGATTGCGTCTGAATCTTTCTTTTCTCTCCTCTATTTCTGTTTGTTGTGGTTTCAGTCTCATCGTTTACAATTATAATTGGTACAGACTCTTCACTCACGTTCCTTATACTTAGTCCAGACTCTTCTCCTTCGATACTCATTGGTCTTGGGCTAGTCTGTTCTTCTTCTGTGTTCCATGAACTTGACTCAATATTAATCCCTGTACCGTGTACGCCATGTTCTTTGTTGTACTATGAACTTGGTAAATCCATCTCACGCTTGATCCATGGTTTTGAGGAGTGGTTGGTATTGGAAGCTTTCCCTTTCCTTGGACCTTTGTCTTTGATTTCTGATGTATTTAGATCATCCTTGAGAGTTTCTCTTTTCTCTGCCTCTTTTTTAGAGTTTTCTGGTATTTTGTTGAAGCAGTCCCTAATTTCAAATAACTGCTCTTTAGATTCTCTCCTCAATGCTTCGTCTAACTCATTATCATCATTGCGGAGCCCTAATTCTTTAATAATAATACCAGCATTAAAAGAGAACCCATCGGAGATTGTAATGAAGCCCTCACTTAATAAGTTCAGGGTGATGCATAATCGGTGGAGTAACCAAACCTTATTTTCAAAAATTCTATGGAAGGATCGCTTCCCGGCTGACAGGTTAGGAACTCTTGGTTTAGAATTGATTTCAAGACTCTCTTACGATTGAGGTTGAAAACAAAAGCAAGATTTTCCTCGATAGATCTTGATTTATTACTGAAATGGTTATCTATTTCGGGGTTTCCACATTTTACGCCTTCCTTAATTAAACATACGCATTGATGAGTACTTTTCAGGTTGCTGTTGTAACAAGTTTTGTGGGAAAAGTTACCACAGCTGGAGCATCTTAGCATCTCTGGGTCAAAGGTATGATATAAGCATATGCAGTTTATTTTTCCAGATTTTGTTTTGGAATTCTCAGAGTTATCGGATGAAGAATATTTGTTGTCCTGTTGAATCACTGGTTTGTGTGGACTACTTGGGTTTTCAGGTTCTTTTGCAGTTTTGGTTTCTGCTCCTTCTCCCTTTTCCGTTGATCTTAACTGCTTATATCCGGGATGTATTGTATCATTTAGAGGGATATTTCGTTGTTTACTTACATCATCTCGGGAAACGTGCTCAACACTATTGTTGACTCCTCTCTCGTTCCCCCAATGCTTTCTATCCTCCCTCACTCTCCAGGTTTCTCTCTCTTTGACTGGCTCTTGTAAGTTGAGTTTTCCCGATCTTTCTTTTCCTAGCCGTTCGTCCGAACCCTTCATACTTCGTTCTTCAATTTTGCTGAGTTTCGTAGCTTCATAGCTTGCTGTCCTAAATTTAAATGTTGTTAACTTTAATTTAACTAAATATTCCTGTTTATCTGAGTTTTGCATAAAGCAATCTTTTTACATATTTATTTTCTATTTCTATTTAATTGCAGTTTTAGATTGATTGTCCTTTAGTAGATTCTAAATATTTCCAGTTTCTACTTAATTGTAATTTTAAGATTTTGACTTTGTTAAATCTTAACAATGTTGTAGGTTTTTAACAGGTTCTGTAAAAAATATATTCATTTTACACCTTTCTTTATTTCTTTCCGAGTCTGCTTGCGTCCTACGTCTCTCTCCCATACCAGCTCTGTTTTCATAGTCTCTAGATCTAAATTCAAAAAATAAATTCTCTTTAAATGTTACGGTCTCCCTATGAAGCTTTTCCTTTAAATTGTTAGGTTCTGATTTTGGTTTTATTAAACATGTTTCTTTACTTTTCCGATTTTGTAATTATTTCTTTGGTCCTTGGATTTATTTTACCACTTTACCTTTCTATCAAATTTCTTTGGCTTCCTGTGTGTTTCTCATACTCTTGTTTCCTTTCCCACTCTCCGTTTCTAAATTGCAACTCGGATTTGTTTTATATTTGAAACCTTAGATTGGACACATTAATCTCCACCTTAAGAACTCTCGTAGTTTCTGTGTATCAATATTAACGTTTTAATTTGAAGAAAGCTCCCTTAAAACTTATATTGAGTTTTCTGAATCCACGATATGGAATTTTTAGCTTTCTGGGTTTTAATTAGGAATAAATCTTTTAGATATTCTTGTATTGAACTATTTATGAATAATTTACCATCTTATATATTATGAAGTTTTTTTAGATATTCTAGAACTGACTTTTTTATTGATCTATTTACTATTTAAGAAAAAAAAAAACATTTTCCGTTTCAATTAAACCATATTTTGTATATTAATAGTAGGAGATCTTTATGTTGAGTTGTTCTACCTTGTGTTGGTGATGGTTTTAGTTGCCAACCCTCTTTGATCTCTTGTTACGCTCTGGTGATTAAATCGGCAATACCTACCATTTTTGCAGTAGCCTTGCAGATAGAATCTGCAAGGTTTACTCATCTTTTTTGAAATAAGCTCTGTTGGATTAGTTAGCTTATTGTTGAATCGTCAATCTCTTCGTTCCAGGTCCCGCTGTTAACTTGTTTGTTTTCTACCAGGTTTACATAGGCTTCTTTCATCTCCAGTTTTCTTTTCACATATGTTACCATAGTTCTCGTTTTAAGTTTTTTTTTTAGTTTGTTCATCATTATCAAATTGTAGTGTGACTATACATGGCGAGCCAATGAAACTATCCATAGGATCACTTGGAATGACCCCACTTTTGCCAATTAAATATAATTAAAGATTACACATTTCAAAAAATGTATGGGCGCAGAATTACTTCTGGGTGATTTAACGGCTTTGTCTACTAATCTCTTATATCCTTTACTAAAGAGTATATTAAAGTCCGGTAGATTAAAACATTGAGGGTTTAATGACATTAATTCTCTCCATTAACTCTTCAGGCTTTGACAAATATAAAACATTCTTGTTCTCTTTGAAGCATTACCTAGAATGGCCATGTCCTTGTTTGTTTGAGATTAATAGTTATCAAATCAAATTAACATAATTGTGCCTGAACTGAAGTTAATTTTCAACCGAATTTTGCCGATATCTCCTAAAAAGAACAGTTATTTAGTTTTTTGGATTGTACGATCTAATAATAGGTTTTTATTAGACTTGGGAAAAACTTTGATATTTTTAAAGGTTAGATCTTCATATTTTACAAACATATTAACATTTGATACAAAGAGTAAAGTAAATAATTTTTTACCATTAAAAAAAAAACCAATTGGTAATTTCCTAATTTTGTAAAAGCTGATTCTTCATTTTGCAAAGTCTTTATACTTTTATAAAAGTTGTGGAAAATGGTTTAACAATTTCAAAACTGGTTACAATAGAATATTTAAAAATTAAAATTAAAAATTAGCTAAAAAAAGAATTTTGGTCTGTTCCATGTGTGTGTGTGACATTGCTGTAATAGGTTTTTTGTTTTGTTTTGAAAGTTGTGAGCAATGCCGAGAGTTTTTCTCTAATGGGTCGTCTTTGTGGTCCGAAGTATAAAAGTGAACATTTGACGCGAAGCTCTCCAAATTTCTTTATTAGGCAATCTTTCTACTAATCCTTTAACATACTATAACAACTAAATTAAAATGTTTCAATGCATCTTTTGTTACGTTTTAGACGTTTTTCCCAACGGATTGGTATGAAAATGGACATGTACTCAGGTAAACCTATTATCGGGTCTGTCCTAGTATACGATTTTTGGACCCCCCCCACCTAGCATGTCCTAGCCGCAGCGCTCGACCCAGAAATTGTCTTAAACTAATTCCTAACCCTCAAATAATACAAAAAAAACAGCTGGCGTAGGTCCGATATTGCAGTAGGTCGGAACTTCCTTCAGTGTGGGGGATGTTGCGTATAATACGATGTTACCCACAAAAGAAATCAGGTCAATTGGTTGACTTTCATTGCTGTCAAGCTTTATGCTGAGACTTATCAAAATTTCAAAATTTTTGAAATGTTGAAAGTCATCAGATTTTTCTAAATATTGAAATTTTGATAAGTCTCAACATTATAGAGCTTGGTAAATCGACGAAAACGTAAATTAAAGTCAACCCTTCGACCTTATTTTTTAACAGAGACAGATAAAAGGTTTCCCAATCCGTTGAAAAAAAAACGTCAAAATCGTAACAAGAGACGTAATGAAACATATTGAGTTTACTTGTGATATTTGGACTTGGACTCCTTGGACACAAAATCCAGCGAAGTTACGATTTTTATAGCACCATCTTTGAGAGATCATAACTCTGGAATCAAAAAAGATATCAACAAAATTTAAAATCCCAGAAGTAGCTCTATATATCAGCTATGAGCATAAGGAATAACAGAAGATCCCCATGAAGAAATGGGAGAGCTTCGCGTCAAATATTCACTTTTTTTACTTGGAAAACTTGGACTATACTTCATCATAATATCAGATAGATAAATTAATAGATAGATAGATAGTTTGATCTGAAAAAAATGAAAAATAGAAAGAATTTTTTTAAATTAAAAAAAGTTGAAAAATAAAAAAAAAATTGTGAAAAATGTTAAAAAAAGATGAAAAAATTTAAAAAATCTTTTTTTGGTGAATTAATTTTTTTTTATTGAAAATTTCTAAAAAATTTGCTTAAAAATTTCTAACATAATAAGAAGCGGATCCTAAAGGCCTGATACTTTTTGACATTTAAAAAAAAAGTTTATCGGAAAAATGAAAAAAAAAAATTTTAAATTGTTTTAACTTTAAAGAACATTTTGCGGGAACATACATTTTTGAGGTTTTGTATTTTTAACTTATACCAACCCCCTAAAGAGTAAAAATACATTGTGTATCTCAAAACATGACAACTTTAAGATCTTTTATAACTTATAAAAATGTTGAATCACAATATTAGATAGATAAATTAATAGATTGATGTGAAAAAATGAAAAAAAGAAAGAATTATTTTAATTGAAAAAAAAGTTAAAAAAGTAAAAAAAAAATTGTGCAAAATATTAAAAAAAGTGAAAAAATTAAATTTTTTATTAACTTATAAAAATCACGGGCAGCCGTAGTACATTTGAATTTCCGAGCCGGGTCAACCTTTCCGGTCCCAGTTTGTACTGTACCGCACGGACATTGGGTTGATAAAGCAGACTATCAACAGGACTAGCGGGTGCAACAAGATTAACGCAGTCAGACTTTATGCTTCATATATGTTGAATTTACTTTTACTAAAGGGGCAGAGGTGGACAGGTTTGATATGGTTTTGCATAAGTGATCAAAGTTACAAAATTAGTTTCCTGAAAGAAGACCAAACTATGTGTTTTTAAGAGAAATTATCATGTATGTACGATCAAGACGTATTGTTTAAAATAAAATAACTCACTTTCGTTTCATGAGGTAGAACTTCAAGTTCCTCCTACTGTTTCATCCCGATTTCGATTACTGCATTTTAACACGTTCTTTAAAAATACTTTGATACATTTTTCTGAAACGTATTAAATCGCTAAGATTAGTAGCATTCATAACATTAATTCATACGTACCGGTGCATTGCATACATACATTGAAAATTAATACGTTTCAGAAAATTTAGTTTTATAATTTTTTTTTTAACTGTGTTTGTTCTTTTGTACTATTTCAGTTCAACTTTAATCCATACAAGGTTCTGTGATGGATTTTTTTTTGTATTTTATCTTTTTATTTAAATGAAAATTTATCAGGTTAAATGTATTAGTTTCAAGGATTTGAAAAAGTAATTGGAAATAAGTTAATTAAAGAGGATAAAGTTTTGAGGACAAAATTTCTTTCTATTCGTAAAAAAATTTATCCTTTAAAAATTTGGTCGATTAATTTTGTAGATTTAAAAAAAATATATTTTAATAATATTCATATAGAAGTACTATATTGGTGTATATATATATGTACAATGTAAAGAGTACATGAAGAGTTTATGTACAGATCTTTACAGTGCTTAATTCTACTCTTGTCCGACATGGGCCGAATACCCGCGGAAATTCTTGTATGCAGCTGCCTCCTAAAAATATTAATCAATTTGAAAAAAAGTAATCTAAAAGGAATTGAGTCTTTGCCACAAACTCTGATTTTTTAATCCCCATATCTTTAGAACTCAATGTCATAGACCTTAGATATTTCAAACGATGAATTGTGTTAGTTCAAGTGATCTAAGTTTGAAATATAAAAGGTTTACACCATTAGGTTGGCAAGATATAAGCATTAGAAAGTTTGAGTTTGTGACAAAAAGTCAATTCCTTTAACTTTAAAATAAGAAAGCAAAATTAATTGTATTCAGCGTAAAAATTTAAATACTTTTTAGATCTTTAAACATTTTGTAAGTTCTAAAGAAGCTGTAAAGAAGCTCAGTCGAATTTTGTTTGTATTCATTCCTGAAACTGCAGTACACTTATTAATTGTAATCAAAGATATCTGTGTATTTTCCGTTCGTTTATTGGGAATTTTTAAACCTTGCCTACTATTTTTCTATTTTTCATTTTTAATTAAGTCTTGATTCATCCACATTCCACATATTTCTGATGATCAATCAACGAAGTCTGATTTATAAATACATTTAGAAGACAAACAGTTATCGCCTGGGTTAATATACCTTGTTCAATTTGTCTGCTATTCTCCGTCCTAACCCTGTTATCCGGTATTCATCCTTTACGCAATATGAAATCATGATGATAAAACATTAATAAATCCCTGGTCTGATGTATTTTCAATTTTATTTGACGAATTTAAAGCCAAACATAGACATTTAAAACTAATCTTTAAATTTCATATTTATGTATATATTAAGAATTATTTCCGATAACTTTTCAGTGACAAATTATCGGGTATCAAAAGTCACAATTCGTTTTCAAGATTTCTTCCCTGGTTTTTCAAAATCCAACCATTCTCCTGGAGAGTCCGAGTACTGAACATTTTAACTGGTTTAGAACATTATTAAATGGAGTGACCGGCTATGTAAGGTAAAAAAAAACTAGTTCCGAAAACGTATCCACCCCCAAAGTAGGAGTTTTGATCGTCGAATTTGCGCTCAAACTCAGGATTTACAGATCTTTAAAAAGTTTAATATGTCTCAAATGAATTTGAAAGAAGTTTTTCACAACACTGCATACTCAGTTCAACTACCTTACATAGCCGGTCACTCCCTTTAAAAAAGAAGACGTTAAAAGATTTATATTAAAAGAATAAAATTTAGCTATATTTTACTTCAAAAAAGACACCCGACACACCCATCTTTTACTTTAGTTGATGTTATAGCATTTTTTTTCCAGAAACACTTATTTCCGCGGAAAAATATCACTAAACAAAAGAGATTTTTTGATCGTATAACTTATTTTTCTCTAAAACGCCACCCAACCAACTTACAGAAACACTTAATTGAAAACTATTAAACCAAGCTAAATTCCTGTTTTTGGCAGATTTTGTCCTCAAGGCTCCTTGTATCGCGAAGGGTGTTGGAATTGATTCCAAATTTATGTTTAACGATTCGCAAAATTTCACGACTTCCTCTTGAATACCCCATTTGCTGTATTCTTTGCCCTAAAAAGATAAAATGTATTAATAAAATAATAAAGTGTTAGTTTAGTCTTAAAGTAACTGTAAGTGTTACTTCAAGTGACCTTCCATGCAAAGACGGATTTACAACGGTACCCTTAAAAGCTTAAGCTGTTGTCTGATTAAGTACACATAAGATATCAATGTTAATAATTTTAAAAACAGACTATTTTCAATTGAGGTTTTTCGACAGAAGTAACTTTCGCAGTTCTATTGCAGGAAAGCATAGAGGAATTATTATGAACGAAACTTTCCAAGATAGAAAAACGACAATATCTTTTACATTATTGATCAATTATAGTTTTCAGTGGTACTGTTGTGGTTTCTCTGTAAAAGAATCTGAGGCATTTCTCATGCATGAAAACATTGTAATAATTTAAAACTTTTAAACGTAGAACAAAGACAATATCATCCCCATTATTGATCAGTGTTGTAAATCAGACCTTCTTTTAATGGAGTGTCACTTGATATTTAATAGTATGTTTAAAACTTCTCACAAATGGTTCGTCTCGACGAACAGGAAAATTAAGAGATAAGCGTAACAGTAAAAAAACTTTAAAACTTAAAACTATCTGTTATTCAAACAAAATATGTTTTTTGTTGCATAATCAACTTAACGCCATCCAATCCCCATGTTCATAGAAATTACCTCGGTGTAATATTTATCCAGAGCTCTGAGGATGTATCCAGGTGCTCCGTTGAACTTAGGAGGCTTGGACACACGTGGAGAAGGTTCGATTCTCATGGTAACTTCAACAAGCTGAGAAGCATGTTCCATTGCATTAGAGGCATCTTCCATAGCATTATCAGAAGCATTTTTCGTAGTATTAACAGAAGCATCTTCCATAGTGCTGTCAGAAGCATCTTCCATAGTGCTGTCAGAAGCATCTTCCAAGGTGTCATCTACTTCTTCTTTTATTTCTTCTTTTGGGATCAGTTCCTCAGATTCAGCATCTCCTGCTACTTCCACGTCATCTGGAGGCAAAGGGATTTCGCTAATAACTATACAATCTCCGATAGTTTCCTCTTCTATGTTCATTTCTTCATCGTTCTTAGAATTATCTCTCTCGGAGCTGACTTCTTGCAAGTTCAGAGCCTTTAACAAATGTCAAAGTAAATTTTAAAAAGAACAGTTCACATTCAAGAATAGGGTTGTAAACATTTCAGAGAAATTATGATGAAAATACCGATATTTAGTAGGAATCTTGGCAATTTTTTTACTTATTTTGAGATAGTAAACAGTCTTAATAATAAACGTACATTTTTATAATAAATAATAATAATAATAATAATAATAATAACAATAATAATAATAATAATAATAATAATAATAATTAATAATAATATGACTAATTTGACTAATTTGAATAATAATAATAATGTTATCTTTAGATACCTGTTCAATTTTGTCAGCTATTTCAAGTCCCGATTGTGTAATACAGTATTTATTCTAAAATTAAAAAATGAAAACAAAAATAGTTCTCGTTCTACACAACAATTAATAGGTAGTCACAATGCTGAAAATGGACTATCAGGTTTCAAGTCATAACACCTAAACTTTTTTTCTATCGTTTGAATCTGTTTTTTCCAATATTTTTGAACCGCAAATGTTGGGGTTTTTTCTTTAACCGTCATAATACATGGGTGTAGCAAAAAAACAAAGTCCAAAATAAACTGTATGACTGTCTAATGACTGCATGAAAAAGTCTTTTTCAGACTGGACTTACGCAGCCATACAGTTCAATTAGAGGCTTAGATTTGTTGGCTACAACTAACTGATAAAGAAAAGCCACCGAATATGGGGACCCAGCCATTATGTAAATAAACTATCTATACATCTGTCATGTTTTTATCCTCCTAACACAACTTTATGTGGGGAATAAAATAACTTAGAAGTTGTCTAAGGCCGGCTAAGCTAGAAATGGTCCCACAAAAAAATTTAGTATTTTTTATAATCTTGCATTTTGTATTTTTATATTCTGCCTTATTGCTTAATAGTGTATAAACAGAGGTTAAGGATCAAATGTATAAAATTATAACCAAACAGAAAGCATCTAAAAACTAGAATCATAATAAAAAATTTTGTTACCTGTTTCCTTTTAATCCATCCTCGTCTTTGAAGACTGTTTGGGCTGAAAATAAAATAAAGAATAAAAAACAAGTTTTACAATATTTATTAGTATACAGACTGAAGTGCTTGGCGTTGCCCGTAGAATTTATAACACTAAAAAATCCATTTTTGAAAAAAATAGTTTCCATTAATTTTTTCCCATGCAACTCTAGGGCAGTAGTATGTATTATGGTTAATTTTCCGATTTTCCTTACGAATTAGTAAATAGAAAGAGGGTAGACCATTTTCGACATTTGATGGAAAAAAACTTCATATTTTAGTTTTTAGTTTAGTTTTCAGTCAGAAACTCTGCTAGTTTTTGGTTCAGAAGTTGACAAAAAAACAGTGATCAAAAACCTTTTTTCATTCAAGAAAAAGTTTGTGTTTTGCACAATATAAAATATCAAAAAATGTTAGTTTTAAAGTTTGTATTTTTTATGTTTATTGGAAGGTGATGCTAGGATGAGAGAACAGCCTGGGAGTTGAGGTCTAAACTCTATGCATGACGGAGGCGGGCCGCCAACATTTCTGATTGGTTGACCATATTTTTTATCAGCGCTAACCTAAGATTTTGTGCCTCAAAATTTTTTTCGGTATCAATGGGGGCTGGTTCAATCTTTTGTTGGGGAAAATTGTCATCCAATCAGTGAAGAGATATACATCTACTAACCATTGAACTCCCACCCACCTTTTTATATCGACCAATCAGAGTAAAACGGTAGACAGGAACCTACAGACATTAAGATGGGTTTAATGATCCAAAAAACTGTTGTTCAGAATCTGTTGGTTTTCATGTTTTATTGATATGGTTCTCAAAAATAAATTTAGATTGAAAGATAATTCAATCCTTTGGTTATTTTAAAAGAAAAAAAAATCAGTGAAGAGATATACATCTACCAACCATTGAACTCCCGCTATTTTTTATATCGACCAATCAGAGTAAAACTGTAGACAAGAACCTACAGACATTAAGATGCGTTTAATAATACAAAATACCGTTGTTCAGAGTCTGTTGGTTTATATGTTTTATTGATATTGATATTGTCTCAAAAATAAACTATTTTTTTATAAAAAAAATAAGAATTTACATTGAAAGATAATTTGATCCTTTGATATTTTTTTTAAAGAAAAAAAATATAATATTATTTATTCAGACACAATTTATATGCTAACTATACAAAATCAATGGTTTGGTTAGGGATGAGCAGATAGATTAATAAAGAAAGTTTTATAAAATTTAAAAACAATCGGTTTCAAAAAAAAAAAAAATTAAATTTTTGTCTTTTCTTAATGTAATAATAAATAAAATTACAAATGAAGTTCATTAACCTCAAGTACAAATCATACTTTTTTTATAACGAGGAAATAAAAAGTTAATAAAGTAAAAAAAATACAAAAGACAGAAAAATTGTTTACTCTAATAGTTAATACACACGTGTACGAATGTTCTCTAGGAAAAAAAACCGAATATTTTTTTATCATTTAGCAAATCAGTTTTGTTTGAAAAGATTTTTAATCTCGTTTTTTTACACTTTTGATCATTAATGTGTTTTCTCTCACACACTCATCTATCTAAACAAAAAATCTCTAAATAATAAGAAACCTATATATAATCAAATTAGAAAAGAGATTAAAATTATTTAGGTTGGAAAAAAAAGATTTTACTGACAAGGCTAGAAGTGACCGGGGGAGGATAGAGAGATAAGGGAGGGGAGGAACTAGTTCAATTGCCAAAATCTTATTAATAAAAAGTTATTAAAAATTTTGTAAAAGAAACACTTCAATTGAAATTTACCAGCAAACATTGAATAGCATCTTTAAATCTTTTTAACTCTTAAGAAAACCCAAAATTCCCACCAGTAAAAAAGGACTTTCTTCAAATAATTACAAGTTTCCTAAACAGAACCTATCCAAACCAAGTGCGATTACATTTTTATTTTTAGTCAATATTTAAAAGTTTCTTTCTGTTTTAGGTTTTAAGAGTAGCAGAGACGAAAACACCAGGACAGGTTGGGGATTGTATACGAAAAGAGAGAGGAACAGATTGAGATCAACCTGGAGACTGGCCCTCTCTGTGCTAGATTTAAAGAGGTGAACTGCTTTGGATAATTTTTTAGAAAGGAAGTCTAGATTTCACATTTTTCATCATATATTAATTAAAAGGGAATTTTCACATTTTTAATTTTTTAAAAGAATATAGCGTCCTCAAACCCCAACTGTTATACCCTTTAGCATTGCAACCCAGATGTCGTAAATATTTGATATATTCAAACTATGAGTTCTGGTAGATCAAATAGTCCAAGTTTTGGAATATATTTGGTTTACACTATCCGGTTGCAAAGATATTAAGATTAAAAAAATTAAGTGCGGCAAAAACTCTAATTTTTTTATCAGTTGGCACCCAAATTTTTATTGTTTAAACATTATTGGACTAAAGCATCTTAATTTTACAATAAATAGGTGAATTTGAGTTAATGCTCTGTGTTCAAAAACTTTAATAAGAAAAAAGAGAGGGGGCTTCCAGACTTTTTTATTGTTTGGGAGTTGTTGGATAAAATGACGCAGTGAATCTATATATATATATATATATTCCATTTTCTGTTTTCTAGAAAGAAAGGATCGACAAACTTAAGAAGGCAGTAGAATGGTATTCAGATGCCCCGCCCTGCCTCCCACCCCATCTCCTTCCCCCTCTCTCAAGAAGGAAGAGGAATCAAAAATCTTGACTATAGTTTCAATTGCCCTGGCGGGTTTTAGTATTCTTAGTATTTTAGTGTTTTTTAATACACATGGGGTTAAAAGGTAAAACATTAAATTAAAATATTTGATTAATAAAATAAATTAACTTTGTTTAGTGGCCCAATACTTCTCAAAATCAGCCAGGATAAAACGGATAAGAGAGAAGATAGAGCTGTGGCAGAGTGGCGGAGTAAGAATTTTTATTATCTTTGAAACTTTAGTTGGTTAGAAAAAGATTGCAATCTATGTTTTTCTTTAGTTGGGAACAATAAAGTGGATTTTTGATTGAATATATTGTTAGACTTTCTAGAGAGATTCTGAACTCCCCCCCCCATATCATTCTGTTGAGAATTTTTATTTCTAGTAAAGCAATAGTTTCTCTTGTATAGAGGATACGGGTTAGCTGGCCAAACATGAGAAGTGACTCTGATCTGATTTTAAACCAGGTAAAAATGGTAAATCCAGATATAAAATTGTATGAACTTTGTTTATCGGTTTGTCTGATCACAACTCATGAACAACAGCACTGATTGGCTTCCAATTTTGTTGGTTTGTGAACCTATACAAGAACTGAGATTCTAAATTGTGTGAGCGAAAAAAAATATACATATTTTTTTAAAAGTAATATTGGAGACCTTTCAAAGCGGGGATGAGCAGAGGGAGGAGCCAGACTCTGTTAAACCAGGTAATGAATTTGAGACTTCTGATGAGCCCTACATTTTAAGACTATAGAGAGACGCATGAGAAAGATTAGCAGGGTTCAAAGAGAGGGGAAAGCAAGTTTGTTAACCATTAATTTAAAACCTCTATAAAATGTCGTCTTCAACTTGAATCTCCTGTCGGAGACAGCCAAACCAAATTTTCAGCCCGCAATTCCCTTTGTCCTCCTCCGACGGAGCTTAAAATATTTTCGTTGTTGTGAAATCATTAAAGTTAAGCAAAATATTTTCATAAGAAGCATTAGTGAATTTCGTTAAATATTCAACTGTAATTTTTTCAGAAGTTAAAAAAAACGTATTTCAATACTGATCAACAAATAAGTCACCCCCGACCATCCTTAAATAATTCGTAAGATTTTTTCTACTATTAACATTCATTATAACATTGTACAAGTAACCATGACCTATAATTTATGTTATTTTTTAGGAAATAAAGATTTTGTTATCGAATTTCTGAGACGGGGTTACTCTGTTGTGTGTGTATTTGTGCGGCCTATCGGGAAAGAATTGTCTGGGGATAATAAACATCCCCCACCAGAATCCTAACCGGCCTATTATCCTGATTTGTCTAGCGTGTTGCTGTTTTCCGTCAACAAAGTTATCTTAAGCCACAAACTGTCTCCCTTCCAAGCCACAGTTTTTCTTTTTTTATATCGACAGATATGTTTTTTTTTCGTGCCACAGCACATTTGTTTTTATATAAATTGTTATTAATGATTTTTTTATTTGGCAGGGACAGAGGAAGACGACAAGAATTCGCAACCAGGTAAAAGGCTTTGAATTTCTGACATATTGATTTGATGAGAGCGAGGTCTAATGTTAATAAGTTTTTTATATATAGAGAGACCTAGCAGACCACAGGACGGCCCACTCTTGATCTCTTGAACCTAACAAAGGGAAGGGGGGGGGGCTACCAAGTCCTATAGAGGAGCACCACCCCAACCTCCCTACCCTCCTGAGAGCTTTTATGATGCTATAAGAGAGAGAGCCACTAAACTAAAGAAAATCACGCCAGAGCCATCAGATCTCAGGTGTTTTAGATTTAAAATAATGAAATATTTGTGATGTTGAAACATTTTTAAACTTTTTAAAATACTCGGGATTTTCATATGGGTAGGAAAAAAAGACTTTTTTTTGTTGTTGCTAAAAGTTTTGAATGTTGCTTTTAAAATGTGTTCCTTGAAAAATTATGATAGCTGCAGAAACGTAGGGTATGTCTGCATGGACGTTGAGGACCTGTTCAATCAGTATGGGGAAATTAATTAAAAACAACATTTTGGTAAATCTAAGATTAAAATAGAATGGTATATTAAAAATATAGGTTTTTTCACAAAAGATGCAAAGAGAAATATACCACTAGAATTAACCGAGATAATAAAACAGAAAGATTTTATCTGGGAAGGAAAAACTCAAGAAATAGGAACCCTAAGATTAATGCCAAAAATTTTAAAAATGAAGTAAATTTCTAAAGAATGTGTCAGAATTGACATGCAGGGGAATAAAAAGCTCAATGAATGACCTGATTAAACTAATACAAAAAGTTTTAGACAAAGTTTACAGCCTTTTATTGCATGATATTGAAAATGAATTCAGGCATCTGTATGGAAAACTATCACCATCAGTAACAGGGATAGACGAAGCCATAAATAGGGTTAGAAAATCAAAAACAGGAGAATGGGGAAAATCAATAGAATTTGAGGGAGATCTATATTCAAACTGTGTAACCAAGAATTACTAAAAGAATCCTTGTTAGAAGCCGGAAAAATTGCTAAGCTAGAACCAACATCGATAGACTATATTTTGAACTTTATGAAAGTGTCAATGAGACATTCATATTTTAAATAACCTGAGGGGATTTTTAAAACATTAAGTGGATTTTTAATGGGTGATAACTCAGCAGCAAGAGGAAGTGAAATAATACTAAGGATTTACGAGTTACAAATATTCAAGTTATTGCACAGGAAAAAACTGGATAAACTGATAAACAGGTACTTGCGATTTCGTGACGATGTATCGGTACATCTAGAAGGGAATACAGACCAAATGTTAGAAGTGATAAAAATAATTACAAGTGATATTTGGGAAATTTTTTAATTTAAAAATATTTAATAGTATATTTTTACTATTAAAAAAATGAAACAGAAACTAAAATTCTAAATATGAATGTTTTTCATAAGAAAATGTAAAATGGAGATGCATGGCGTTAAGGACATAAATTAACATTCTTAATAATTGAAGCTATGGATATTTTGAGGTTTCTCTTTTTAACACTTATAGTTTATTGTCAAAAGTATCATTTGTGGAAACGGACATTTTAAATGGCATGGCATGGGTCTGGTGTTCAAAGGAGCACCGGACCCATTGGTCTTTGCCCAAACAGTAAATTTGATTTGGCAAAGACTTACCTGGTGCCGGTGCTCCTTTTTCAAGGAACACATTTTAAAAGCAACATTCAAAATTTTTTTCGTCCAAAAAATCCACCGAAAGAAATTTTTGACAAAACTTATTTGAATCTACAGAATGTAAATTTTTTTTTAACTTTTCCAAAAATCTCTTATTCATTAAAACATTATTTAAAAAAAAATAGGTTTTTAAACAATTAATAATTTCAAATTTATTTTATACGCTGAGATTAATCATAATATTTATTTTATTTTATTTTTTAGGAAAAACAATATCAAGGAAAACATAATTATTCATTTTTTAAAGTCCATGCATTTTTATGAAGCTGTAGAATGTTAATTTATACTGCTGAATAAATCTCACAAATCTAAAATAAGAGAGCAACAAATGTGAGAGTTAATAATAGCAGCATTTCAAATATAAATTCATGAAGTTTTAAGCCAAAAAGTTTTGGTCCAAGATGCTAGATGGGTCGATCTGCTGAATAATCCAGAGATGATTTCCAGGATGTACATTGCTAGGAAGGCTGAAGCGAGTAATTACCCCAGAAGAAATTCTGAGTCGGATCATTTTTCGAAATGTTTCCAGTTAAAACCAATAAAAAAGGCGGGTTCAAAATATTGAAAAAAATTTTAAAGGGTGATTTTTTTGAAAAGCAAGAATCTGAGGATAGATATAAGATTTGTTTAAAAAACTGAAGTTGGCCGGAAAAATGAAAGCATTTTTAAAAATACTCCTTTTTTAACCAAAAAAAGCCGAGTAATATTAATATCTTGTTTTAGAGACCTTGCTTCAGAGACTGTTTATACGGATACTACTTTAACTCAACCCTGATTAGTGAATTTACACTTTCAGGTAAAAAAAAAATAAATATTCGGATGTCTGAAACGTTTAGATCTTTTAAAAAAAAAATTAAAATCTGATTTAAAAAAAAACTGTGGGTCTTATAAGACAGATTACAATTTTCCCCATTTAATATTTGATAATTGAAGAGGGGGGAGTAAATTTTTAAAAAGAAGTAAAATTAATTTTTGACACTTTTTGATTGGAGGTCGTCTTGGCCACTGAATGTATTCTTTTTTCTGAAACTTGTTTTTTTCACTATGAACTGGCACTCTGCTCAGATTTTTAAAGAAAACTGTGGGTCCGGTAGGGCAGACAGATTACAATTTTCTCCTTTTAATATTGGATAATTGAAGATGGGTAGGGGAGGGGGGAGTAAATTTAAAAAAAGAAGTAAAATCAATTCTAAAGACACTTTCTGATTGGAGGTCGTCTTGGCCACTGAATATATTCTTTTTCTGAAACTTGTATTTTCACTATGAATTAGCTAACTGGCACTCTGCTCAGAGATTGATGATTTTTGCAATAAGCATCCAATTATTAAGGCAGATAGTTAGATATATATATAAAATGTTAAAAACATGGTGCACAAATACAAAAATTTAATAAAAAAAATTGATAGCTAAACAAAAGCTGATCTATTCTTTAAGTGAGAACCAGGTTAAATTTTTGTAGAAACTGGAAAAATTTGAGTCTTTTTTTTCGTTTTTAAAATATTCAATCTTATTTATATTGTTTTAGAAACCTGGGGTGGTGTTGAACGAAGAATGAGTTGTAATCCAGGGTAAATCCACGTTATTTTTTCCCCATTAACTGTTATTTTGTTATGTTTCAGAATGATAATATGGAAAACGCTAGGGTCTATTTACAGTGTGTGTGTTGTGCTTTGTGCCTTTAAAAGTAAGTTTTTTTTATTCCCACATTGGATTAAATACTTTTTTTTCATCGACTCTCAAACCTGGATTATTTTATTTTATTTTAACAGTCCTGATGTTATTTTGAAACTGTATAATATTTACTGTTGTAGTTTTTATGGATCTAGTATTTGGGACTTGAGTTCCCAATGTTTTTCAAAATTGTATACAGCATGGAATACTGCTATTAGAATTCTTTTTAATGTACCTAGAAATACGCATAGGTACTTGATTGAAAGTATTTCACAATGTTTACATGTAAAAACTTTGTTAGCTAGCAAATGTGTGTCTTTCTATGAGACTATTGAAGCAAGTTCTAAGCTTTGCATTAGATTTCTTTCTAATTTATGTAAAAATTACCTTAACATAGTTCTTAGCAGAAATTTATTTTTATTGCAAATAATTGTTCTGTAAATCCTTCGGGTCTTAGTAAAATGTTAGTTAAGAAACAAATGAAATATTTTGATGTCTCATTGGACCATACATGGAAAGTTCCGGCTTTACAAGAACTTTTAAATACAAGAAAGAGTGAATAATTTATATGTTGAAGGATTCGATGATTACGTAATAACTGAAATGATAAATATGTTATATAATGAGTAGTGATCAATGTCTATTTGTGCATAATTTTCCATATTTTTCTCTTTTCTTTTGGAAACCTGTATTTTCAAAAATTTATTTAAACAAATTTAAACTACACCATTTATATATGTATTTATATCTTTGTGTGTGAATAAATCTTTATAATAAAACATAAAAAATACTAACTTTAAAACTAACATTTTTGATACTTTTATATTGTGAAAAACACAAACTTTTTCTTGAATGAAAAAATATGGTTTTTGATCACTGTTTTTTGTCAACTTCTGAACCAAAAACTAGCAAAGTTTCTGACTGAAAACTAAAATGTGAAGTTTTTGTTCCATCAAATGTCGAAAATTGTCTACCCTCTTTCTATTTACTAATTTGTAAGAAAAATCGGAAAATGACTGTATGAAAATTTTTAGACAAAATTAAACAAAATACATACTACTTAGGGTACCAATGGGTTTCCTAAAAAAATTCAGGCAATTTGGTCCAGCCGTTTGACCAGCTATAGCTAGCATATAATATTTATATATATATTTGTCGGATGTTGACAGCCTAACGAATAAAAGAAAAATTCCGCATAAAAAACTTCGTTTTCAGAAAAATATCTTGTTTTCAAGTATCTAGTTAAATCCACCAATTAAAATCTGCGAAACGAAATGAGTTTTTGCCACAAACTCTGATTTTCTAATCTCTACATCTTAGATATTTCAACTATGAATTCTTATGTAGATCAAATAATCTAAGTTTAAAATATTAAAGGTTTGCACCTTCAGGTTGCAAAGATATTGGGATCCGAAGATTTAAATTTGTGGCAAAAACTCAATTGCTATACTTTGTTATTTTACTAAGAAAAAATGGTTTCAAGTCAATAACACTTACAAGTCTAATAGGTTTTTTTACGTTTTGTTACGTTTTTCATTACCTCAGAGCTGTATCCAGTGCATCTTTTGTAGGACAATAATAACCCTCACAGAAGGTGGAAACCATTTTTTGGATTTCTTTGTTGGTATAATAGGTATCTTCACCCTGCTCAGATATAGAATACATTGAGTCAACTTTCTCAAGAAATATTTAAATCTATCAAACTACATTTTTAAGATCGAACTTCAGTGCGCGGCGTTAACAAAAAATATTCATGAAAAGGACTATGTAAAAATAAATCGTGAAATTTAAAATTGATCTGAATAAAATAAGAATATATATACTTTTATAACCCTTTCTTAAAAAAAAACGTTTTGCAATTAATGTACAGGGTGTCCCAAGAAACATGACAGTTTCGCAATTAATGTACAGGGTGTCCCACGAAACATGACATTTTCGCAATTAATGTACAAGGTGTCCCACGAAACATAACAATAGCAAGACGACTTGATATTCATCTTTGAACTTTTAATCTATTGATGACATTCAGTCGTCAACCTACTTTCACATATCTGATTCTTAAAACATAAACCACAAAATTCTCTAATTCCTGACATTTTCAAAATGTGGTCTGCCTTTTGTGTGCTGTCAATATTACAGGAGATAGTGAGAATTTCGTTCAGATTTCAATTTTATTGAATAAAACCAAAATTGTCAAAATCTGAACGAAATTCTTTATATCTCTGGTGCTATGGAAAGCACAGAAAAGGCAGACCACATTTAGGAAATGCCAAGACTAGGGATATTTTGTGATTATTAACTATAGAATTGTACTTGTACAATTAAGTTCACAAATATATGCATTTAAAAGATCAAAGATAACCTTTAATTTGTCTTGCTAATGTCATGTTTTGTGTGACACCCTGTATCCAAGTGTTATGTCTTAAAATTATCATCTATCATATATTTTGATTTACTTTGCTAAACAACCTACATAATACCTGTACAATAATAACCAGAAAACGGTGAAATGATTGTCATTTTTATACTTGGTTATAATGAGACATTGATAGAATTTAAATAATATAACTAAACTAACTGCTATATTTATCAAGATTTACAAGTTAAAACATTTGCAAATTCCATAGCGACGTCTTATATTTATGATTATAGATTACACATTTCGAAAAATGTATAGATGCAGAATTATTTTCTGGGTGATTTAACGGCTTTGTCTACTAATCTCTTATATCCTTTACTAAAAAGTATATTAAAGTCCGGTAGATTAAAACATTGAGGGTTTAATAACATTAATTCTCTCCATTAACTCTTCAGGCTTGGATAAATATTAAAAAATTCTCGTTCTCTTTAAAGCATTACCTAGAATGGCCATCCTTTGTTTGTTTGAGATTAATAGTTATCAAATCAAATTAACAAACTTGTGCCTGAGGTTAACGTTTTCAACCGAGTTTTGTCGATATCTCCTTTAATTCCGCTTATATTTACAAGACATGCAGAAGACGACATTCATTTCACTATTTTCTGTTTTTTTTTTCTGTTGCAAAACTTATATGTCAATTCTAGTTCGCCCACACTTTGTTCCAGTTTCGTTACATATAGATGTAAACAAATAATATCAAATATAAATGTGAAAATAATTACCCCGTAAAGTGCCAGAGTTCGTAGAACAGATCCAGGACCACTCCTGGGCTTCGGGATTCGTGGATTCATAGACGGAGTTCGGTCAGGTTTCGGTCGCTGGAACATTTCTCCAATTCCATTGTAAATTGTGTCAAAATTATTCATGGCGAATTTTTTCTGAGATCCAATCTCTCTCAGTTCTCCATTCTTTTCTTTATTGAAAACAACCTTCCTCGTGCCATTTCCGAATCCTTGATATCTTCTAAATAAGAGAAATCTAGTTTTGTCAACACATTTTTGTAAAATTTAGATTTTTCAAATCAATATTATTTGACTAAAATATGGAATCTCAATTCTCATAAAGATGAACCCCAACTGTCAAAACACTATCTAATAAATTTTTACACTAAGACTCATAAAACTGGGGAATAAGACGGAGACAAATAAGCAGTCCGATGTGTATTTGATGCTGTTAAAAGGCATATAGTTTTACCAGAGCTGAAAACTTTGGAATGTTGGATATCGAGATCAATGCTTCATCTCCTCTTTTCTTAATCTCTGGATTGAATAATGCTTGTTCTCCTCTTGTTATATAATCTCCAGATCAATTAACCGGGATTAAGGATATCCCATTCTAAAGTTTTCAGCTCAGTAACTTGAAAATGTGAAATAGGTGTCTGGTGTATGCAGTAAATAAAGTACTATAGCTAGGCAACCCGGAGCGCTGCCCAGATACTTAAAGTTACACCCGCCGTTTACTTGAACGATTTTACCTATAAAGGATTTGAATCTTTGCCACAAACTCAGATTTTCTAGTCCCTCTATCTTTGCAACCCAATGCCGTAGACTTTAGATATGTCAAACTATGAATTCTGTCAGATCAAATAATCTAAGTTTGAAATATCTAAGGTTTGCACCATCAAGTTGCTAAGATATAGGAATTAGAAAGTTTGAGTTTGTGACGTGACAAAGATTCAATTCTTTTATCTATATTTTCGCTATAAAGTTGACCCACTAAACTTAGAATCTCTAAACCGAGTTAAGAACATTCCCATGGTCTCACGAGTTCCCCAATACAAATTTGAGGTTCCTGAGTTATGATCAAACAGACAGACAGACAAACAGAGATTACAACTTTATATCTATAGGTACACGGCACATTTGCTATATTTCATGCTCTTTCAACCATTTGAAATCCAGGGGACATCAGTTCCAAAACTAACACTTGGCCCATTTCTAACACTGACTGTTAGAAATGGGCACAAATTGAAAGAATGGGGTTTTAGGATCCCGGTCCATTTCGAGAGTAAAAGTCGATAGTTAAATCTATAACCAACATTTTAATCAAAATTATAAATGGAGTTATTATATATTAAAACCCTTGACCGTTTTCAAGACAATTGTCAGGTTTTCCATTTTCGAACATATCCTGAATTAGAATCATTGTCGCGTTTTAGAGACAAAACCCACTTTCCGGTTTTTTGGTATAATCCACTTTTCAGGCCAAAGATCACTTACATAACTTACAAAATCAATCATTAAAAGTAAATATTATCATATGAAGGAATTGAGTCTTTGTAACAAAATCAAATATTTAAACCTCAATATCTTTAGAACCCGTTGTTGTAAACCTTTGATATTTCAAACTCTGATAATTTGATTTAACAGAATTCATAGTTTGAAATATCTAAGGTCTACAACATTTGGTTCCAAAGATATAGTGATTAGAAAATCAGAATTTGTGGCAAAGACTCAATTCCTTTACTGCAAAATATTTCTAAAATCTTAGTTTCCACATTTTATTTTTTAAAAGAGTATAAAGCTGATTTAATTTCCCGCATCTTTATTTAACACTTTCCCGCATTACTAGTAAAATCTGTAATGTAAGAACAAAACAATATCATTATTTTGATTTCTCACTGCTATAATAATTTTTAAGTTATAAAAAAAGGATAGTATGTTTTTATATTTCTATTTTGTTTATATTTTACCTTTTCCAAAAATCTTGTTTTTTTAAGTACGGGGGTAAATGCTTGAAAATTGACATTGATATGACTTGAGTAATTGTTTCAAAACCAAGATATTTTACAAAAACACGACATGGGCTGAAATATGGTAATTGTTTCAAAATAGGGAAATGTTCGAAAATGAAATCAAGAATCAACAAAAATTAATTCTCACGCCTTAATATTAGTTTAAAATTGACATTTATTGTTACAATATGTAGTTTCAACCACTTTTTTATAAATATGGTGTATTTTTGTTCAACTCAGCTTGGATTTAAAGATTTATAGGCTTGAAAAAAACAACTTTGCGGATTTGGCACATTTCTAACACTCAGTGTTAGAATTGGGCCAAGTATTAGTTTTGGAACTAATTTCCCCTGAAACCTGAACTTGACTCTATTAATTGTCCTTTTCCACATTTTTATGGGTCTTATGTATATTCATAAAAAATCATGTATGTCTTCTTACCCAATTTCAAAGTGCTCTGAGTCTTCAGTGTGAGTCATTTTTTTCTGAAATATTTAAAATTAAACCTTTTATTTAAGCTAAAAAAAAAAAAATTTGGCCCAACCAAAAGTGGTTGTTTGGAATTCCATCAAACTTATTTAGTCAATATTCTCCAAGATGATTTGATCACTTATACTTCATTCAGTGGATACTCTTTTTCCCTCATTTTCTTGCTCAATCTGAATAAATTACAAATTAGATAAGATTATTGGAACATGGAAAAATCAGTATAATACACAACGTCATAAGTGTCAAACATAATAACAAGGAAAACGAAATCTGCTCACATTATTTAACATGATTTCCAAGATTATATAAAACAGTGTAAAAGCAGAAAATAAAAAAACACATAAAATTGCACCTATTTTACTGTAAAATAAGCATCAGGAGATTGTTGACAATCCGTCTCTCCCTTATTTTCAGGAGATGGTTGGCAGATCCGTCTCTCCCATATTTTCAGGAGATGGTTGGCAGATCCGTCTTTCACTTATTTTCAGGAGATGGTTGTGCAATCCGTTCTTCGCTTTTTTAATTTCTCTCTCATTATTTGAATATCACTTGGCAGTTTTCCAGCCAGTAAGAACCAGAAATGAGTGGAATTCACATTTTCTTCTCATTTCTTTTAACCATAAGATGTCGCTTAACATTTAAGAGGTTTAATATAAAAAAAACATATGAAGTATTAATAATATCCAGAAATCACCTCCGCTTCAAAAAAATATTTAGTATTTTTTTAATTCTTTTACGGTGATAAACTTTTGAACTTCTAATCAAAGTACTATATTGGTGTAAATGTACAATGAGTAGATGAAGAGTTTATGTACAGTTCTGCACAATGCATTCTACTCCTGCCTGGCAGGGGCCGAATTTCCGCGGAACTTCTTGTATGCAGCTGCCTCCTAAAAATATTGATTAATGAAAAAAAATGTGAAATATTTAACTTCATCTAACACTGTAACCTCAGGTTCATTTCAAATACCGGGCCGACTTTCAACCAGCTGTGAAAAGCTGTACAGTACATAAACAGACTATGTAAGGCTTTACGGGACAGTAAGCTGAATGAACCATGAGCGTACAAATACAAATGTTTTCCATAAACATAAACAAATCAGTTTATGTCATCTTAGTTAACCTAATTAAAAGGGGACCTAGAAGTTATTGGACCTAAAGATAGTTTAGATCTTTAAAAACTTTGTCAATTTGAAACAGCTGTGAAAGAAGTAAGACGAAGCTAGAAAACTACTTTCAACTACTTTACACCTAATCGTAGTTTACATAAAAAGTGTACTGCAGTTTATGGTAAGAATTTAAACAAACTGAGTTTTGTTTAACATTCATTAAGTGCAGTACACTTATTTTATTAATAAAGATATGATGGCTCCAAGTGTATTTTCCTTGCTTTACTTATTAAATTATTTATGGTTGTGTCTGAGATATGTTTCCCATGCTAGTGTTAATAATCGTCTTGAGACCAAATTTAAAGAATTTGAGCCACATCTTGAATTAGGACTGCGGCTCAAATATGGTTGGTTCAACTTAAAACTGTATTAAACATTTCAAGATCTAAGCCGGCGCTGAATTGAAACTGGTTTTTGGGGGATTCGAGACGCGGCTTTAAATCATTCAATTCAGACATTGGTTTGTTTTATAAAAACTTTTATAAAACTTCCAAACTTTCGGTTTGTCATTTTGTAAGAAAAGCAAATATTTAGAATAAAGAATTTTTAAAACACTTGCCAAATTTTGACCTTGAAATAAAAGCATAAAACGAAACAACTTAATGCATGTCACAACAAATTCTGAAGTCTCATATATAATTTGTTTTATTCACATTCGATAAAAACGGCAATAATAAAGCATGAGAACGAACAGTTCTCGCCTGGATTACCTGGTTTAGTTTTTTCGCCATTTTCCGTCCTAATTCTGTAATCATATATCCATCCTACACGCAGAATGAAATCTTGAAGTAAATGCATGACAAACCCCCACCCATGGCTGGTGAATTTTCTATTTTATTTGCCATTAAATCCGCAAATAAAAAAACGGCGTTTTTCGAATAATCAAAACCCAATTAAACATTTAAAACTATGCTTCAATTATCATATAAATGTATATATATTATATATTTTACCCCGATAACTTCCCTTTGAAATTATTGGACACAAAAAAACATAATCTTCCCCCACTCCTTGTCGTATTCAAGATTTCTTCCCTGTTTTTTCAAAATCCAGCCATTTTCTTGCATTGTTCGAGTTCTGAACATTTCAACTGGTTTATCAAATTATTTAAAAAATGAGATTTAAAAAAGTCAAATTAAAAATGATTAAAAATGAGCTGAGGATGATATCCCAGATATCAGATCAGAAACAGATTTCTTCTTTACTTAGGATCTGATAAAACAGTTTTTTTTCCTACAGAAAACAATATTTTGGTTACATTCATTTTAGAGAAAAAATTAAACTAACCCCACCAAGGACACAAAGTTGATGCAATGTTAATGAACTTTTTAAAATGTTTCCTCTTAAACCAACCTTTTTTCCCATTCTTCAAAATAAAAAAAATTATTAAAATTACTAAACCATGTTATTCCTGTTTTTGGCAGATTTCATTTTCAGAGCTGAAGTAATCGCACAGGGTGTAGGAATTGATTCCAAGTGAATAGAAATGGATTTGCAAAAGTCAGACACAGTATTTTGAATTTCCCAAAACGTGTATTCTTCGCCCTACAAAAATAATAAAGTTTTATTTAGTCTTTGGAGGATATTTAAAAGCATTCACAAAGGGAGACCCCAAAAACATTAAAAATTACTTTTAATGAACTTAAAAATATCTGTGATTTCATCAAATTAGTTTTTTTTATCATTGACTAAGATATGAAGAAGTTTAAATCTAAACGTGAATATTTAAGGTACACTCACTACCCTGTACAAGAGGGTTTAAATAAGCCCAAGTTAGTCAATCCCTGTTATTTACCTCGGTGAAATATTTATCCAGAGCTCTCAGAATATATCCAGGTGCTCCGTTGAACTTAGGGGGCTTGGATACACGTGGAGAAGGTTCGGTTCTCATGGTGAATTTAACAACCTGAGAAACATCCTCTAAAGCATCTTCCATAGCATTATCAGATGCATTTTCCAGACTGTTGTCGGAAACATTTTCCATAGAGTTGTAAGAAGCATCTTCCAGGTCGTCATCTACTTCTTCTTTGATTGCTTCTTTTGGGATCAGTTCCTCAGCATCTCCTCTTATTTCCAAGTCATCTTGAGGCAACGGATTTTTGTCAACCTCCATACAGCCTCCGATAGTTTCATCTTTCGTACCACTGTTCATCGCATTTTCCTTCGCAGCACGATCTTTCTCGGAGGCGACTTCTTGTTTCAGAGCCTTGAAGATAATGTCAACATAACTTTTTTAAAAGTGCAATAAAAAATAACAAAAACAAAAACAAACACAATAAAAATGACAAGAACAAGAACAAGAACAATGACAAGGACAAGAACAAGGACAAGAACAAGGACAAGGACAAGGACAAAGAATAAGAATAATAAGAA